CTTATCTCTTCGTACTTTTCACAAGGTACAACTAAACTAAGACTTGGTCATCATTCTGTGTCGAAGGCGCTTACAATGGGATGTCCTCAGGGATCGGTGCTAGGTCCATACTTGTGGAATATCGGCTTCGACGATTTTCTTGCGATACCAATGCCATCCGGATGTACTCTGAACGCCTATGCTGATGACGGGGCTTGAGAGATTAGCCAATAGATGTTTGAACTTGATATCTCAATGGGGTGAACGTAATCGCTTAACTTTTGCACCCAACAAAACCTTCCAGCTACTTTTAAAAGGTAACCTCAAATCACCGCCAAGCATTAGATTTGACAATGTTACTGTAAAATATAAAACCTCAGTGTGTTACCTAGGATTAGTTTTAGAAATAAACTTTTCATTTATCGAACATATTAAAACAGTTAATGAAAAGTCTAAAAAGAGTTTCTGTGCATTGACAAGGATATCAACTGCGACATGGGGTCTATCATTAACCGACTTCAAAAAAAGGAGGAGGTTCTCAATTCGACTAATTTTTTTTTTAATACATTAAAGATCATATACGGAGCTACTTATTTAGGTTCTATGTGCTATGGTGCACCTGTATGGGCCGATAGGGCGACCGTAGGCGCTGTCCGTCGCAAACTGTTACAATGGCAACGACTTGCACTGATATTCTTGTGCAAGGCATATAGGACGGTTAGCACTGAGGCTTTGCCGGTGTTGGCGGGTGTACTTCCGGTCGATCTCGAGGTGCAGAGACGTGCAGCCATGTACTATTCAAGACAACAAAACATGGAATGCGATTTTTTGGGCGCGCGGGATCGCGGTAAAATTACAAGATTGCTTCAACAGCAGTCCGATGTCTATAATGACCTCATAGACGAATGGCAACAACGCTGGGATGAATCATCCAAGGGGCGCCATCTTTACCAATTCTTTCCATCTGTTCGCGAATGGTTGTCGAGGACAGGGCTTGAGGTGGATAACTGTGTCGCTCAATTTCTTACGGGTCATGGTAACTTTAAGAGCAAGCTTTATTCATTTAAATTAGTCGAGTCACCATTGTGTCAATGCTCAACACCTAACTCTCGCTATGAACAGTCTGCTCATCATATCCTCTGGGAATGTAGTCTTTGGTATAATGAACGTAATATAATGCTGAATACCTTGCAGGTGACATCTAGGGCGGTATACTATGGGGATCTTGTGTCAACTAGGGTGAATTTCCGTGCGTTTAGGCGATTCTGCCATACATATTATAGAAATCAAATATAGCTCACGTAGGACCCTTAATATTTTGTGGCCGTGGTGCTTCCCTGTTTAAAAGGGTGTATGCCCATTTTACTTCATTTTGTCTCCCGCTTTGCTAAGGAGGGAAGTGGATTTACTGTATTTCCAACTCCTACAATTTTCTTCTGATTAATTTCGTTGCGGGTTCCAAGACAGTTTAATTTCTTCCTGGGACTTCCCGAGTGTCATAACTCGGTGTGTTCGTGGGTCACTGCTGTGGATCCTGGTGTACAGGAGTTACAGTGGTGGGCGTGTGGGTGGGATTAGTCCCAAAAAAGATGACCTCACCTGTCACCACCAGGCCTGCGCTTATGGAGGACGGTATCGCCTGCGGTATCACACAGCCACCTGTCATGCAAATTATAATTTTAAGTTTCTGTACATTTCTTAATTTTTCATTTATCTTTCTCTAAAAATATTTTGACTTAATAATAATGGAGTGTATACATATTCTTGCCATGTAAATATGATGCGGAAGAGCGGAATCACATAATACAGGCATTTCTTGCTTAAAAGGAGACTTCTAAGACTAATCTGCAAAACTGTAACACTGTAAAGACAATACATTATTGTTATTATCTGGCATAAAGCTATTCAATCCAACATACAATATTGTGGACCGTTTATATTATCAAGGTAGCAAACAAGCACATAATCCGATGGATGACAAATGGCATTACTCGCACTTTGCCAACCATATTCCATTCTAACCAAGATTCTGAGAACCTCCTTCACGAGCAGAAATACGCATTGGTGTTAGCTTAGACTCGATCACAATGTCCTGCTAAGTATATTATAAAGCCTACCACCCGACCTTTTGAAAACCATCGTGGATTCCATATCCTTAAGACGACGACTTCTGAGACGCAGCGGTAGTATATTTGTTACCGCATCGGAGGTTTCAGTCTTGATTGGCGTTTAATTCCTTCTCGTTCGTTCCTATTTGTTCAAGTTCTAGAACTCATAATTCAGTATGGGTCTACATAGCGCAGGAATAACAAATTTTATTTACAATAAAATTTTATGTAAAAAAACTTTTAGTTACCCCTTTTTATCATACCATTATTAGAAAAGTTATTGTATTACGAGTATATTTACTGAGCGAAGATATTTAAACAATATGTGCTATAAGGTAAAAAATAGTGTAAAAACGGCTACGTGAAGATTTAGGGTCTAGTATATAACTAGCACTGCAAAAAGAAGGAAAACTTGACCAATACCAATCCGTCTGACCAGCGTTATATAGTGGGCCAAGACATCCTTTCTAAGGAGAGGCCTATGTCCAGCAATGGACTATTAAAAGCTGTTGATGTGATATCATTGAAAGTCTATACAATGACAGTTTAATTTAAACTAAATAAATTAAATGAATCAAGATATTCAAAGCAGTTGAAATTCGATAGTAAATTTCCCAGGTTCATTCGGGATTCCGGAAAGTGTATTTATAGTAAAATCTTTTCTCGCGCATTTACTAGCTACTTACTATACGGTCCTCAACCAATTGCCAATATTTACCGAACCACTGAGAATAATCTGGACGTTTTCGGCGGATACTCTCACGCAAACGCTTCATGACGCCTAAATAATATTCTTTATTCACTGTTTCTCCCTCTGGAAGGAATTCGGAGTGAACCACACCACGATAGTCAAAAAAAACTGTCAGCATCACCTTGATTTTGGAGCGACTTTGCCGCGGTTTTTTTTGGTTTCGGCTCGTTTTCGAGACGCCATTCTGAAGACTGTTGGCTTGTTTGCATGTCGTACTCATAAACCCATGTCTCGTCGCCAGTTATTATACGTTTCATAAAGGTCGGATCCGTAGAAGCTCGGGAAACCATGTCTTCAGCGACATGCTTTCGCTGCGCTTTTTGAACAAAATTAAGCTCTTTTGGAACTAGTCGAGCGGCGACGCGTTTCATGCCTAAATTGTCAATGAGAATGTTGTGGACGGACTTAAAAAATATGTTCACCTCACTAGCCAACTCTCTCAGACTCATACGTCGATTTTCGAGCACTAGCTTCTTGATTCTGTCGATGTTTTCTTTGGTCGTAGCGGTTGAAGGTCTACCAGAACGAGGCAAGTCTACTACTACTTCAGATTGGGTATCGGTGCTGTTTTTTATTACGATGGTTATTTTTTCCCCATTAAGTATATAATATTACAGTTTAGGACACAACTTATTAACCGACTGATACAAAATAAAACCACAATAGTTCATTCATTGTATAATTTATTACCATTTGCGACTGGGTATTGAACGAATCTCACTTAAATTATTACATGACCTAGGTCGGAACACTGTTTGACTGCTACACACAACACTGGTTCGCAAACCATCTCGATAGTGCAGACGTACCTTGTTAATTACACATACAGACCTAGTAATAGTTAAGATGGAAATATAAGAGAAAGTAATTGATACTACTCTATACATTTACTGTTCATAAGAGTGAAAAATAAGGCTAAAAACGCAAAATCGAAAAAAGAACGCGATTACAAATAGTTTTCACGAATCAAATGAACTTGCTTTGATGGAATAAGATGGTGTTGTGTAAGTGATTAAATACGTAATAATAAGCTGTTTTATATAAACTCATACATTTTTTTTTAGTTTGAACCCGTACAGGTCGCAAAACACAAGGGAATAATATCTCACGCCTCTATACAAATAACCATTTAAGACTGAAGTTTGACAAAACATTTTGAAATAAGATATTTTATTATTGGAAACCTCCTTTCTAAGGAGAGGCTTATGTCCAGCAGTGGACTATTAAAGGCTGTTGATGATTATTGGAAACTAAATTTTTGTTATGAAACAGTATTCTTTATGATGAGCTACTAACAAGGATAAGGCTGCCCTATCGCACATTTATGCTGAGAAAGTATTGTAGAGCATTATATTAACTTCATTTATTAGTTTCTCTGCTCACTTCAGATAATCGATAAATTAATCACAAATCGCTTATAATAAAATCGACGGAGACGCGGAAAATCTAAAATACAATTTGTGCAACACTATGTGTCTGTAGTAGAAAAACAGTTCAATACACACACAAACTTATAGCCTTTTAATATATCACATAAAGTTTAGGTACAATAACAAATACATTATATCCTCGCGTCGTCACTACTGGGGCCACTGCAAACTAACTAAAAGAGAGAAGCCGCTCCTTTATAAAAAGTAAAAAAGACAACAACACATTCCCTTTATATATTGCATTGTGGAATAAAATAGAGGCGGCCACAGATTTTATTTGAGATTTAATTAAAAGTTTCTGCTAGGTGGCTTGTTCGTTTTTAGAATCGATGTGTATGATGTAGTATATTATTATAATGTATATGTGATGATGTTATTCGATGGAGTAACAAGGCTAAGCACAGTTAATGGAAAATCATATAAAACTTAACTATACAGATTACTTAGTCAATAAATGCACTACTTACCTCTATAATTGAGTTTATAAACTAAAATTTACTATTTATACATGGTCAGCATTTTTTATAAGTAACGAATACCAGCCTCCATTACGCAAATAGGTGACCGCAATATCATTTTATATCAGTTTCTTCTTGAGATCTAGATATAAATTAAGAACACGATATTCAATAAATTAATTAGTAAACCATACATCCAAAAACCAAACAAGCCACACTTATTTAGTTAAAAAATAAATTAGTCTAATACATCAATTTACTTCACTTTCAGCTATTATAACTCGGAATGTTCGTCATCTGTGCCGTCGGACAATTGCAGGGGTGGTTCTGTGCTTTCTTCCTCATTCTCATTTTTAGATTCTTCTTTTTCTGGGGACTCCTCCTGTGTGTCCACCTTTTCTTCTTTGATTTCAGGCTCTGGTTCAATAACTGTTTCCTCTGTTTTGTTTTCCGTTTCCTTCTTTAAAGGTTTCTTCGGCCTCCATATCTTCATTTTATTTAACAAATACTTCATTTCTCTATCCAAGTTTGCCATTTTTTCTCTTATACTTTCAACTGTTAGCTTAAGATCTTCGTTCTTCTTTAAAGCGTTCTGTTCTTCGATAGATTTATTTAGCCAATCGTCTGTCTCGTCGATTCTCTTCTCCAGAACCCCTATTTCGACTTCAGTGAAAATGTCCTTATCTGGGTTCGACTCTTTAGTGAAGTTCTTTGACATTTTGAGGAATTCCCTTGAATTATTTAACATGCCACGAATGGCAGCTATAGCATCAGGTCTTTCATTATGCTCCCAATGTTTGTAAAATATCGAATTTGTTTTGTCCTTTAAAGCTGCTAGCTTTGCTTCGAACAGTTCTGTAGCCGCTTCATAACCATCTTCATACAACCACTCTGATGTTTCACTACACAGTTTTCTAATCTCCTGAATTTGTTCTTCAGTACCACATTCTGCATACTCTTCCATGTCCATTTTCATTTGAGCATCAACTACGAAGGCCTCAAGATTATTAAGAGCAGTTTCTCTCTCAACTCGCTTCTTGTCGATTGCGTTTAACTCAACGATCTTTGCTTTAGAACTCTTGAACTGTTCTTCAGACAGAGGTGCCATGTTTATAATTTGCTCTTCAGATTTTATTGGTTCTTTAAGTACAACGATTTTCGGTTTAGGCTTACTTTCAGTTTCAGTGGCATTTTGTTTCTCACTAACTGTTTCATTGGCTTTCTTAGTATCATTTTTAGCTTCACCCTCTTGAAGTTTCTCTTCTGCTTTTTCATCAAGTTTTTCTGGCGTTTCTGAATCTGAACCAAACAGTTTGCTAATTGTGTTTCCTATTTTGGATAAAGTGCTGTCTTTGTCATCATCTTCTTCCGTGACGGTTTTTTCTGCTACAAATTCTACATTAACTAAATTGAGTATACCAGAATCATCCATGTTGAAATGTGCTTTGATGCCTTTGTGTTCGATGTTATCGGCTGTGTGTTTAGCTAAAGCAGCGCCTACGCCACTTAAAACGACCTGGGAAAGGTTCAATGAGCCCACATATTGAAGCTCATTGGAAGGAATATGTTCTAATTCTGCATAATTCACATGAAAATCGAAGTCGTCCATGTGCTTGTTGAAAGTGATTACCTTCTTTTGTGGATAGGGATTCATGGGCCCAAATAGAGTTCGCCTAATCTGTAACAAATGTTTTACTTATGTATTTATTATTTTAAAACGTTTTAAGACACACTGATTAAATGGTTCCCCCATTTAATCAGTGTGTCTTAAAACGTTTGTGTCATGGCAATCTTAATGTATTTCCTACAGCATAATTCATTATCCCTCAGCGACTGACGTAGTAGTATGATAGACGTAGTAGTATGACAGACAAAATCAATTGATATGTTTTGCGTGTTTTTTTTTTTTTTAATACTGGTGTCTGGACTCACAGTACCTTTCTGTCTCGCCTTCAAGCCATTGTTAGTGTGCCACGGACTATCGTGGCGTGCGCACCAAATTTTATGCGAAATAAAGTGTAAGTTAAGTGTCTGATAGACTGTCACCTCAGTGTAATTGTTATATTTTCGTAGTGTCTCCTAAGCAACACGTCAGTAAAATTGATTTATTGACTCAATAGGGAATATGCACGTGACACCAAAATGGACAAAATATTTTTATTTGTAATTGTTATTGCTAAAAGAAGATACCCATACAATTATTTTTGAAATTTATTATATTTTAATAGTGAAATTTAATCATCAAAAATTGGCTTTTTTAAGATTTCCTCGCAAATTTCTAAAACGCAACGCTATTGGTTGAATAAAACGTGACGTCAACCTACACTGTCAAGAGTGTCAACAAGTTGTGTGTATTTGTAATATTTGGTTTCTGGTGATTATTTGTTTCATTTTAAGTTAATAACTAATACGTTTTCAGTGTTAAATTATTAAATTCCCGTGTAGAAAGACTCAACACAATGACTGAATATACTTTGTCAGGTGCAGTTTTGGTATTATTTTGGCACAAAGGAACGGCACAATATTTATAATAAGTTTTTATTGGCTTTTCCATGGTAATAAGTTAATTTATATCACTCACTTTTTTAACTTTCACAAACTTTGTGAACTTCAATCCGTTGTTGACATCGAATTCGTCTGAAAGTGTAGTCTGACGTCACAAAAAAAGCGCGCCAAAATGGACGTGTTCAAATTGCCCCAAAATGATAGTGATATTAATAAATTTTTTTTTGCTTAACGGTTTATATTTCGGATGTGTTATATTTATTTTTGGTAATGTAATAACGAGTAGAATCGTTTAAAAAAATAAAAAAAATACATGCATATTCCCTATTTGATTGTTTTTTTTAGATATTACATTCAAGCAACAACAGAGAATCCTGTGCTTTCAAAAGGATGTCATTTGGCACATTCAAAAGTCAGGACCAGAATACAGGTCAGTGGTTGAAGAATGAAATGAAGCTCGGTGATTTTGACGATGAAGGCGAGGACCTAAATTTTAAGTCCGAAAAACGAATGATTGAACGAAGTCAAGCTAGAAAAGCCAAATACAACCATTCACGATTTTAAAGAGCGTCAAGAAACCTCTAACGAGAATCTGAATACTGTTCTTTCTAATCGTTCCCTCACTGCTGAGGATCGTGACTCCCTTTCATCCTATCAACCATCTGTTCCTAACGGTTGCGATCAGTCGCTTAGTGGAGTACTATTCTTATTGGCATCTCCAGCTGTTTAGTGACCTGGTCTGACCATCTTCTTGACTCTATCTGTCTGAATCTGAATATTGTAATGGTAGAAATGAATTCTATGGTTACCAGATATTGTTACTGTGATTGTTTGAAACCATTTTTCCTTTAATTTTCTAAGCCACTAGACTAGATTAGATATACTAAACTAGATTAGACTGTATGAAGACTGCTAAAAAAAGTTGTGATTTTGATAATGATGTTACTGTTAACCAAACCGATGAATACATCCCATTTCTTTATTCTGATTAGCGTAAGTGTTTACTTTAATAAATGTATAACATTAGTGCAAAAATATAAATGTAATTATTTTTTCTATGCATCTAATTTACGTTATCTTAATAAATGTTGTATAACTTTATAATGTCAATGATACACACTCCAAACTTTAATAAAATAATAGGTAAAATTATAAATCTAAGATATAATTTGGAAATGCACTCTTCTAAAATGGTCTCATGTACACGTCAATAAAATTGTGAAAAACGGGACACGTCAGTCGCAGAGGGTTAAATACGTGTACGTCTTTGAAAGAAACTATGCTTTATCATTTTTAATCAGATTATAAAGGTGCAATTCGCGCATATTAACAATATAATTTGTTGTAAAATTGGTATTATTCCGACTTCGCTTACACCAAATTGGAACTTACGAAATAATTGTTTAATTTATTTTATGTTTTACGGAATTGGTAATAACAATTAAAGCAAAAACTAAACATTATGTAATCATAATAGATTTCAAAATAATTACCGCAAGCTCAATGTCAGCTTTAATTATTATTTTTTAATTAAATGGCAAATTAAATAGAATTAAAACAATATTACGTCTTTTAATAACCACTTACTAATTTGTCGTTTCCGTCTACGTGTCTAGTGAAAGTCACTTGTATGGGCAACAACACAGCGTCGCGAACATTTAAAGCTGCTACTTTGTAACCAGTGGCTAACGATGCTGCCCTGTAATATAAATAAATTGCTCAGTATTTTATTCTATTTCCAAATGTAATGAAGGCTAGTAAAAAGAAGTGGTATGACAAGTGGTATAGCAAAGTACTTTTATAAAAATACAGGTAAAAAGACTCTTTATGAAAAGAAACAGGGTTAGCGTGCCTACATAGCAAGCTATTTTGCAAAATTCAAGATTATTTAGATTTGCTTCTGTGTATCTCCATTCACATCACACACATCACACATGTGTGTGATGTGAATGGAGATACACAGAAGCAAATCTCCATTATAAGAACAAAATAAAACAATCTTTCTAATGGCGAAATTAGTCTTATTATTACGAAATTCAAAGCAGTTTTAACTTAAATCATTATAACATTAATTGTGATTTCGTCATAATGTTGAAATTTAAAATGAATACGAAAATTAAACATTAATAAATGCAATATTTTGTTTTTTTTTTTTAATTATATTACTGGGTAACGCGGCAAGGCAATTGTTTCGTATTATAAAACTTCGGGCAGAAGCCTGGATACCATTTCTGACGAGCCCTTACTAGGTATTATTTCATTGGATGCCGTATGTTTTCCAGAATGAGAAAGCGTCGTAAAAGAATACAAATATGTTTTCATCGTCAGTGGCCTAAACAATAAAGATCTTACATCTAATTAGTCGCGGCCGGCTCCATTAATTATCGTACATTCAGGAATACCTTAATATTATTACAAATTTCAAATATTACTATTAATCGATGATAATTTTTTTAGCCAATCAAATCTCATCCAGGCCACCGGTATTAGAGCATGGGCAATAATAACCAAGGGTTCGACAGGTGTGTATAGCGTTACCTGTAGACGGCTCCCATAGTGGCGGCCTCGTCGGCGTTGATGGACCTGGAGGGCTCGTGGCCCACGGCGTCCTTGAGCGCGTGCAGCGCGGCGGGCACGCGCGAGGCGCCGCCGGCCACGATGAGGCGCGCGCCCGACCCCGCGCCGCCGCCCGCCGCGATGGCGCGCTGCACCACGCCCGACACGCGCCCCCACAAGTCGGCGCACAGCTCTTCGAATTCGACGCGCGTCACCAGCTGCTTGAAGTCCTTGTCGTCGAGCAAGCTCTCGATCTGAGCGTAATGCTCGGTGTTAGCGGACAGCACGATCTTCAATCTCTCCGCTTCTCTGAGCAGTTTCTCCATGGCGCGCGGTGAAACTCTAACGTCACCCCCGCCGTTGGCTTCCCAAGCCTTGATAAGGTGTTCGCGGAGTCGAAGGGTCATTTCGTGGCCTCCTAACGTTCTACAAAAAAAAAGGCAAATATGAATTTTACCCTTCCTTACCCTATTCGGTGGACGTTTGCTATATGTATGGGATATGTCGAATATGTGAGATCGACGCTCTAACTGAAGTTAGAAGTATATATCAGCAAAAAGTCTCGTTAAATATTTTTCGGTCTCGCTACCATCGACTCGGAGCATGTAACGCGCGATAAGGAAATTCGTTCCAAAATAATCTCAATCAATCTTTAAAATCACAACATTCTGTATCATGTAAAGTATTGAAGAATGGTTTGCCTACTCTATCCTTTTTATTATTAGCAGATATAATTTTTTTCCTGTAGAAATAAGAGAATTTTTATACATATTATATACACATGGGTTTAGGAAAATTACTGAGGCAAAATATGTTACCATACCTGTCATAACCAACACCCAACACCTGCAGCTGAGGTACAGTCTCGACATAGCCTTTGTCCTTTATCTTCACTGTCTTGTATTCAACCAATGCAGCCTTGGTGGAAGCGGCACCCATGTCAAAGAACAGCGCATGCCATGCAGTTTCATTGATTTCCTGTGACAAAAATAAAAGTATTTTGACATTCAATTTATCCATATCTATCATAGGTATAATACTACAGTCGCTCTATCTGAGCCTTCAGATTTTTTCAGCTGACAAAACAAGAGAAGAAATAAAGATTGAATTGAGTAAATCCATATTCAATTACCTAATGAAATAGGTTCATTTTTTCTATTTAAGGTTTCAGATAATCTGATTTGTAAATTATTCTTTATTTAGTATGTTTATATTATTTGAACACAACCTTTATAATAAGTTAGAAACATCATAAATTTTCACATTGTATTTTCTAATGTAAGCGTAATGTTCTAATATTATCTTTGATCACGATCAATGATTTAAGGACACAAACCTTTCTTCTAAATATTCCATAGTTGATGGCAATAGCAGTGTAGTCATTGATTAATTGTAACACATTCAAGCCAGCAAGGGCAGCAGCATCCTTCACGGCACGGCGCTCAGCTTGATTGAAGTAACCAGGTACCGTGATTACACATTCTGTGATTGGTTGACCTGAAGAAAAAAATTGACCTTTGACTTTTGACTTTGGTTTTGGTTGACTTTTGACTTTATACTTGTCTAGTTTATAAAAATGAGAAGGAAGAATTTTTATAACACACTTATTAGCTTGATATGTGTGTGTGTAACAGAATCTCCGAATGTTATTAACAGCTTTTTTTTCCATACCTAATAATACAGTAGTGTCTTTTGCCATGTACTAAAGCGTGTGCTGAAGTAAATGTGACTTAATTACTTGTTTGTTTTTTAGTCTTAATGAGAAAATAATCATAGTTAATGACTAAAAATGCAAAAATAAATGATAGTTTAAAAACTAAGAAACATGCGTTTGTAACTAGACAAAGTAAAAAGTAAAAAATATTTTTCTATAACTTCAAAAAGAAAAATTTTATCATTAACAAGTGTGGGTGCTTTTCAAGATATTTTATAATATAATAACTTTACTTTTACCAATATCTGCCAATCAAATATTTTTACAACATTTTTTTTCTTTTTGAAGTTATGGGAAATTATTTTCTACTTTTAGTTCATCTAGTTACAAAAGCGTATTCTTTAGTTATTTAAACTATAATTTATTTTCCAGGTACGTTGATTATTAGGTACTTCATAATGATTATACATGTCAGTCCCAATAAGTTAGTTTAGTAAGGGATGTTTTTTCCCTACAAACAAAACAACAACAATATGTACCCTATTTTCTACACCATATTCTTGGCAATGTACGCACAATATCACTAACACCATCATCAGTATCTATATACTTCTATTCTAACATAAGAGACTTTTTTTTTTGTTTGTTTAAGAATTATCAGTCAGATATAAATTATTGTTTTTGCCATGAATATAGTATGTACTAAGAAATTATTTAAGTTAACCCTATTATAATATTTCTCAGATGACCTTTTGATATGTATAAGATTTAAAATCTTTTAATTTAGTTGTTGGTCTTACTAAACATCTATGTACTCATAACTAAAAGAGATTAATTGCAATAAACTACAAATTGCAACACTGTGAAAGTAGCACACTTTAATTTCAATACTTCAATAAGACATAAATACATTACATTAAATACATTAAAAAAAAAGGTAACAGAAATATACATATTATATGAATTATAACTGCAGTATGTAATATCTTACTTGCTTATTATTCAAATAGATTATTTATATCAAAAATAAATAACATCTAATGTGTGCAGTAAATGAAAACTAATAAGAATCTTATTATCTTACCGTGGCTGATTTCTGAAAAGTCTTTTGCCTTAGCAAAAAGTTGAGCAACAAGCTCCTCAGGAGTGAACTTTGTATTTTCATCATGGATGAACACAGGTGTGCCCCTCTCTGATTCTACTATTTCATAATAAGGGTAGCGAGTTCTGAAATTTTTTTTAAAGAGTTTGTCATGTATTAAAATTTAATAAAACATATCTATGTCTACTTATATAAGTGCAGTTAATGGAACATAAAAGTATTATCTACTGATAAATCATTCATAATAGAAAAAATACCAGTTGTTTTTGAACTAATATAGATGCAAGAAGAAACTGTCTAATTAGTCATATTAATTAATATTATCTTCAGGTAAAGCTTTAAAATTTTTAATACATCTTCTTGAATTTATTATTATTTCACATTTGAAAAATTAAATTACTTAATAAACAATCTCAATTTATAATATCAGATAATCCACTCTGTTCTTAATAACTTGTATATCTATATAAAGATATGTTAGAGATGAAAACTCTTATGTATTTTGAGTCTATAGTGTCATTAAGTTGAGACATAATCTCCAAAAAACACAAACACATACTTGTTATGAATTTCACTCACACGCCAATATCAACAAAAGTAGTCAATAAAATTAATTATAATAATTTACTTTGCCATGTACTACTACGACTATCTATCACTATGTGTAATATATTAAACTTGTGAAAGGATTGCTATTTCATTAATTATTCAAGGCCTACATTACATTGTAAGGACTAAAATAGTCAGGAAAATCAATAGAAATGGTATTGTTTGATGCATGATAAATTATCCAATTCAATTAAAGTCAATTCTAATTAATAACTAAGTCAAAACATAAATGTAAAAAATCCTATATGCAAATATGATATTACACTTCTAAAGAATAATAATGTCTTATTAACAATATTTTTTTCAATGATAAAGTTAACTTTCACTTATGAGATGAAAATAATGTAATCCTTTTTATACAAAATAAGATTTTAAAAGATATGAATGAATATGTTTAACTTAACAATTGAATCAAAGTTTTCAAAAAGAATTGCCAAAAGTGATTAAGCATGTCACTGACCTGTAGGCTTGGACCATAGGGTGATCATATGGTTTTCCAAGTAAATCCAATAGATATTTGTATGAATTTTTCGGGAATCTGACGCCAACCGTGACAGCGTCTTCTCCGAAAGTTCTAACGTCATCCCTGAACGCTACGACAGCAGGCGTCTTCCTTTTAGACTCCTTATTTAACACTATTTCCATTGGAACACCAGGAGACACGATGCCTATCTTCATCCATTCTGAACCGAAATCAATAGATATTACGGCTGCTGCATCCGTGTGGTGACTTAGAAGTAACGATAATAGCCCTACACTCAACACCCCGAACATTTTCTGGAATATAAAGGTATAATAATGAAATAAACTGCGAATGCCGAAAAATACATAAGTGATTCCTGAAAGTAGGTTGTTGTCGCAAAAGCCTAATTTTTGAAAAATATACACTTACGATATTTAGGCCCATTTTCTTTTATAAAGATACCATCTAGACCTTTAATTTTATCTATCTCTACGCTTGTAATAGCATGAAATAATGAAAGTGTTTAAAAATTATTTTACTTTAGTGAGCCAGCTACTGTAGTCCACGTCAAGTTTAACGTGTTTTCTTCTTTTTGGTTACGATCATTGTTGCCATACTATTCAGCCACGTACGTGAAACTGAAATCTAATTTTCTGAAATTATTCGTTTTTAAGTTGGTCTAATTCAAAATAATCAAAATTTTGTAATGCAGTGTTAATATAAAATATATTTTTTAAAGATACAGGAAAAACAAATGTCTAAAAATCTGGTCAATTTTTAACTCAAAGTTCTCACCTCATACATCTCACCTCTATTCGATTCGGAAGCGGAAAATACACCATAGACGAATACAAATCATATGTTTATTTATGTAGGTTGCTCTTCAGTCTATGGTTTGATTGGGTGTTGAGGAAGGTGTTTGTTGAGTGTTGATCACAAGTACGGAGGTCGCGGAATGCTGTTTATTTATTGTTATTAATCTGTAATTAGTGCGTTCAACAAACAATACAGAGTAAAGGTAAGCATATTGCATCATTGAGACCTATTTTTATCTGTATATACGAAAAACAAAGTTGTCTTAGTGTTTAGTATCATGATTACATCTGTTTTGTGCTTATTTTATTACGCATTTTGAATTATGCACTCTTAATGACACAATTGTAGGTTGTGTAGTTGCGTATAAATAATGTGCAGCGTGGGGTACAAAGGTATCGTTTACATGCGGTTCTAAAAATGTTAGCAGACGCATGAATACGTCGAGACGCATTGGTGGCGCTCCTTCTAAATATGGAATGGGTATTAGTGAACGTTAGTGTTGTCTTCGGTGTGGTGTCACTGGCAGTCCCTACACTTATGTAATAGCCCTTGGAGGTTTGCGACAGCACGTGAATGGAAGAATGCACGCGGCAGCACTTCCACGTCGAAAACACGATGTACGCCGCACGGGCACGACGCAATCGCACACGCGGTCGTCACCGCGCTGGCCTCATCTCAGTTTCCTAGCAACACGTTGTTGATGCCACTGCTGACCCAATGAACACAATAACACATGGTAACCAGCTAACTAGCTGTTACATCACCCCAATTGCATCGCGACGTATTTTCCCTGCTTACGTTGCTAGGGCGCCTATTAACCATAACATAAATTGCTCAAGCAGATTGTAGGGATTTCTCTATTACTGCATTTGACTACTGAACTAGGTGAGTATGCTATTGAATTTCTTGTTATCAAATAGTAATATAATCAAAAACATAATAATGACCTTGGTAAACAATTTATTCAAATTTGAATCAAGTTATCCATACAATTATGTGAATGGTGCATAGGGTGCTACAATTTCATGTTGCTGGCTATAAATAGAGTCTAGACCTTTGTATGACCTAGATTTCAGTTCACAGTTCCTGTAGAATTGCTAATTTTAAAGTCACCTAGAGACACTTCTAGTTTCAATGTATATTTAGATACACTTTTAAACTTAGAAGAATAATAGGATTCTTTCTATACTTAGCATTTTAAACATAGCTTAAATTACATTTTTTTTTTATTACAGTAGCTACTTATACAAGTCTAGCAAGTTGTCTAGTTATGATTTTTTCAAATCTTAATACAAATAATGTGTATTTAGTATTGTGTGATATACCAAGGCTGCTTAATCTTAACTGAATTGATAAGTGTAATACATGTGTGCTGCAACCTGAGATATTTGTAGATATCTTGGGGCTTATCATGGTTATCAACCATTAATACAGAAACTATCTTCTCATGAAATATTTAAGAATAACACTAGGAAATTAAGTAACCCTAATATTATTTTCTGACACTTAATTCGTTCATATATGTCAGACATAAATTTATAATTTTCTTTATTTGAAAATAGTTTTTTCCTGTGATATGACTTGCATGAAAGTATATAGTTTCAATCAAGTCAGATATCCGTGTTAAACTTTATTTTAATATTCATAATTCACCCTACATCCCTTCTTATACCCTTTAAAATTTGTGCCTATGTGGAATTCATTCTTCAAATAATGATCAGAAAACCAAACAAACAATCATGTTTATGATATAAGTTACAAATTATACTTTATTCACAGTGATTTTTGTCATTCAAAAAGCATTTGATCTAGTATGTCAAAAGCATTCAGAACTCTCACTCTTATACATTGCTTTTAATTCTCTCTATTATATTGAATGCTATCACAATAATAACAAATAAATAAACAACATTGATTAGTTATGACATCATTTCCTTATTGGAGTGACTCAAGTATGTGGAACTAATACTCTTATTAGTTTGCTCAAACCAGTTAGTTCTAAATAAGTTTAAGATGTTATTAATTTTCTTACTATTGTTCATATGATTTAATAGTTTTACAGTTGCAGGTGTTTAAAATACTGTAAAAGAATACTGGAGATACAGACACTTCAAAATTAATTACAAATCAGTCTTGAAAAATGATTCCAGTTACAAAGCTATTAATTTTTTGTTTAATTTATTAATTTGCCCGTATTAGGTGTGTAACTATTTAATGAATAACAAAATTGATGATTTGTTTTTCTACATCTATCATGTTAGTACTGAGGAGGTTTTCCTCTTACGAAATAAACATTCTATAAAACAAACACATAAACAAGTGTTCACACATAATCATCTCATTAAATAAATTGCTGACATCCTTGTCACACCTTAATTGTGTTATATTTGCTATTATGTGTAATAATATCTACATATTTGGTGTCAAACTGCTGAATCAAGGTAGGGTCACCAGTGCTAGGGACTAGGGAAAAAATTAACTAAAGTAGGATTTACTTTGTATCTGTAACATTTACAAATCGCCGTATAATCGTTGTACATTATATGTCGTTACATAATCGTATTAGTGTGTCAGTCGGTGTCTCGCAGTTTGTAGTTCAATTCGCTGATGACACGGGGACGCCGCACCGACCACGCTATTACATTTAGCTGTTGTTACTATGCCAAGGTCATACAATATTATGTGATTGTGTAGCTACTTCACGTGATAAATTAAAGATAAAAATACTTGCGTACATATCATTTTCTTTTTCGCATCGCTATTTCTTATTATGTATCTCTACCAACCTAAATGGTTCCTGATAATGACACGATAAGTTGTTACGAGATTAAATTGCGGACTGATTCGCTGATACTTTAAACCTATTTAAATATATTAGTAGCGTTACTGCTACTTAAAGTAACTACCTATATAATCCCTCAACTTAATTATGTAAAGAATGTAATTAAATAATATAGGCACTATCAAGGATTATTTGTTCGACTAGTTTTCGACATAAGGATACGTGATTTCACTTTAAGTAATCAAATAACAAATGGTTCGTTTACTGTGTTACTGACTGTACACCATTGAAATATATTAATTATATCAGAATTAAATAATTAATATAGGTAGTCCTTTTAATTGTACTGATGTTAATCAGTTTTATTTATACGAAGAAACCGTACGTTGCGTGATCTTATTAACTTTAATTCCAACTAGATGGCGCCAATGCGCGGCGAGCGAGGTGGTTCACCAGCGCGAGGCGCGCGTGCTTCTCTTCCACTACCACGACGGTTAATCCGTCAGATTGCCCGGCACGTCGCCTCCAGCGGACGTTCTCTACGCCGGCTAGAAGTCTCTGGAAGGGTCATTGACAACTTCGATGATATTGAAGACGCATCTGATGAATCAGACATGGAACTAGCGCAGCCAGCGTAAGTTTTGATACGAGTTTCACTGGGCTATTTAACTGGCAAAGCTCTATTTTGTTTACCGTCTTAGTAGGATCTAATATTATCAAGGAAATGTGCAATAATTAAGGCTGGATGCATAAGGGCTTTTAAAATTCGACGAGTAACCCTAAAGCGGCGGTTATTTGCTGAAACCAATGTCTATAACACAGGAAAGAAAGTGTGGAATAAATTTTACTCGTATATTATTACTATGTGGGTAAAAATGTTTCATTAAGTTAAAAATCGATAGGTGTCGAAGGGGGTAAAGTCATCAATCTTAATTAGAAACGTCGAATCTTAATACTCTTCATTAAATTACCTAGAAAACCAAACTATTTCGTTATCAAATATTTTGATAAAGATGTTATACTATTAACAGTGTTAGCCATTAAATTCACAGCATAGCGTTTCACAACATAAATGAAGAGAAAAACGTAGTAGTTAAGTACTTGCCATTCTCACATGGGTTAATTGTTGCTAAAATTAATCTTGGAACGTGGCCAATCAGGTAGAGAATGCATGAAATTATTGGTTTTAGAATAGTCAGCATGGGCTGACTTCCCATATTCTGCTTTCTCAACTGAATGGTCAGTTGAGAAAGCCGAATATGGGAAGCATAGTTTACTAAATCTTATTTCCTTGACAATAATACGGAAGATGAAATTCATAGATAAACAGTACACCAAGATATCGCATCGGTACATTTATCCGTCCTGTCATTCTGTTTGCTAACCTCCGACTTCATACGTCTGAGCAAGTTTTTAATTTGTGAATAAGCACTCACTCACACATCAATCTCTAGGGACTGGAATCTTCGATGTAATCATGCACATATTTCTGTAATGTATGACTGATTGAAAAATAAATCTATTTAGTTCCACAAGTATGTATAACTACAAGACTTGCTAAGATATTGTATGATTACTTGGACCATTTCAAACCACTCATGCCCGCAGAATTAATAATTGTATGCCTACTTGGAGTAGCCCAAGGTTTTGCAGTACCACCTAGTGTATTATTTACTCGGTAGCAATGCCAAGTTCAGTGTGTAATTTATGCCTATTGACCTCATCTAATGTAATAGGAAGTAAACAGAGGCTATACATGTAAGCAGATAGATGAAGCAATTAATAACTTCTTATATAAAGAGCCTTCGTACTGTCTCGTTATCTTAACAATTTGCTTTAAAAACCTTTACACTGGAAGGCTCTTACAGCATTGGAAGAAAGACGACTACGGTACTCATTCCATTATTCCGATCCTCATATTATTATATAGGACGTCATTGTGACTTACAATGTACGGAGACAACCATAGTCCAGAGGCTCCCGTAATTTCTACTTACTTGACCAGTTCTACGGCTCCCGATTAATTAATGCAGCACACCAGAAGGCCAATCCTCGGTCTAAAATACCTTTTATGATATTTATGAGATCGCAAGTTGATCGTAACTGAATTGAGACCGAATGTTTATACTTCTACAAAATGTTTTACAATGATTAATTAGTTTTGTTTAGGGATTTCCACGACATTTCAAAAGTAACAATGCTTTCAAATTCACAATTTAAGCGATGTTGAGTGATTAATTTTATGCTAATTGCTATATTGATAAAACAATATTATTTTTATTTAACAATGTTCAATGTTTAGGTATAGATGGGCGTAATAAAGAGAATATTGCCCTTAGCTGTGTGTGTGTGTGTGTGTAATTTTATGAGAAACTAATATATCTCCGTCTCTGATAGGTACTATCGTAGGTACGCTAACGTACCTATATACAATAAAATCACGTGGATCAAGCAAAAACGTGTGACGTAATTTTCAATAACTGTTTCATCTACGTGATGTTTTTTAATTGACTAGGCAGCTCACGTCACGCTGCTTATTTGAAGTATCGGAAGTCGAGTATACAAATATGTACTTTTATTGTAGAATACAGGATTTACTGTACAAAATGTGAATAATGATGACGGCATCTTATGAGAAGTATTTGAATATTCGTGTTAGTGATATCTACTCGTATATTTTGTGTTGACAGTAAATAATAACTTGACATATTTAACTCAGGGCCAGTCCCGGCGGACGTCTGATCTCAAATTAGGCAGAGCTAGACTATCTAGCAACTGACTGAGAAGCCTCAAGAAACTCATTATTTTTTTCATGTTATTCTAATATTGGTCAATCAAGTTAACAATATTATCGGCTCATGTTAACAACAGACTAATAAGTGTTTTTGCACCACTTTTTATACTTGTATAAGTTTTATCTTAGAAACAGCAGAAGTGTGCGTCTAAGTTACCGAGGCTGTGAAAATGAAGTCTCAAATTTGTACAGTTTATGACATCAACGCCTTGATTAGGTCATCAATCAAGTAGAAGTGTAAAACTGATAAAATATACATATGTTATCATTTCACTAGGTTAGTGGGTAAGACAAACTTGATAAAGACAGATTTATTTTTACTATATTAGAATGAACCTTCAAAATACGTTACTATGTATAAGGTTTATGATAAAAGAAATTAGGTGATTGGAAACAAGCTTACAGTGAAAGAGATAAGCTTGCAATTAGCTGCTTTTTTTTGCAGTAATTCGATTATTTCAGCTGTTTTATTCTGTAGCTGTTCTATATGTTCTGACAATAATGATCAGGTACCTACCATCTATTATAAATTCAACACGGCAAGGGAATACCTATTATCCTGGTGGCACACCAGCGATTGTCTGTTGTACTTCCTGCTTGGAAAACAGTGTTTCTATCATATAAACACCACGAGCATAAATTATTCATTAAATAGGTTAGAAATAATATTAGTAATATTCTAAGTAATGTTACAAGTTATTGATAATTTATAATTAGATTAATAATCTTTTGCCGCTACTATCTTTTTTGTAGAATTCAGTTTTTTTCTAAATCTACGCGCAATCTTGCACTGAAATAAACTAGACACCAGATATTATTAGAATCTAGACGTCTAGATAACTATTAACATTTTCTTTTGCCCACGTTTAATCTACGGGTATCAATACTACTGAAAAAGAAAATAAGAAAAAATGGTTTAGCAAGTAGTGTTATGGTAGTCCGTGTGGTGACGGATTAAGAATACGGAGTGTTACCACCCCTGTTCATCCCGTGGGTGTCGTAAGAGCCGACTAAGGGAGAAAACTACGCAGAACAACAACACTGCAGAGAGAAGGAAAACTTGACACAAACCCTATACCAACCCGTCTGGCCAGCGTGGTATAGTAGGCCAAAACCTCTTTTCTAAGGAGAGGCCTATGTTCAGCAGTGGACTATTAAAGGCTGTTGATGTGAAGTAGTGTTAGTTGTGTATAAAACAAACGGACAAAACTGAAAAGGTGGTTAGAAAGCGACACAACACTTATCGATTCTGAAGCGAAAAGATGTTCACCGGATCAACTACATCGTAGCCTAACAAACATGCCTTCGACATAGAACTTTGGACTATAAGAATCATTTCTTTGTTTTCTCTCGTTCGTCCGTTGTAGTGCTGTGATTATTTTAATGCATATCATGAATATTATATAATCTAACGTCTTCCCATCATTATTCATATGCACAACCTTGTTTGACATGCAGTTTAATCTTCAGATTATATACCTGTATCTTGCACTTAAATTCTTGTTAATATTAATAATATTAAAATTACCAGGAATTCAACACCACTACAAATTGGATGTAGGTATCTCCAAGACTCGCTCTCATCCAAAGACTTTAATACTGTTTAACTGTAGCAGGTTCTACAGAGGTATCAATGACCTGCAAAGAAATCAAAAGTAGAATCATCTGAATATTAGTGTAGTCGGTCTATTTATTCAAGTAGAAAAACTTAATATGCGTTCCTATTCCTTACTAGTCGAGGTACAAATTTCTGTAGAATTATGACGTGGAGTAGTACCTAATTATCAATATTCAAGGAAAATGTGTGACCTGTACCTCAGACAATTTAAAGATTTCTCTATCTGTCACGGTAAGAAGGTTAGGCAGACTAAAACATAAACGAATAACTAGGTATAGAATGTCAGTAAACGTATTATTTGATAGTGTAGAATTATGGTAAGATCGTCTCGAATAATTATGGTCCATCTAATCTAAGACGATACAACTTTGTATAGGCGTAATTCACAATTTCAATAACCTTTTTCGTAAAACCATGGAATTATGAAACTATTATCTTTTTGTTGCAGGATATACGAGTACAATTCTTATATAAGAAATACAAAGCTTATTATGACTAAATTTAAATCTTTGAGCACAAAATAACCAATTAATACACAAAAGATGTTTTATTTCAAACTTCGTTTCAAAGTCGCGTAGTTTTGCGGCTCTTCAAATTCAGTTGAATACGAATAATCGTTATAATGTACGAAAAATCGAATTTATTAATAAAGAGTCACTTTTAATCTGACATCCAACGGTCAATGACAACGCATAATTTAAATGAAAAGATTGTAAGTAAATGTAATTTTAAATAAATCTTTGTAGGCAAAAATCGCTCGTGTCCAAGTCTAGCGTAAGCTAAGATTTACTAGTACAATGATGATGTTCGATGTTCTATTACACGGGCTTTTGTAGTAACATAAAAATCTGTGGAACTGTAATCGATTAGTACATATTATGAACTTGTATCGAAACCTCTTAAGAATCTGATATTGTAGTAATAGATTTTTTTGACCCATCGCTATACTTCAATCTGTCAGAACTGTCAAACGGTACCTCTTAGATTAGATGGACTATTACTTAAGTCATTAATAAATAATTTACGATTGTCGTTTCTTAATAGAGAAATAGATAAGTAGATTAACTGAAGTTACAAGCGAGTCATACTAACCCCCTAAGTGTATAGTGTACACTGTCTACTTTTTTTGTTCATAACACGTTAGTCGTAACTAACAAAACAAGGGCAATTAGTTATTATGTACTTAAAGTGAATTTGCTACGACTTAATTATCATCAAACTAACCACTGACAAAAATAACTGGCAGTGGACTAGTATAGGCTGTTGATGAAATTATGATATCATCAATGGATGTTACAATAGTATTTAACAGAATTCTCCATTTAGAATTTAGGGGCTTATTTAACACCACAGACTTTTCACCAACGTGATGATGACGCCAACCAACATTGAACCTACATTATATAAGACGATCGATTATTATTCTATGAATTTTATTATCTGGTTCATCAGGGTGGCTTGCGGTGGCAACGCCGGCAACCTACCCCCAGCAGACCACGACGATGACCTCACAAGTCTCAGCTGGCTTCAAGACAAGAATTTACTTAGAGGTAGTTTAGATAAAACTAGATGTTAAAATTAGAACTTAGAAATAAGGTGGAGGATATAAGCATACGACTCTTGAAGCCGTTTTAGCAACTTTTAAATTGTATGGTAAATGATTTTTTTTTTCTGATAGAGGGGGCAAACGTGCAGACATTTCACCTGATGGAAAGTGACTTCCGTTGCCCATGAACGCCTGCAACTCAGGAGTCACAAGCTCGTTGCTGGCCTTTTAGGAAAGAGTACGCTCTTTTCATGAAGGTTTGAAGGTCGTATCTGTCCTTAAATACTTCAGACGTTAATTTGTTATACAGATTGGTTGGTTAGTTATATTACAAAAGGGGAAATTATATCTATGTCTACATATCTTCAAAAATGTGTCCCTTTTCATAGATTTTCCGTAGAGGCTTCGCATAAAGAATAGCATATATAAATAGAATAGCTGCTTCTGTCTCTAGACAAGATTTTAGATTAATCGTTTTTCTTCTTACTAATGTAATATAACTTAAGTAGCTAACAAGAATAAGTCTACTGGAGAATAAGCCACACAGTTTTGAAAAACAATTCCAACATAAATAAAAAAAAAATACAAGTAATTTTAATGTTTTTAGCAACTCATCATTTTGCCGACATTATAAAACATTGAAGCAAAACAATTGAACTAAGCGCTCTTTGTATTACTTAAAAAACACTAATAATACATAAAAATAAATACCATAATCATATGTACTAGTGCATTTTCAACAAAAATTCGCTAAAATGATAATCTAGAATTTTGTAAAGATTAAGTTGTAAAGATTTAAATTCAGGGGTTTTTTTAAATACAGAAAAATAATACTGTAATAGAAATAATTTCGTCCTTTACAAATGTCTAACAATTCATGCTATCCCCAATAAGCAGTGTCGTAGTTTCACGTTTGCACTATATTATCACTAGATATGTAGATATTGAGATAACCTTTCACACCATATAAATAAAACACGCGTTAAATATATGGCTATCTTTGAGAAAAAGTTATTGAACCTATGTTTTTAACAGTAACTAAACTACACTCAAAATTCTTTGAATGTTCAATATTAATTCGTATGAAGAATTATAACATAATCATACTTTTTCTGATAACCTACGTAAATTTTGTTAATTACATTCATTTTGCGTATAAATGAACTCCATAATAAATTGTTTAGTATTCCAGTTATTCATTATTCATTGGGTGTTAAAATGTATCGTTTCTTTAGACGCCACTCGTCACTTTGTAGTTAGATGTGTCAATGCGACTAGTTTATTTTCTAGAACTGTTTGAAGGAATTCATTAATCCTACTATAAGTTAGACTAGCAATCAAACGTTCAAACACCCCTTAGAAGACAGAAGCACACTTAGGTCTTTAAAAAAATGTCATAAGCGGACTGCCGCAGTAATTGTAGTAAACGCCAGGATTCAAAAAATACACCGAGTCATTCTTTTGAAATCAGTCGGGCGAAATGCTTTTATTCACCTTACACTTATATAAAAACCAGAGATACACATTTTATATTATATCTCATTAGTTCTTAAATGAATTGAGATATACTGGTCATGATTAACGTGAAGCCTTATGTCGTTAAATAAAATAGCATGGAACACATACAATTATGCTTAAAATTACACATATAAGATAATTCAACGAGTATTTTACTTAAACATAAATTATAAAAGTTCTTAGTTAATTTAGTTAACGTTTAATCACCAACTTATTCTATTCCAGGTATTAATCTAACAAAAAGCGACATGGAAGATACCAAAATGGCAGACAATCAAATTGTCGTGAAGGTGAGCTAAGCCTTTCAACTATACGCATTATACCGTATTAATTAATCCTTCGCACATTAGCAAAAAAAACACATGTATATTGAACTTTGACGAAAATGTTAAAGTTTATTTTACTGCATTAAATGTATTTTCGATATCTTTATGGTATTATATAGAAGGAGTTTACATATACTTGGATTTGGCAGACTAGTGCTAGCTGTCAATAGGAATAATCGCTTATCGACAAATTTTCAGTATGCAATGATGTATTCCAACGATGTTATGATTGAATTCCCAAGTTATTAAAAGCTGACACGAAAAAGAACTGCATATACATTACATGTAGCGTTGGGCGAGACGGGTAATCTACTTAAGTTTCTAATTCGTTTACTTTACCTTCTTTAAACTTTTCTAATTGACTAATGATAATTTTATAAATAATGTTGTAAACTAAAAGATGAACTTTTAGTTTTCAGAAGCTCATGTAAGAGTAAATTAATAAGTCGAACTCACGACCCGCTGTTACCGTTACAATATTAGCCTTATTGAGCAATACAACTTATTGCCGTCATCCTTTCTCGCGGTGTCCAACAAATGATTTATTACTTCGCTGATTATAAACGTGAACAAGTGGACTATTTTTTTATTTGAAATATCAGCCCTAATAGCATAAATCTGAAATATCTAATAAATAATAAAATTACATCATTTATGTCCACCTAAATCTCAGGGCACAAAATAATGCACCAGGGACTTCCTTTCTAGGGTATACCTGGTTCCCCGGCTATTAGTACCCAAGACGGCGTGCGGTTTTAGTCGGTTCGAGTCCGACATGCCACCGACAGGTGGTATCCGAGGGGATTTCCGCACGGAAAAAAAAAAGGGCACAAAATAAGGAAAAAATCATATAGTACTAACAACTATCACCAAGAATGTCAAAAACCCTTTAGATCTTAAGCAAGTATTGTTTCCACTGTGCATCGTGAAATAGGCAAAGAAGAAAGTGTAGTTAAATGGCAATCTTCAATTTTGAAGCGCTTTGTAGGCGTGACCAATGGCCGATAAGTTAGTAGGTTAGTCTATATGAGATTGAATAAAAAGACAGTGTCAAAATTATTTGGATATAAATTGGGTAGATACTAACTGTTGGGGTTATCATAGGTAAAAAAGTTTGGATTTAGAGTTGATCAGGAATAAAGGATTTTATACTAAGCGAAAAAATTCAAATAGTAATGAAACTATTTCTCCGTGTGGTGACGGATTCAAAATACGGAGTGTCACCATCCCTGGGTGCCGACTGATTGAGCAAACTAGACAGGACACTAGCACTGGAAAGAGAAGAAAAGCCTGACTCAAACCCAATACCAACCCGTCTGGCCAGTCTCTTTCTATTCTGACAATTGTTGCTTATTATTATTTGGCATACTAGGCCAAAACGCCATTTCTAAGGAGAGGCCTATGTCCAGCAATGGACTATTAAAGGCTGTTGATGCAATCAATTATCAATTTGAATGAAACTTACAAATCCTTCACCAAGATATAAATTTCAGCGGGGAAATAATCTTTTATATACTTACGAAAAGTTATTTAGGTGCCTATTTAAACATGACTACAAAAACAATGTAAATTAATTAAGATAAAACTGGTCGTAATACTTTTGCAAGATATGCAGGTCATATATTGAAAATAAATGGTCCAATAGTTGGACACACGTGTGTGAAAATTTAAGCAAAACTTACAAAATCTCTTATCAGAATAAATAATTAAAAGTATATTTTTATTATACTGATTTAAACATTTCATTCAACAAACTGTTCACCCGTTCGTTATCACATAAAACAAATGAATCTTATAGAATTAATATGGCGCATAAGTTGATGACCCATTATGATAAAACAAGAAAAGAAAACTCAACTTGCGACTATCTAGAAAATTGTATCTAAATAGTCGCAAGCGTACGTTCAAATTTATTACGATATTTTGTTAAGAAATTGTTAACAGTAGCACGGAACCTGTGTCTCTTTCTATTCTGACAATTGTTGCTTATTACGTATTAAAGTATAGCTCGTAAAACGTCAAGGTGACCCACCTGGTAGAAGTGGGTATTCTTTGGGCATATACATGTATTGTGATCGGCAGTGATAGGTTGAAATACACAAATAGTCTGCTGTAAAAGTTTATAGGGAATTCCCTAAAATAGTTTATAAAGTAACGTTATCACCTTAAGTTGTTGCTTATAGACAGAAAGTAGGTACACTAGAGGCTACGATTCTTTAAATTTTGATTTGTATTTCTGTTACCTATTTTCAATAGTTTAAACTATTACTCATCCTCTTAATGTCTAGGAAGACCTTCTTTACTATGGCCAAAATAATTTTATGTTATATGGGCCTTTGTAGCTTCTATATTATTTTCAATGATTTTTTTTATATATAAAGGGGTTTCCACTTCTTCCATTATACATGTATAAAATTAGTATTTTAAATTTCCTATTGCAACGCAATTAGCGCGTCGTTTTTCTTTAAAAAAACAACAAACTTTTTTTTTTTTTTTAACGTGTGGAAATCCCCTCGGACCGTCACCCCACCGGGGTTTGCGGCGGGGTGGTGTGTCGGACTCGGACCGACTAAAACCACACGGTGTGCCACTCTGCGCCTGTAAAAAAAACAACAAACTACGCCAACGAATTGACTTTACTTAGGTGAGACTTAAATCAGGTTGGAACCCGTGACCCGTGTGCTTGCTCTGTAGGCTACATGAAGTTCACTACTGAAAATATTGTAAAATACAGGGTAAATAATCGTAAGAGATACTCCATACTCCTGAGTGTAAGCCGATAAATACTTTGTTAACTGTAGCAAAAGTAAGTTCCACGGCACACAGTTCGACAGCGTTATCAAAAATTTAAGACCTTTTTTTTTCACGCGGGGTATGCTTACTCACTAAACCCCGCGGTGGATTTAAGACCTAAGTAACTTCGTTAGAGAAATCTATATCATAACGCATATATGGATTTTACCTAAATAACTTATTTTTTATGCGTTATTACAATGTAGTGTGCTCGCTAGGCTAAAACAAACGTTGTCTATTATACAAACATCACCGCATACACGAACGTCACTGTAAAGTGAAGTGAGAAAGTAAACATTACATATAAAATTAATTCACGAAAGGCGTACAATTTCTTTGTCACTAGCTTTGTCTGTAATGAACACGTATTATATTTAGACAAGTGTGACGACACACGCGAACGTTTTTATATTAGGTTAAACAAAAGCATTTGTTTCGCCCTATTTTCATAGTGCCGGTGTTTATAATAGTTTTAAGTTCGATTATTAACGGATGACACGGACATTGATTTATTTATTTTTATCGCGACACCATGAGGTCATCTGATCGCAAAATTAGCTACAGCCTGTACTTTGAACTCCAGGCTATTGATGAACGGGTCTGCACTAAACCAAGATGCCTGTCGAAATGTGCAATTTACTCCTTAAGAGTAATTGTTTGGTTTATAATTTATTTTTTATTTAAATTCAATCAATTTTTACTAACCGTCCCTCTTCACTGTTCTGTTGTGTTCCTCCTCCTCTCAACTCTTCCTTATCGTTGCGAAACTGCAGAACAGCTAACATTATTAATTAGCATTAATTCAAAATTTCAAGTCTGTTAAAGCTAATTACAAATAATGGTTGTAGAATAATTCGTTAAGCGTTATAATGTTAATTAAATGCCGCTAGAATTATTTAATTTTGTAATAATGCGAAAAAAAGCAATGTCAGTTTTCAGCAATTCGGATTAGTCTGTACATTTCATAATATACTGGAATATACAGACCCAGAGTTATGGGTTTTTGAACATGAAAATGTGCATAGCTTTTAAAATACAAACGACGACATCTAACTACAGTGTATGGATTCGTCATGAGTAGGTACTCATGCCGCTTAGTTACTTCGTTTTTTTTTAATTACTTCTCTAAGATAATGAGAAGACTGATAAACCAACTGATGACTAATATTTTTGTCCGCAGAGAGATACAAAAACTCCACCTCCAATCGCCCGAGTACCTTCCCCACCCCGAACTCCGTGCAAGGCTCCACCCTCTCCTCCAGCCAATACCCACACTAAACCTCCTTACTCGTTTTCGTGTCTCATCTTCATGGCGATCGAAGCGGCCCCAGCTAGAGCATTACCCGTGAAGGAAATCTATGCATGGATCGTACGACATTTTCCCTACTTCAGACATGCTCCTCAGGGTTGGAAGAATTCAGTTAGACATAATCTGTCTTTGAACAAGTGCTTCCATAAGGTACATAAACTATTATTATTTTTGTTTATTGCTATAAAGTATACAACAGTTAGCGTTTGATTACAAAATGAAGTCTATTTTAACGTTAACGTTATTTTTCTTTACAGAATGTACTTATAGATTGATAAATCAAAATAATTTATTTTAATAAATCACAAACAACAATTGCAGGTGGCGGCTGCGCCAGGTCTTGGGAAGGGTTCTCTGTGGACGGTCGACCCCCAGCATCGTGCTTCATTACTGCAGGTAGGTGAAATTTTCTATTGTAAATGATGTATTCCTTCTAAAACCACAGCAATTGACCAATTTTTAAAGGATTCATCACTTCATTCGAGTCGTATCGATCAAACTTTTATCCTCAACGTTACTCCCGATAAAGCAGATTTTGTGAATCGATTCATCACGGATCGTTTCTAGTATTGAAATATTTCTGGAAAAGTGAGCCGTATGTTCTTTTCTGTATTCGGATTAGTATCAAATTTGGATTCGCCTACTATCCCTCTGTATGATATTTGTGCGTGTAAGATTAGTTTACGTAGGTTTTACGTAGAAACAAGCGTTCGTTCCAGGCGTTCGGTCGGCAGCCCATCCCGGTGGCGGGCGAGGTGGGCGAGGTGGGCGAGGCGGGGGAGGCGGGCGAGGGTGAGGCGGCGGAGCGCGGCGCGTCGCCGGCGCGCGTGTCGCTGCTGGCGCGCCGCCTCGCCGACCCCGAGCCGGGCGCCGACGAGTACCTCGCCGCCGCCACCGTGCTCGCCATGAAGTACGGGCCCGCCGTGCTCGACCAGGTAACCGCTCCTCGCTGCTAAACTTCCTTAACATGTTCGTAACTATCGTTTACGTACAGCCACACTGTACTGTGCCCATTCGTTCAAACAGTACACCGAGTCAACAATATACCGTGTCCGAGTCGCTTAAGTCATTTAGTAAATGTCTTTTCTGTTTTTGTGGCTACAAAAATATTACAAAACGAAGGTCCTCCATTATTTAAAATAATGAAACTGTACTTGATGAAAATAATCGATTTCATCTTTAAACATAAAATAGAAAAACAATATTAATCAACGACTTATTTTTTTCAAACTTTACCATTGCTACCTTATCTGTTTGACATGTTGTTCACTAAATTTTCTTTTACGCTGTCTGAGAATATTCTTCCATATCTCTGTGAGGATTTTGAAGCGTAATTGTTGCCTCGGCCTACTCGATCGGGTCGAGGTCCAGAAAACGTGCTCGCCACTTCAAACGGTTAACTTTCACTTATTGAACGATCTCATATACAATCCGACCAGATTTCATTGCTCCCGAGTCTAGTTTTTAATCGATAAAATGATAGAGACCGGAACCGAAGTAGTAAAAAATTGCTGCGCTAACGCTAAAAAAAAATGGAAAGAAAGTAGTTATATGACAATAATAGGATCGAAATACTAATTTTAAAGGGTGCTCTCTGTCATGTATAATGACATATACGTACGGGAACGAACGCGATCATGTAAAAAGAATAGAATAGGTTCGAACGGGCCCCCGATGTAAGCTTGGGCTGTGTGTGCAGCTGCCGCCGGCGGCGCACCTGGTGATCTCGCGGTGCGCGCGCGACGAGCACTCGTACAGCGGCGGCGAGGAGCGGCGCACGGCCGAGGCGCTGCTCAACCTCGCCGGCGTGCGCTCCGAGCCCGCGCCCAGCTAGTGCACCGGGGAACGTCTCCGCTCACCGCCCGCCCCGATTTCACACTTAGTTCTACGTCACTATTTATAATTTTAGTATTTATTCTACGCAATGATGTTACCGATTATTTCGAATGAACGTCGTTTCGTTGTTTCGGTCTGAGCTATCAAATTTTGTGGCGACGCCAGTGTTTTAGGTACTCTGTGTCTATTGATTCTTGTGATGCGGCACGAAGACGTCACGGACCGAGCGGCGCATCCCTCTAACGCCTCTTTCTCCCTCTTAGGTAAAAGTGTCGTAATTTTAAGTATGAATAACGTCACGTGCGACACTGCGCTTCTTTATCTTTATATTCTCATTATTGTTGTACGTTATTTTTCATAATGTGCAGATTGGTAAACCAATTTTTGAGAGACACCACCGTGAATGTTTTTATTGGTTTAACTATTTTAAAATTATGACTTAAGTTGTTAAATTTTAAATTAGAAATTTCATGAAAAATGTGGGCAAAGCCCTCTTAAATTCGATAATTCTAAATTGACAAACATATGAGTTCATAGAACAAACGATGGTATAATAATTGAGAATTTCTATTAAGTCGCAATGTTATGTATTTAAATAGACAAATCGTTTACCATTCTCTAGTCCAACAAAGACGACCTGTATATCGTGTATCGACAAGACAAAAGAAATGAATATATCTTTACTATAATTATATAAATTATGAAATAGTAATCATTTTTAGGTAAAATGGTTCATACACTATCTAATTAGGACCTGACTTTTTTCTCATTCGATATCTTTTCCGAATGTTGTCATCACATAACCCCAGTGTACCCATATATTATGATGGTAGAATAATTACTCTTTTATATAATAGTAGATACTTATAGTGATAGATGTGATACTACTGATACTTTTTAGTACGAATTGTTATTTAAAAGAATGGAAAATAGTTACTCCCTAGATGCATTTAGGTTTCCTCCATTTTATTAATAGTCAATCAGTCGTAATATTATAAGAATTAATTGTTCATAATTTTAAAGTTTTAGTGCCGTGTTTCCGTCGATCGAGTTTTGATTTTACGCCGTGAGTTGCCAGAGTAAAATGATTTATGACATTTAATAATGTTGCCATTGTGCATAATTAAATGACGGAAGTGTGGTGCTGGTAGGTATTAAGTTATTATAATTTTATTATTTACAATATTGTTTCGCTTTGTCAATATTACGTCTAAGTAACACTACATCGTCTGTCATTTTAATATAATATGTCTATGTATTATCAAGTGAGCAATATCAAAATACAAATACTTTAATATATCTTGTGATCTGTTCATACAAACATTGCATACAGGGCGATCAAAATATATTATTTTGTATCTATTTAAATTTTTGTCTCTCGAAACTAATAGTACATGTATATATTCATATTATAGCATAGTTACATTAGCAATAAGCATGCCGTATTTTGTGTTCATAAACCAAGGAATCTACCACATACAATCTACAGTGCTATAAAACCTCATTTATTATATCGATAAGGGCTTATATCTACGATTATATATATCTGTATGTGGTTAGATGAAACATGTACTCAAATAATTTTACCGGTATATTTATTAGACTGTAGACCGACCCATTATCTCGCAATTAAGACTTAGAATAAAATAGCAAGCAACCACATATAGGAAACTATATTCATGTTTAACAAATTATTATTATTAATTTTCGATATATTACATAGCTGCTTTCTCTTTGAACTAAAATCAACTATTACCGTAAAGATTAAGCTCTAGTAAGTGTAGAACGAGGTCTGTCAAAATCAAGTCGCCATTTTGTAAATATTCTACTAAATTACTTAAACAAAATGGCGTTGATAGCTAAAGATGTGTGTTACCATGCACAGCCAGAAAATTTATCGATGCCTAATATTGCGAAGTTTAAAATAATAATAAACGAACTTATTTACGCATTGTATATGTAACATAATTATGTGGCCGTTTTCTCTCAAGTGCCTACTAAAATGCTTCTATTCTATAGTTAGAGAATAACTGGAGTACGGAGTGTTGTTAGCAGGGGACGAGTGCCAGAATAAATACCACGAAATAATTTCTATAAGAGGGACATTATTAAAATGATTACATACTAATTTACGCCGCATCATAATTAGTGAGAAGCGGGCTGTGACAGGCTGACATATTTTTCATTTTGAAAGTGCCCATCATTTTATTTATTTTTTAATTTATTAAATAACTGAATTAAGTTTTGACATCTAGAGTTTAGTGTATTTACATCTGGCACTCACGGGAAAGCCTTGGAAGAATACACCAAATAGTGTTTATTGTGATAAAACTTCAATTTAGTTTAACGTTTGTCTCGTAATATAATTGGGTTTATTGTGTAAATGTCAAATCCAATTATAAATACTCTGTACCACAGTTCACTAGCCAGCTATCGTATAAGAAAGAAACTAATGGTTTTGAAGATGGGGATATGTATTTATTATAAATTAGTATTGAGAGTTTTTCACTACTGTGTGAAGTGAGAGAGGTTTACGTAAGCTGTGGTATCAGTTTTCTTTTTGTTTATATGTAAGCAATTGTAATTCTTATTTTGATGGCTTGATTAGTACAATTTCATTAGTGTTTCGTCGTATATACATGTAGGAGTACTAGACTGATGCAATGACTGATTTGTGATGAAGCAATATTATTTATTAGTGAAAATGGTACATTTTTCCTTTTACCTGCGGTTTGTTCCTCGCATAACTGTGACGGTAAAGTTACAATTTTTTATTAAGCCAAGTAAATACAGTTTGGCTAATTAAAACAGAACATGTTTTTTTAATAAAAGTTCTTTTTAATATGTATGCAAGTAATTTATTTTAATATTGGTTATTTAAAAATTACCACAGTTGCTTCTGCTGTTGTAAATGCAGAGCTAAGTATAAAGTCTGACGATCCTGTAAAGTTAAGTGCTTCAAATCTATGGCGAAATGCTTAGAAATAATTTCTCCAAGCCGTATTTGCGTTGACTTCCTCGTGACTTTGGTTTTGTAGGCAAATAAAGGAATGGTCTATGTGTGCCAAATGTTTATGAAATATGAAAACATTAATACCATAATATATCAAACAATTCAAATAGTAGTAATGTGAATGTATTTATATAAAGAAACTATGTAACGCATAGATTAGGTGGTAAGTGATATTATAGTAATATAATTTAATTGCTAAATAATTAAAATATATACATTTTTGCTGTATTTAGGAGCGTCTTCCATCTTACTCGTATTGTTTCCTCTTAGATAACTACCATTGGAGAAATAAGTTTACGTGACATAGAAGAGTTGCAGAATGTTGCTCAATATTTAATATCGGGCGAACTTCTGAGGTTAAAACAACGGTGACTGTGTATGACACGTCTGGGTAGAAATTATAGTACTAGTGTGTTAAAATGATGTTGGTTTTGTGAAGTGTGGTGTGTGCTAAACGTAGACTTTCTTCTCTAACGGTCAAGACTAGCCTTTCTGTCGGTGGTATGTAAGTGAAATTTTACAGCAATAATTAGTACCTAATAGTAGTACTTTGCTGGTAGATGCTACGTATAATTATGTGTGATAAAACGCAATTTATTTATTAAGTGCTGTGTTCGATACAATTTTGTGATCGTAAGCAATTTACAAGCGGTATTGCGTTTTGCCCGTTACCTTGGTCACAGACCACTGCTTTTATTTAACTGGAGAAACACCGATGTATGCGGTTGTTTATGATCAGAAAATTACTTTTAAAAGGTTATATCAATATGATATTAAAATTGTTACGGCTCATGTTCTATTGTCAAAAAAGATTTTTTTATTGATTAATTTATTTTTAGGTTAGTTATGTTATTTTATGTTTGTAGAACGAATTTTATAAACAGAATGTATGTACTTCTCTGAACTGAAGCACTTTTGTTTAGAATCGTCGTTTTACAAGCGAAATTATCATGTCGCCTTTGTAGTTGTCTAAGGTAATAATGTTCGAAATGGCTTTGTGGATGGTGAAATTATAACCAATTGGTATTGGATGGAATATATTTCGTTTGTTACACTAGCGACGTGATAATTTTAAGCTAGCTGTATGTCGTGTCCGAACTATATTTAATTAATAAAATTAAATTATTGTTGTTGTTGATATTTTGCCGGCTTTGAACGACACCACTCTTTATTAATATTATTGCTATTGTTGAGAGTTATTGCCAAATTTTTATTTGTCCTAAAATCTTTTGTCTTTGTACATATCCATTAAATAAATTATGTACCGAGAATGTTTAGTTTTATTTCATATAAGTTTAATCCCATTTCATTGTTTTATTTAGTTAGGGCAGGAATGTGCAGGGAAGCCTATCTTGAGATGTTATATAGGTATAATAGGCACCCATATGTTGGTCAACCGATTGTGTCTTAAGTATTTAGACGAGATAGCGTTTCAATAAAAACGCTTGGAAATAGTTGTTTTCTTGATAACAATTCATAACTAAATTGAAGAAAAATAAATTGATAGGTTGATTTTCAACCTTTGGCTTATCACCAATTTAATTAAAAAATGCCTTGGAGTCTTTTAAGAGAATTAATTGCTGGGCTAAAAAGACAAGCCCACATTTTTGGTTATTCGGGTTTGAGGTAAAGTATGGCAATGATAGTTTGCTATCTTTGAACGTATCGGAACTGTGACCATGCTCACACTTACATTCTTCAAAGATACTTTGCCTGGCAATAGACGAAAATAGTTTCCCAATAATTACTGAACCAGGCTGCCAGGAACAAATAAAAAACTTGCCTATTTCGCCTCTAATGTAACAGGGTCTCTAATTTGTAACGGACTGACCCTCACTGAGAAAAATATGTAATGTTGACCCTCACTGAAAAAAATGTATAGTACAATTAAGTAGCAAAACGCCTCAAACTTGTTACAGAAGAAATTTCAGCTCCGTTAAAAAGTTTGTAGAGAAGTTAAGATTCAATGTTGTTTTTGCCTTCTATTAAGCTATAGTTAAACCGCCGTAAGCTTGGCCCCCTCCTGATGGTTTGCGGGACGCGGGGCGGGTGATGCGCTCGGCTATACATGACACGATGTACTAACTCGATATCTCCAGATTTATTTCTTTGAGATTTAATCTACACACGATGTAATAAAAAATATTGTAAGTTTTTATGATTAATTGTAAAATTTAATACTGTAAAATAATTTTAACAAAATCACCTTAACTTCATCATGTAAATTATATTCAGATACAATTTAAAAATTAAGTAAATTAATAAATATTCTTTATTAGAACTTTAACAGTAGAACCTCTGTAAGCCGAACTTCAAGTTTTTAAGTCTTTTTGTAAGGCAGAGTCTGCAGATTATCCATATTCCAAAATAATACTGTGTGTAGCAGTCTTAAGAAAAATAACACGTACAGCCATGCTTTCACGTCAGTCACTGCCGGCGGACAGCGACGCACTAGCTAATTGGTTGAATGCACGGCAATGCACGCCCGCCCCGCGTCCCCCAAACCATCAGGAGGGCCAAGCTTACGGCGGTTTAACTATAATGTTGCAGCTAAAAGCGTTTTAACTAAAAAAATCTGATACAAGTACTTTAAAATGAAAATAATAATATTTTTTTAATGTGATAGAATATTATATTATTATTATAAATAGCAGTAAAAGTACTTTTGCCCTATAAAGCTGATAGTATTATTGGGTTTTTATTTAAACTTGAAGTTCTAACCAATTACAAGTGGAAAACTGATTCATATGTGGTTACCTTTTTACTTAAATTCCTCCTTTTCATTATTTACGAGTATTTTATAAGTGTATCATGATTTCGCGGACCACTGACACTTGCTAGTGGTCCCTGAATTCCCAATAACAAAAACTTTTTAAAAGAAGTTCCTATGTTCAGAACTGGATGTGGTTTAGGTGATAATGGTTTAATTTAAACAAATAATATTAAATACTAAATTTATTTTATTATTAGAAAAGAACAAAAGCGTAGCTCTACAACAGTACGTCGCCCGTACGTAAATATAATATTTGTCTTAAAATTACAATATAATGTTGCCTAAATTACATAACAATAATCCCACAGTCCACTACATCTCACAATTGTGAAGGGATTTATCTCGAGTGAGTAGCTAAAAAGTAGACTAGTTAATATAGAAGTACATCGCACTATACTCTCACTTGACTCGTCACGCTACAACAGAAAGATTAGATTATAGATGTCAAATGCCCTTAGAGTGGGCATTCTGTGATGTCTAAATTAAGTAGGAACTCAAAGATATATCATGAAATTGTGCTCAGTTCGCCCCAACAGGTCGTCGTTAATCTAATGACCAATCATATGTTTCAACTCGAGGGTTATTAGGAAAGACGATCGTAACACCGCATTGTATGCAAGCCTTACAGTAAGTGCTGCAATACTGATTCCTCCCATTTTTATAATTACAAGTATCTGTTACACAATACTATTAACTGTATCGTAAGCTTTACCGTGTCCTCATCTCGATTTAGTATTGAACAACTATAATGATTATAAACATTCATACTCTCATTCAACACTAACCTATAAAAAGATCTAAATGAAAAACAGTTGCCATTTCAAAAAATCAATTTTGTGTTCATTTTTTTTCCAATCAATGATTTATTTTTGTTACTGGTAACATAAAACTTTAAGACAACTTTTTTCTACTCTACATTGAATTACTGCAAAAAGAGTGATACTTATCAATCCTTTTTTATTATTATTTCAGTCCTTTGTCACATAACTGTGGCAAGTTCGATTCTTGCGCTACATCTGTTATTTCACGATATAAATAACGTTGGTGTAGCGTGACCCGACTGTTCACGAGAAGTATATCTGTCTCGCTTCCGTAGGTGACTGTTCCATCGGGCAGTAGGGGCATTTCAATCTGAAACAAGGAGAATTATTAACGTAAACATTTTGGCAACATCTACATATGATTACGATATTTCTACATTTAAATAAAATCGAAGTGTCTGTTTATAGAACTGTAATTCTGGCGTCATCTTTTAATTAAAAGGATATAAAATTCCAAAATATCATTTTTTAAGTTCATCTTTTAGCAGGAACAAGTAATAGATTAAATTACATGGGAATTTCACTTGTAAATAGCTGATATCATAAGTAAGAGATAATTTAGGAAAAAGAATTGTGCCTAGTTTACACGCTTGCTGAGGCTTGGCAAACTTCCATAAGCTAAAAGCATTCTTGGATGCCATTTACACGCTTGCGAGTGTGTTCCGGACAGGCAAACATAGTTTGGTTTGACATTTTTATTTAAAATATGCTCTAGCCCAACTGCTCAACTAGTAGAGCATTGGTACTTAATGTTGATTCTCGACTGCAATGGGGCACAAGCACGCATTAACATGTAAATACGTGCAAGCTTCTTTTGATCTGTGTTCAAAAACCGACGACAAGCTCACGCATGCCGTTTACACGCTTGTGTTTGTAGACACTTGATGAGACTTGCCAAGCGTGTAAATATACCATTAGGTTTCCCCCAAAAACCATATGTTTACGAGAACCAAGCCGCGATGGGGACAATGTATAATAATATCATACACAACATTACACATAAGTTTTTGTGCATATATCATTCTGAAATTGTAATCACTGTAGGCTTTCTAGATTTTTATTTAGATATGAGTCGTAACCTCAATCATTATCTATTAATATCCTCACCACAGCTAATTGACAACCTAATGATGACAGTTATACTTACTTGGCACCCATGGCGAGTTTGTTAAGCGCGTCCCTAGATATGACGTGCCCGCAGAGTAACCTCATGGGAGGATTCTGTTCTGACGCCTGTTGACGCAGGATAGGGCACGCGAACACCGAGTGGTAGCCACCACCATCTTCACCAAGATCCACCTGCAACAAAAAATATATAAGAATAATCATGTTTTAATACCAGCGTTTTGATAATTTTTGACATTTTTATCAGCTGTGCTGTAAGCGATATAACCCGAAGATATCCGAAACTGAGTGGTAACAAAATGCAATCACTCAATAGTATCGCATTTGTTTATTAATATAATTAGTATTAAAAAAATAATTATACAAGGATAAAAAATATAAATTTAGTACACGACTAATGAATACAAAAAAGTATGTTTAATTATTTTTTATGTTAATGTATCAAATTAAATGGAAGCATTTTTTAGGTTTCCTGCACTATCTAGACTTTAGACTAGAGAGAAAAAGAAACTCAAAAAATGCTAATATTCTAGTTTCGAGAGCATAGACTCTCCATTTGGACAAATGGGCGGGGTGTGTTCAATAAACAAATAATCAATAAATAAAAATCTACTTCTTTTCATGAAAGAGTCAGGTACGCCGGCAAATCCCGGGCCCGCAGACGTAAGCGGTTCCCGTACGTTACCTCAAAAGGCAGTTCATCGTCAGACCAAGCGGCGATGACGTGCGGGTGCGTCATCTTGGCGCGGATGTCGTGCAGCGCGGGCAGCACGCGGCAGCCCGCCAGCACCGCGCCCGCCAGCGGCGACAGCGGCGCCAGCCGCAGCAGCGCGCACGCCTCCTTGATGAACAGCTCCGCCGCCTCCGCACCTACGTTCACAATTATTTTAAAGATCGCTCGTCAGTGGCGGTGCGACATGCTAAATATTCATTAAATAGTCGAACTCGACATACGGCTCGGTAAGACAGAATCCGCAAACCGAGAATAGCTTAGCCTCCCGGTATGAGCCATCGAACTCGTTATATTATAGGTTCTCGAATGTTGCTGAATTTAAATATCTATTTCCCGCTAAAGTCTATATTCAAAAGAATAGCTTTTATTCTCTCATTCGTCTATCGTTGACTCAACCTTTATCTTTTTTTCACATACCGTTAATACTACTCGAACTATCGTTAACACTCCTTAATGCGTTCGTATCAGTAGTGTGTCCATATTTCTCACCTGTACTATCCTATCGATTAAATCGAATTTTTCATCACAAAAGTGCCAGTCGATAAGACTCGGGCCCTATTAGGCGAGTGGGATCAAATCGTAGTAGCTAAAATGTATAAAAGAGGAGTCCTGACCGAGAGCCTTGGGGTCGAGCAGGTGCTGGTAGTGCGGCGGCGCAGGCCCGGCGGCGGGCGTGCACCAGGCCAGCGCGCACACGGCCGCCTGCAGCGCGCGCTCGTGGCGCGCCGCGTGCGACGGGAACTGGCGCCGCGCGTACTCGATGGCCGCCACCACACCCTGCGACCGCGCCAGCTGCGCCGAACGACACGAGTTACTACTTACATTGTCTTACATCGTCGCACGCCACAGAAGTCTGTGAGAATCCTTTAGACACTACATTGACACTGAGAATCCTTAAACGCCAAACTGTACAAAAATAAGGATAACTTCCTTTTTATTTTATTTATTATACATAAAAAGACCACTTATATCGATGTACTTGTATTGTTTTAATCGGTCGGTGAAATCTAACTCTCTTATACTCATTAAAGTACAGTTAGGTACATCAAAAAGTCCGACATAAGCACCACATGACACAACCATCAAAAAAAGTTTATATTCTGAATGCTCAATACAACGTGTCTCATAGATTACCTGTATAATAGATCTATCGTTAAAGTAATTAAAATATATTTTTCGTGAAATACAGTATGATACAAAATTAAAAAATACACTTGTTAGTATTTTCAAATTTTAAAAAAGTAAATTATTCTGCATTACCTAGTTAAGACTCAATTTCTAATTAAAGAACTGCCGTTGCCATTATGCAACGTACCTTAAGCGCCTGCATCCTGTGCAAAGTGAACGGAAGAGGTGAGTTGTGGAGCTCATGCGCACGTCTCTCGGCCCAATGTAATGCCGCTGCCGGCTCACCTTCGGCCAAAGCCGCGGCGCAACGTTGTAACAACGCAAACGTACATGTTCGTTCAACACCTGTTATTTTAGCTTCCGACACGAATGAATCACCGACATCTTCGAGTCCCTGTAAATGTTTACACCAGTTAGCTTTTCAATATAATTGGAACTTAATTCAGACTAATATTTGGTTATTAGTTTATTACTTTTAAATCATAGCTAACCACCTAATAATTAATAGAGGTCAGTGTAGTCATACCTAAATACGAGAAATATTTATTTCTGCTACCTCAGTGGTATTAGCCAGAGCTAACAACCATTTTTAACTCATACAGAGGTATTTTTCTAAAATTACAAATTTCCGTCTTAGTATAACCTATGTATAAACTCAAATTAAATGTTGCTATTTGCGGCTATGGAATTTAGTGTGCGTCCTTTGTTTAAGTGCATTTACGTTACTTACACTTTACCTTATTCATACATGCATGATTTGATAGCCGATTCTCTATAAAGAGATTTAAATAACTGGATAGTCTCATTTAAAAAAACCATTGACAGTAAAAACTACGCGAAAATCTATACTAATATTATAAAGCTGAAGAGTTTGTTTGTTTGTTTGAACGCGCTAATCTCAAGAACTACTGGTCCGATTTGAAAAATTCTTTCAGTGTTAGATAGCCCATTTATCGAGGAAGGCTATAGGTTATATATCATCACGCTAAGACCAATAGGAGAGGAGCACCAATGAATAATGTTTCAAAAACGGAGAAAATTTATTACTATTGAGAGACGCAGACGAAGTTGCGCGGGTCAGCTAGTATTACATACAACATGAGTTCTTTTATGTTGTTAATATTGCTGACATTATTTCGTAGCTAGACTATCACCCCATCATCCCGTTATGCTTGTTAAACCCGTTATGTCGGAACGGTAATTTGATGTACTGTCTCACATAATCATATTGTAATACGCGTGCAATGCCGTTTATCTCAACAAGAAAACCTGTAATAAACCACGGAGTACAATGCCGAACCTCTTTCTAGACATTCACTTAAACAGTTTACCGTGAGTGGACTAAAAAGTCAAGGCTTTCCTTTTTGCATCGTCTTTTATGCTAATGGAGGGTCAATAATTTACTTAATTTTATTTAGCAAATAAAAATACCTTCACAATACATCACCAAAGACGCGCCATGCCAATTCATTGAAATTACTTTCAGACTGTCCATTTATTATTCTTTCGATTTTTAATTCCTTCATAAAACTTATTTAAAACAAAGCTTGAGTTAAAGAAATTAAAACCTTAAAAGGTTTCGGTTAAAACTTACCTGTCTATACAAATGTTGAGCTATGGCCTGCTCCATTATTGGTCTGTTTGTATCATTGCAGAATGTTTCAGCTTTAGGTGCTACTGATGCATAATCGGCAATAAAATGTCTATCGATTGACTTTCCCACCCTGGACACTGTTGCATGTAGTTCTCTATGTTCTGTAAATATGCATATTTATAACTTTTTATATCTAATAACAACAATAAATACTTGTTTCCTTTTTAATTTACTTTTAAACATTAGTCTTGATAAACCATCTATTATTATTTATTTTTTTATTCAACTTTATGCACTTTTGTACATCGGCGGATTTAACCTTACCCTTTGGGTGGTGTATAAATCTTGTAAGGTAGGTGCACAGAGGTTACGACTTAATATATTAAGTAATCAATGAAATATATGTAACGGTTCGCTACATTATAAACCAATACATACACAAATAACACAACACATCATAAATACACACATATACAATTATACACATACATATATAATCAATTATATTGATAGTTATACGCTATACGATTAGATAGTTCTGCCATTTCGTTAAGGAGATCATGTACCTTCTTTTTGAAAATAAAGCGGTTTGTGGATATCCTGATTTCGAGCGGGAGCGAATTCTAGAGTAGTACGGCTTGAACAAAGAACGAAGAGCTCACGAAGTCGGTGTTGTGTGAGGGACTTAAGAGAAGCAGATTATTAACTGAGAGAAGGTTTCTATCGTGGTTAGTGGATAAGCAACGGAAGTAGGGAGCAAGTTAAGTAGGTGAGGAAGGTGAGTTGAGAAATGAAAATAGAGAGGGTAACTGTACGCTGTTTGGGGCGCAAGCGAATACCAGTTTAATTGGGAATGCAAAGCAGACATGGTCATACTTTCGAAGATTGAAAATGTATCGAATGCAGTTATTGACAAGACGGTCTAGCTTATTAAGAAGGTCTGCATTGAGGTCGAAATAACACACAGCACCATAGTCAATTATTGGGATTATTAAGGACTGCAAGAGTGTAGTTTTAGTTTTAGGAGGAAGGAAATTCTTGAAACGATATAATGTACGCAAATTGCCAGTTTTTTGCTGGCTCACGCTATTAACCTGAGCTCGCCAATCGAGGGTTGAGTCGATAAGTAAGCCCAGGTCTTTGACTGCAGAGTTGCATGGAATAATTAAACCATTGGAGACGATCGGTGAAATAGAGGCAATATCCAATTTCCTCATAATACGTTTGCTGCCCACTACGATGGCCTGACACTTGGTTGGATTTACCGACAGTCCGAATCTCATCGATTTTATGTTGACCTCGTCAATAGCCTGCGTTGTCTTCTACCCTGAGCTGTGAGCATAGCTGCAGATCATCAGCATATAGGTGATACGCACACTCAAGATTTTGAGTTGTGACGTAAATAAATATTGAGAATAAGAGAGGAGATAAAATTCCGCCTTGTAGGACGCCACCGTAGAGGTCGCACCAACTTGATGATTCTCTATTCTCAGATGTCTCAGTGTAACACATAATAGTCACAGGTATTTTTAAAAATGTACCACTAAATACACTAAATATCACCTGAATGTCACATAATCATCATCAACAGCCTTTAGTAGTCCACTGGCTGGACATAGGTCTCTACTTAGAAATAAGGTTTTGTAACCTACTATACCATGCTGGCCAAACCGGTTGGTGCAGGGTTTGTTTCAAGTTTTCCTTCTCTTTGCAGTACTGTTGTCCTGCATAGTTTGCTCATTTACCAGTCACTTACGATACCCACGGATGAAAAATGGTGTTAACACTCCGTATTATTAATTGCGTCACCACATGGACAGACAATTATCTCTAAGTTTTGTACATATTACTTTTTAAACTACATAGTTTTAAACATAGTTCACTAAAAAAAAATTTATAGTTAGTAAAATGTAGGTTCCTTCATGATGGTTCACAAAAGTTACAAACATTTATGTAATGATAACTTATTATGTTACATAGCATAGATATTTATTGTTAAACATACCAGTAGACATTTGAAAAACACCTTGCCTGACTGAGCCAGCAACATCAGTAACTGCCATGGCCTGCTCAGGCGAGAGAGGTGTATTGGCTGGCTCTGAAACACATCAGCACAAGTTCAATATTTAAAAAGGTTAAAAAATGTATTGATAATATGTAATAACAATAATCTGGGTAACAGGGTTCTCAACTACGTTTTTTCTTATTATAAATGTTATGATGTAAACATTTTACATTAGGGATATTAGGAGGTTAGGGGATTTCTAATACAAACACTCGATAAATTGAACATAGTTTTGGTTTTTACAATGTTTTGGTTGTCAACTATGTAGACAAATCCTTACACTGAAATCGCAATGAGGAAATTTTGCAGTGTTATATAGATGACCACCTCCAATGTTAAAATGCTGTAATAAAATGATCCAATCATCATTTTAAAATATTTTTTACCAAAAGGCACAATGTTTTTTTATCAATGGGAGAAGCTATGTCATGTTCTGTGGACTTTTAAACTCTAAAGCCCGACTGTAACACATTGATTTCTATCATAACCATAGTCTTCAACTAAGCAGGCAGTACAATAATGGACTGGGAATTGCTTCTGCCTTCTCCTGACCTGATTTTTGTTAATTAGATAAAAAAATGACTTTTAAGACCATTCAGAAAGTTATAATTTGAGTTATTTGAGTGAGTTTCTTTGCCCTTTCTTCTCATAAGGCTCAACCCCTTGGAAAGGGGCAGTTATAGATTATCATAGATTTTGTATAAAGTTTATTTGCTTACTATTTGACAAAACAGAGATTGTTGCTATTGTGTGTATTGACCTATGACTTTAGAGTCTACATAAAAGACGATTTCAATCAATTTTATAAAATAAAGAGACTGAGTTTATTACAACTATATGTAATAATAGGATTATGTGTGTATGAACTATTCTACATCATGTGACAGACATGTCTTGAGACACAAATAAAGCTTTCTGATTCTACAGAAAGCTTTATTTGTAAACATAGGCAGGGTTACAATGTTTACTCAAAGGTAACTTTGCAGGTGTCCAAGGACACATCTGTTCGTTTATTTTTTGACAACTACTGCACCAGGAATATATCCTGCCATGGGGAACTTCACTAACATACATGAAACAGACACAAAGAACACACAGACTTCAATTTATGAATCACACTAAGTGTTGGCCCATGTGAGGATCAAACCTAAAACACCAAGTGCAATAGAAAGCAGCGCCATGACCGCTTAAACCGTACAGTCAATAGTGTCCCTTCCCACAGCACCATTTCTGTGTTATCTGTATAAAAGTTTTTGTGTGGTTTGGCTAAATAACACTTTAGATGACTTTCCAAGTAGGTAGGAGTTGTTTATTATATAGTTTGCATGAGATAGATAAAGACAAAAGATACAAAAAAGTATTTACGGTGTTTTAATTACACAGATAAAGTAGGTACTTGTGAAGGTGAAAGGTACAAAGATTTAACAATAAAATTGCTCTTCTATATAATTCAATGGATTTGTATCCACACAAACACTACTTCAGAGACTTTAACAACAAGATGTACATGGTAAAATAAGTCAGGTATCATTAATAACTCTGCGACAATGCCCACTTGTTCATATTAATTATTGTTACTTAAGCTAATGAAGACTGAAGCACAAAGCACTTACGTTTACTTAATTCTTTTCGAAGATCTTCAACTTGGTCGATTAAATCTTGAATAGCTCTACTTGTATGATCATTTAAATTGTTAAATTTCATAATAGCTTTGTCTAAGTCCTGTTCAACTCCAACGCAGGAATCCATGGTTATGTTTTACACAATATACAAGTTAACACTTATTTAACGTTGCAACGTCTACGATGACGTATCAAAGTTGGTAAATAAAATCCTGACAACGGTTACAATATGTAAATATTTTTAGAAATACAGGGATTAAACATGGTACATCTACCTAGATTTCTAAAATAATACAGATCATATTGTGTATTATAGACGATATATACAAAAAAAATGTCATTGTCAAATTAGTGATGGTTCATGGTAATAGAGGTGGACCTTTCGAATTTTGGATGGGATGGAAATAATTTAGTAATGTTTTAATTTCCGTTCAAATTATTGAAGATTTAAATTATAAGGTATCAGTTTAATTTAAATATATCTTTAAAGTTGTCATGGAATCCTAAAGAAATTCGTTAACTTCGACTGTTTTCAATAACTGCTCAAGTAATTTTTATAAGCTCATCCGAGGCTTTTCGCTAATTATTTAATTATATAAAACATTGACACATATAAATGAACCTAAATTTCTAAATTACATATTAATAAAGGCATCACAAGATTCACAAGTCAGTTTTTTGTCAAACATATTTTTAGAAAATAATCATGAGATTTACATGTTTGTACAACCCATAGTATAAAATATATTAATAAAATGAAATCAATTGATGTAAAAAAAATTGGTTTGCATTATAAAATCAAGTCAGTCTGTGGTGATAGAAGATCATACATTTACCTCCTTTTGATTTTCAAAATTGTCTATGAGAATAGGTAAATAAGAGAAGTTTATTTTATCTGTATAACATTTTTGTCTATGGTTATTGCACAATTGTTCGATCTGCCGACTTAGGTTAGATTTTTTTGTCTAAAACGTTTTTGAAATATATATTATTACTGAATCCTGTAACAATATACAAATATGGCACAAAGTAAGCTGAATGACATGGCAGGTAAATTTGCAAAAGGAGGACCTCCTGGTCTTAGCAATGGGCTGAAAGCGTTAGCCGTTGTAGGTGCGGCTGCTTATGGCATCTCCCAATCGTTATTTACCGTCGAAGGTGGTCATCGAGCCATCATGTTCAACAGAATAGGAGGTATTCAGCAACATGTCATGAGTGAAGGTTTGCACTTTCGGGTACCATGGTTTCAATACCCTATAATTTATGACATCAGATCAAGACCAAGAAAGATTTCTTCACCAACAGGCTCCAAAGACTTGCAAATGGTAAATATTTCATTGAGAGTTCTTTCTCGCCCAGACGCCAACAGCCTACCGACAATGTATCGACAACTAGGCACTGATTATGATGAAAAAGTGCTTCCATCTATTTGCAATGAAGTTCTTAAATCTGTTGTTGCTAAATTTAATGCATCTCAATTAATCACTCAGCGGCAACAAGTCTCACTTCTAATTAGAAGAGAGTTAGTGGAGCGTGCTGCTGATTTTAATATTATTTTGGATGATGTTTCTCTCACTGAACTAAGCTTTGGCAAGGAATATACTGCTGCAGTTGAAGCAAAACAGGTTGCTCAACAAGAAGCTCAGCGTGCTGCATTCGTAGTGGAAAGAGCCAAGCAGGAGCGTCAGCAAAAAATTGTACAAGCAGAGGGTGAAGCTGAAGCAGCTGAAATGTTGGGTAAAGCCATGGGAATGAATCCCGGTTACTTGAAATTGCGTAAAATCCGTGCAGCTCAAAGCATCTCAAGAATGCTTGCTCAGTCACAAAACCGCGTGTTCCTTCATGGAAACAGCTTGATGATCAATCTTCAAGACCCCACCTTTGACGATTTATCTGAAAAACTAACAAAGAAAAAGTAACATGAGGATGAGAGTGTGTCTGCACTGAGCCTGGAGCCTGCAACCACTCTTAACGTTGATACGGCCATAATTATAGCTGGTGCTGCTTCAGTTGCTGTCTAATGCATTTGTCTTACATATTTTCAATTGCAAGTTGTGTAAAAAGTTAACAAGTTGAAAATGTATTGTCACATTTTACGTTATTTAGTTGTAGGTTACTAGTGTGTATGGGAATCTTGAAATAAACAAAAAAATTAAAGTGTTGTTATTGCTTGCAAACACCACTTTTTCATTTATATTACAGTATAAAGAGTAGATTGCCTGTTTTAAACTTTTATAATGACAAACTTCAGAGGCAAACAATATGCGTTTTCTAGAAATTAGCTGACACCAAAACAATCATATAATTATCAAGAATGCTAATATCTGCATAGATGAATTATTCAGAAAGTGCTCACAAATATATTAAACAATATCTTTACTGTGGGCAATGGTGGTCACTAATCATCAGTTGACTTGTCACTATCACAAAATATAAACAATATACATAGATTGATATACACTTCTTTTTTTACTGCCCTTTCATTTACCTTTTTTTTATCATTGACAAAAAACTTGTACCCAAATGGGTCAATGATAATGAAATATTTTTTATGGTATAGCGCAAATGAGCAGACGGGTCACCAACATGACTACCACTGCCCTTAGACACCTGCAACTCAGTCACAGAGTGTGTTACTGCTGCCACTATCAGAGGGTTTGGGCTCCTGTAGTAATTGAGCTCCAAATAGCTTAACACTGGTTTTCTGTGTGCTGGCTGTGGTATCACTCACTAGAGCCAGCAGATTATAAGAGGGGACATAGTTTGTCCCCTCTTATATAAAAAAAAGTTAAAACTACTTAAAACTTTACAAAGGTTAATGTAAGCTAACCATTTGTCTGTTTTTTTTAGTTACAGGCATGGCAACATGTACTGTGAGCTCTTTGATCATACACATTGATTCTAATTTTAGCCAATGAGGTTGTCTTCAATAAATAAGATATATCTGTATATTATAATATATAATTTTTAATTTGAACTCATTTTTAAAGTTACTAAGAAAGAAATCAATTAAAACAGACAATTAAAAATGTGAGTCAAAAAGAAATTTAAATGTTTGATTAAATGTAGTTGAAAGAAAAGTATGTTTATTTTAAAAGAAATAAGATTTCATCATCAACAGCCTTTAATAGTCCACTGCTTTACATAGGCCTCTCTTTAGGAAAGAGGTTTTGGCCTACTATACCACGCTGGCCAGACGGGGTGGTATAGGGTTTTTTTCAAGTTTTCCTTCTCTTTGCAGTGCTTTTGTCCTGCGTAGTTAGTTCCCTTAGTCGGCTCTTACGACAACCACAGGATGAATTAGGAAAAATAAGATTTATTATGATGAAATTAACTACATTTTTATTTACACTGTCAATATAGGTTATTCTGAGGAAAGGATTTGTTGGATTGGAGGATTGGATGTTAAACACTTTACTAGGTAAATATTGTTTACGATATTTGTAAGATCCAGAGTAGATGGGAACTGATTTTTGATAGAATTGTTTCATCAGAATTAGCCGTCTGGGTGTAATTTAGTTTCTGTCTACCGCCCTTGTTAATTTATTATTATACTTTTACTAAATTATGTAGTAATTTTTTAATCTTGTGAACGAAAGCTTACTAAAGCTACTAAAGCTTTCGTTCACAATAACAAGTACCTTATCAAAATTAAAACTACATATTATGTTTCAATGGACTTAATGTAAAATCATCTTTAAAAAACATTTCAAAATAAAACAGAAAATCGTTCTAAGAATTTAATAAATTTTCTAAATTAAATAACAATAATTTAACATATCCATTTACTCCTTAATTGCAGATGGTTGAGGTAATCTGAACTTAGCCATCTCAATTTCGGCCTCGAAGAAACTCATATTGTCGTAACAGAAATATTCCGGGACTTTGTAGGCCCCCTCTTTATTAGGTTCGACGTTAGGTCCTACAGGCCCTGAAGCTGGATGAACCACTGCGCTACTAAGTCCAGGAACATCGAACACTTTCGAGACAGGTGCAGATGCACCTTGGTTTGATGAAGGTCCTTCGCAATAATATCTAGTCAATACTCGTAAAGGAGTTTTTCGTAGGCAATTCATTGTTTTTTATTACACAATCACGGAGAACAACGTCCGGAATCTATATTTTAATTTTGACAATGCACTGACATTAATTTGACGTTTAACTTTAATGTCATCATCTATTTATTAGGCTTTTAATCTATACCAAAAGCTTTCTGGCCACTTTTTCCTGTCCCTTCAAAGTAAAATATTTCAAAATAAAACAGAAAATCGTTCTAAGAAATTAATAAATTATCTAAATTAAATAACAATAATTTAACATATCCATTTACTCCTTAATTGCAGATGGTTGTGGTAATCTCAATTTCGTCCTCGAAGAAACTCATATTGTCGTAACAGAAATATTCATATTATAATATTGCTTGCCTTTGATGATAAATACTACTTTACTCAAATCGTTTCCAAAGCTTCTGGATTTCGTATATAGTAACACACCGAAAAATAATAATGTCAATAAAATGAAGCTCGAACCTTGTAACGAAGTAATAAATTGGGAAAAGAAAAGATTTAGCCAGTTAAGCCTCTTCCAGATCTACTTCATAATCAATTCATTGGCTGATAGTATGTTTTAGAAAAGTTAGTGATAGAAAGGTTTCATTAGTAAAAGTTTATCTTGATATTCCAAAAAGAAAACAGATGAATTGATAACCTCTTCTTTTGTGTATTGGAAGTCGATTAAAAAGGTATCATATTATGATTCTCAGAAGCTAATGATTATTTTCAATAAGGGACGTAGAAACATTACACTTAAGTTGTTGGTCGCTAGGACTTCAATTAGGGCTATTAAACAAACCATTGCCTGTCGCTATCTAACACAGGAAAATAATATTCATATTTAATTGTTAAAAAAATACCTTGTGATAGCTTTACAGTATTTTTTTCCTTAATGAAGACATAAGTTAACTACTAATAAGATACTATTTGTTAAATTGCCTCCTATCGCATCGGAATCCTTGGCGTAGAAATTATTAAACAAAATCGTTCTTCTTCTAGCGTTACATTTTTGTCTTCATTTGCCATCTTTGTTACAATCCAGAAATATGTATGGATTTATCAATGCAATTCGAGTTTTGGATACTGCGCTTCTAAAAAGTTGGTTTATAAAACAGTCGAACCACTCTTGAATGGTCTGTACAATGTTTTTTTTTTTATTCTTAGGTACATTAAGTTATTTTTATCTCGTTAAACATACATGAAACGGACACAAAAAACACCCTGATTTAGAACAACAATTTGTAGTTTACACAAAGTTAAGTCCCATGTGGGGATCGAACCCACAACACTCAGCGTAGTAGTAAACGGCGTTGCTACCGCTTGTACCAGTACGTCATCCGTGCAGTCAAAAATCAAAGTTGCTTGTATTTTATTCCACATGTATTATATCTATCTATCATCAACATCAACAGCCTATACTAGTCCACTGCTGGACATAGGCCTCTCCTTAGAAAGGAGGTTTTGGCCTACTATACCCATATATAAAAAAGAAACTGACAGATTGATTCCCTAACTGATCGGTAAACGCTCAGCTGAAACCACTGGGTGACGTAGGTGTGCACTAAGAAGGGATTATTGAAATTTTCCTCCCCCAAGGGGGTAAAATAATGGATGAAAGGTTGTATGGAAGTTCGTCATTTTGAAAGTAAGAAAAATGAAATTTCACACACTACTTTTGGTTACAAAGCTTCTAATTATAGATAAGGGGATTTATTAGGGGCTGTAAATTTACATACAAACTTCGTCACTTTTGCAGGAAGAGTCATAAAATTTTATATTAAATCTTCATAAATATAGTTCAAGAGAAAAAAACATAAATTTAATATCAAAGCTTTTATCTATTTATACATCCTCTTGTATCTATAAAAGAATAAACTGACAGACTGATTCACTGCGTGATCGATCAACGCTCAGCTGAAACCGCTGGGTCTAGAAGCATGAAATTTTGCACAAATGTTCCTTAGGTGACTTAGGTGTGCACTAAGAAAGGATTTTTAAAATTTCACCCCTAAGCGTGTATTATCTCGGCAAAATTTATTGACAAAATTGAAATTTACACAAGCGAAGCCGAGGGCAAAACCTGGTTATACATATAAGTAATTAGTGGAATACAATTGACTTTGATTTCATAACTAATGTTATTTAACAAAGTAAGGCAAAATTAGCCTCGAAGAAGCTTTTAATGTTGAAAACAGCGAGTTTTATCAGAAGGAGGTTCGACTACTCTCAGAATACTGTTCTAAAATTTTAGGCTGGCACGCACTTCTAAACTAAACTTAAAACAGTTCTAAACACATACACACACTCTCACGCACCCACACTTACACATAAAATAAGTAACGCAGAAATCACCTGCAAAATAGATTTCAACACAATCTGCTCTATATTGTAAAATAAAAAGAAATAGAAACTCAACCTGGAATGGAGGCCTGGTGACCTGAAATACAGGCTGACGCCTAGTTTAGGCACCAGTCTCCCACAATCATCTAGTGACATGTAAAAGTCTAAATTATCCTGTAAATGTGGTAAGAAAATATATGAATTTTTAATTTCATTATTATAAACCGCATTCAACGGAAAGCGATTTAAATCGTATATTGCCAGTATGTTTCAGATTGTCTTGATCCCCTGACGATGCATACAGATTTATTTTCACTTTGAGTTCTCTGTCGCTTTTACAATGGGGAGTACCGAAGAATTGTTTCAACTTATACCAGCCGCGGCTATCCGTAACTGTCAATACACTAAAATTTCTATACCTATTATAATATATATTTTATGGCCATGGTGAGATACCTACTAACTCAATACTACTACACATCCACTTCAACTTTTACATTTTGTTCCTTAATCCATCCGTATATACACGAAATTTCGTCTAATTAATTTGAAAGTGCAAAGGGGGAAAAATCTTCCGTAGAGCTATTGAGACATTTAGGAGCTGAAATGACTACCTAGGTTTTAATGGTCTTTTCAGGTTTTATAGAGGCCTTTTTCGAGATGATGAGGTTTTTGTAAGATTTCTTTTGCTCAGTTTCATCTTTAAGTATCTCTAGTTTTTAACCACATTTAATTTAAGCAACGTGTGGCATTACTTTCGACACAGAAGAAAGGCATACCTCTGGTTTGCCTGACGTTTCGACCAGGTTGCACCGGCCGTGGTCACAGGCTGACTGGCTCATCGGCGCACGCCCTCCGTCGTCGAATCCGTGAAGTAGAAGGCTCTTCATCTACCCGCACATTTTCGATATTATTTTTGTGTCGCCATGTACCGTCACATACCACACTAACAGTGTCCCTATTCTGTAAGCAAACCGATGAGTCCCTATTCTGGTGTTTAACCGATTGCGCAGAAAAGCGAGGTGGTATGTTTTTTAACACTGGATTCCACGCTGTAGATAATTTAAAACCATCTTCCCGATTGAAAGTTTTATGCTTTTTAATCTCAATCGCTTCACGTACAACTCTTGAGTAAAAGTGACGTTCGGTGGAGAGGACTTGCGTGCGGTGAAATTCAATCCAGTGGTTGATGCCTGCATCGAGTGCATGTTCTGCAATCGCTGATTTGCTCGTCTGTCGGTTCTTCACAGCAGCGATATGCTCTTTGACCCTTTCTGCAATAGTCCGCTTAGTTTGGCCTATGTATGAGCTTCCGCAGCTGCAGTCTATTTTATAAACACCCGGAGTTTGTAGTGGCAATGTATCCTTCGGTGTGCCGACGATGTTGTGAACCTTTATGCCTGGTGTGTATACTGTCGGAATGGAATATTTCTTTAGTACAGACCCGATCTTGTCCGTAACTCCATTGACATAAGGCATATAGGCCGGTTGCCTGTTCACTTCTGGATACTTGCGTCTTATTTTCGGTTGCTTCCGTCCTCCTTTCACTTGATATCCGTTACCTTTGAGTACCTCCTGAACATGTTTTAGCTCCTGTTCTAAATGTTTAACATCTAAGAAGGACAGAGTGTCCGTCTTAGATGTTAAAGTAGCCGTGAGATCGGATGGGTCCTTGTCACACTGTGTGTACCGTAAACCTACTCATACGGACAGATACCTACACGCCACGTCTCATCATCACCCCCGGCACTTGCAATCTGTTATGACTTCACTCAAAAACAGAGCTTACGATCTCTGTGACCCTGAACATTTAGAACAGGAGCTAAAACATGTTCAGGAGGTACTCAAAGGTAACGGATATCAAGTGAAAGGAGGACGGAAGCAACCGAAAATAAGACGCAAGTATCCAGAAGTGAACAGGCAACCGGCCTATATGCCTTATGTCAAGGGAGTTACGGACAAGATCGGGTCTGTACTAAAGAAATATTCCATTCCGACAGTATACACACCAGGCATAAAGGTTCACAACATCGTCGGCACACCGAAGGATACATTGCCACTACAAACTCCGGGTGTTTATAAAATAGACTGCAGCTGCGGAAGCTCATACATAGGCCAAACTAAGCGGACTATTGCAGAAAGGGTCAAAGAGCATATCGCTGCTGTGAAGAACCGACAGACGAGCAAATCAGCGATTGCAGAACATGCACTCGATGCAGGCATCAACCACTGGATTGAATTTCACCGCACGCAAGTCCTCTCCACCGAACGTCACTTTTACTCAAGAGTTGTACGTGAAGCGATTGAGATTAAAAAGCATAAAACTTTCAATCGGGAAGATGGTTTTAAATTATCTACAGCGTGGAATCCAGTGTTAAAAAACATACCACCTCGCTTTTCTGCGCAATCGGTTAAACACCAGAATAGGGACTCATCGGTTTGCTTACAGAATAGGGACACTGTTAGTGTGGTATGTGACGGTACATGGCGACACAAAAATAATATCGAAAATGTGCGGGTAGATGAAGAGCCTTCTACTTCACGGATTCGACGACGGAGGGCGTGCGCCGATGAGCCAGTCAGCCTGTGACCACGGCCGGTGCAACCTGGTCGAAACGTCAGGCAAACCAGAGGTATGTAATACCCTAAATAAGAGATCGCGTTAATTCCCGTTAAATAATATTAATTATCATGGAACGCGAAAGTTTAAAAGTTAGTAGAAGAAAGGCAATCGACGATACGTTTAGTCGGACGGATATCCGGATATCTAAGCTACCTATGTATTTTTTTTCCTATGTCGTTTCAGAAACAATAAGCTACTTCCTTCGTTGATATAATTCTGTGTCTCATAAAGTAAAATTCACTAGAGCCCCAAACTGCTGAAGATATTGCAACTCAGCAGAGCCTCCATCAACAGATATTTCATTTCAGGAATTTTCCGGTGAGACAAGACATCTTCCGGTGAGACAAGACATCTTCCGGTGAGACAAGACATCATGTTACTTCAGGCGGGACATTGAGCAAGTTTATTTACGTTAACTAGCTTTTCTTGGTATTTCATACCAGTCTGGACCACCATTCTTTTGAACTTATTTAATCTAGAGGTCCTTAGGAACATTTAATTATTGTTAAATGTACTGAGGAATGCCAAAAGTTGTTCTTACTGCTTTGTTGTTTGAGGACTTCAATGTTGCTATTGTTGGCAAATTCAATTCCATATGCTTTATGAACTAAATTCAGTCAAAATTAATTAAGAGATAATAATTAGGGTTAGTTTTATGTAAAGGTATTTAATAATCGTCTAAAATCGTCATCAATCGATTATCACATTAAAGAGCCATGGGCCTGAATTCAAAAGTAATGAATTGAGTTTCATAACTACATAATAATAATTTTATTCATCAGGTTGTGAAAATTATTGATAACATAGTTGTAGACCATAAGTTCTCGTTAGATTATCTGAAGATAGACACATTATTTATTCATCGGCTGAAAAAAATGATGGATGGATCGTTATACAGGCATTCCGAACTTCCGTGGTACATTGCGTCTATAGTGTCTATGGTTCTTTTTCACGACTGTTTTGGATAGTTTACCTACCTTGCATATATTGCCGATTTTTCGGTCTGGAAGCAGAATATGTGTATTATTTCTGTGTGGAATCAATATTCTAACGTGTAATAATGTGTTTTAATCATAGTTAGGCCTATTTGCTTTGTAGGTTTCCGCCAAACACAAGTTCAGCCATTTACATGAAAGGTGAGTACAAAAAATTAGTACCTCTATTTTTTTTTTGTGAAGCTAAGATTTCACCTTAGTGGCACTGATAAAATTTAAGATTTGTTAATATAAATTGGTTTTCTATATGAGATATTAAAGCTAGTTACCTGTTAATACATATGCATAAGGCCCTGCATAAGTTATAGTTCATATATATACCTATTTGCCGCTATTTTGTATGTTATATCTATGTATAGCATCTATAAACCGACCGAGTTGAAAAGGTCATGGAAGAGTTAACGTTCCATTTCATGTTAGGATATGTTGTAATCGATCGAATAGCTTCTATGTATATAAACTAAACTTATGTAGTAATCGTCTAATGACCCCTAGTGTTCCATAAGATGTTTAAGTTAAAGGTTTATAAAAATTAATGTATCTAATTGGTTATTAATTCACTATTTTTTTATGAACTTGCAAGCACTACAGAAAAAATGGAACGTTTTTGTCTATGGTTTTTTATTAGGTTTTTTGTAAATTGCTATTTGTGTTAGGCTTTTTCGTATTTTGCGTTTATGGCTTTAATAATAGAATTAAAAAGCGCAGGTATTGTGATTTTGAACTGGAACAACGTAGCACGGTGTTTGTGTAATAAGATAGTTGACTTTAATTACTGTATTACAAACAATATAAACGTGAAATGGCTGCCGAGGTGCCTGTTAGCGATGTTCTGTGCGAGGCAATGGAATATTTATCCAAACTAGGATCAAATTTGCGAATTCGATCTGAGAATTTAAAAGAAAAGAGAATAAGTAAAGAAAAATTAAAAAACTCTCACGCTGTGCAAAAAGCTGCCAGTAAAGTTCTTCTTATATGCGAATTATCGAAAAAATCTCTTGACAATGTAGAGACTGGAGTTCGGAAAGTGTTGTCAATGCTGGAAGCATCTCAAGCGCCTATTAGTGGGCAGAATTCCCACAAGAAGAACCAAGGAAGCAATCGTAGATATCACTATTTTGAATATCAGTCACGGAAATTATATATTGCAAAAAAAATCCCGCTTAAACATTATATGTCAGTTAAAGTTTTCGCAAAGGAAATGCCGGCTTCGATACAAGATAAATATCCAGTATATTATGACTGTAAATTAAAACGTCTACGGTGCAAAGTATCAACAAAATACAAAACAATACCAGAAATGAATACCCTTTCTGATAAAGACCAGTGCAGTGAAAAGTCTATTTGCAGTGATGTTAGAGAATTAAGTGATGATGATGACTATAATCATATTGAGAAAAATAGTAAGGCTTTAGAAGATCATTGCCAGGAAAAAGTGTCCAATCATGAACGATCAACATCTAAACCCATTGTTGAAAGCCAAGATTCTCAATGTGACAGAGAAGACAGAGACCATTCAATTAATCAAATTGAAGAAAAGGCAAGAAATGAAAAGGAGGAAAGTAATAGTAGTAGTAGAAATCAGAAAAAGAAAATTCATAGCAAAAGTGATCAAGAACCAAATACCAATAACAAATCCAATAAGATTAGATTTGCCGATGTTTACAGTTCAGATAGCAATGAAAAGCCAAAAAAATCTGAATTCAAGGCTGATATGAAAAAGGATACAATATTTGTTCCAGACGTCCAGAATAATAATGATCATGATGATAAATGTGTAAGTGATAGTTCTAACAAAGAACCTAAAGCAAAGAAATTAAAACTTACTACAAGTGATAATTTTACTAGTCAATTGGATTCTGATTGTGGTGAAAAAAAATCTGAAACAGACAAGAAAATTTCTAATCAAGACTTGTCTAACAAAGATTCAGATAATGATTCAACATTATCAAAACACTGTGAGCGTAGTCAACCAAGCTCTGACGGAGATTCTAAGCCACTTATAAGATGTGTAAACTTAAGTAAATTACTCAAACCTGGTATCTTAGGTGATAACAGTAAATTAAATAATGTTGAACAGTCTGAAGTGAAGAAATTGTCTACAAGTAAGAATGACAGACATTTTATTAAAAAAGACAGACATAGAAAGAAACATGGACTAAGTGAAAAGGAAAACGAAAATAAATTTTGTTCACAAAAGAGAAAAGAGGTCAGGGAGTTCAAAGCCAAAAACTTTACTGTAAATATTATTAGGCTTCCGAATTTGTCATTAAACTTTTTGCTGGATAATAATCTTAAAAAAATAACTAGGCAAGGTAATATTATATGTGAAGTACAAAATGAAATTGATACACCTAATTCAAAGCAAATGAAAGCAGTTAAAAATGCATTGCTGAATGATTCTGAATCGGATGAATGTTCAGAAATGCCTGACGCAATGCAAGTGAAAAGATCTCTTCTTAAAGATTCTGACTCAGAGCATAATGCTTCAGATGAAGAGCATAGCATGGAACCTGATAAACGTGATGAAACAAATGCTCAGGAAGTAACTAAGGACGTAGAGTCTGCAAAGGACGGACTTTCAGATAATTTAAAAAACAATCTAGTAGAAGCTGACAAAGAAATAAATTGCAATAGTGAAAGTACAGTTACTGACAATATGCACCCAGAGGTGTGCAGTCCTGATGAGGAACAAACAGATAATTGTGATCAAACACCTGGAGAAAATACAGTCAAAGATGTAGAAGCAGAAGGTAAGTGTGTGGGCTCTAACACGCAGCCTAGTGAAAATGAATCAGAAACACCCAATATGTTAAATCAAATAGTGAAATCTTCACTTTTAAATGACTCATCAGATGAAGAGTTTGCTGGATTCAGCAATAATGAACTATGCAACATATCCAAACCAAATGAATCTAGTGACAATAGGCTAGTAGATCAAAATAATAGTGGTACTGAAGAGTGTAATATTCAGTCAAATGAAAAAACACCATCAACTTCTGCTGGGATTGATGAAACAGTAAAATCTGCACTCTTAAACAGTTCATCAGATGATTCTGCTGGATTTGGCAACCAAGATATAGAAACACCAACAAAGACCAATGAAAAAACTAAATCTGCTCTCCTAAATGATTCTTCTGATGAAAACCAGCATAAAGATGAAGAGGAAGAATCTCCTACCAAAGTCAATCAGAAGGTAAAGTCTTCTCTGTTAAATGATTCCTCAGATATTAAATCAGATGAATCTCATGATCAAAGAGAAAGACAAAAAACTCCCAAGTCCAAAAGAAAATATGCAAGAAGATGCAGGGAAGTTAAGAAAAAGATTAAATATTCGTCAAGTTCAGATAGTGACCAAGACAAGCCCAGGCGTGAATGCCACAGGAAAAAGTCATATATTTCAAGCTCATCATCCAATGAGGATATTAAGAAAAAAGTGAATAAGAAAAAACCACTTAAAATGGATTCTGACTCCAATGATAAGAATAAAAGTATTGACAAAGTTGATGGAGCTGTCGATGAGAAATCTAATTCCAGTGTTGACAAGGTTAGGAAATAGAATAAAACTATATTCTACCAAAATTGTATAAAATTCATAGAAGTACATTAGAAAATGCATTTATACAAACTACCTATAATATATGATGTTCTATAATGTTAGTTATTGAATTTTTAGTATATAAGGGAAGTATAATAATATTAAAATCAGCTTATGTAATGGCTTGCATACACCTTATTTAGCATAATGGGCACTTAAACTAACGGAGGCTAAAAAATGATATAAACCAATAATTCATGTCTTTATTTCAATCACCATCTCAGCTTTAAACATCAAGTGCTAAACATCCTTTGCATGTTACTGGACAGTAATTAAAATTAGTATTTTGCAAGGGGACATTCTATAAGTTCTGTTTAAGCAAGAAAAGGAGGATTTACATATATCTGACTAAAGGGTAACCTGTGTTAACTAAAGGGGTTGACCTGTGCCTCAAGGAATTACAACAGTGATGTGTATAATGACTTGGTAAGTCATTCTTTATGTCATCGTGCTATAAAATAATTTCTGCTTCTTGGATACTAACTAGTCCCATCAAATAGCCTCAAGGTGCTGCCTTATTAGGTATATGTAAGCCGTAAAATGCATTGTATGCTAGTTAATGTAATATACCATTACTTCTATGGCATGTATGGAATTAAATATAAATTTTATCGTTTGGAGTTTTTTTTGCAATAAAATGACAAAGAACGACAAGATAATATCAAAGATGTACAACAAGCTACAATAACAAGTTCTGATAGGTTTTGAATTGTGACATGCTTCTGATTGCCACCAGAGTTGAAGCAAACCCCAAAAAATAAAGATAATACAACTCATTACAGATGGTACGCTCTAAAGCAAAACCCAGTGGGAGCAGCAGCCAGAATTCAGACAATCAAGATGCAAGTGACAAAGATATTGATGGGTAAATATTGTTTTTGAAATATGGGAGATCATAGGATTGGTGTAACAACTTCTATCACAATCAAACTTTGAAAAACTAACAATAAAAATATAAAATGATTAGTAAAAAATCAATATCTTGTATCTATAAATTTTGATGTGGTGGTTACTGAAACTATAGCAAAAATTTGGGATGTGCATCGTGCACACATGCATTGCGTATTATCTAGCCTCTTTGACTTACCCAATATGGTTGAATTGCATTAGTGGTAATCAATAGGTCTTACAGAATTCATGAATTATAAAAATTAGTAATTTCTAATTCCTATGGAACATTTAGAATTAGAAATTATTGAAATTTATAATGATGATAATGAGGCATACTTTACACAAAAATTAAAAGATTAAGGAAGTGTTATTATCTTTGTCACTAATTAGAAAATATGTACTTCATAGGCTAACAAATTTGAATAATCTAAACAAAAGTCGTCGGCGTGATACCTCGGCAAGGAGCAGAGAAGACAACACGAGCCGTAGCCGATCTAAACCTACGCCTATAATAGGTGAAGACTTGTTAAAAGCCGAAAGTAGTTCAGAAGCGTCCGATGTCGGAGATAACGAAATAGTACAAGGTAGGATTTATTTCTAAAGGAATAATTTATTTTCCTCTTACGTTAGAATGATTTATGGGGCTGAAGAGGACAGATATATGTTGAATGACTGTATTAGGGAAATGAAACTAAATCTTAAAGTATTTTTTACTAGAAAGAAACAATAATGGTGCTCAAGGAAGCTACTGCCTGCAATGGCCAATTTTAAGATAAGCTGTTGCTTGTGCTTTTAATAACTTTTCTTTGCACTTCACTCCTCTAGTGGTTCAAAATTTATTTAGCAAAACCTTTGCATTTTCACTTCGTGATGCAAGAGACTCAGTCGTTTAAGTTTTTTTTTAAATAGAATAGACTCATGTTTGAAGACTCAAGAAAGGCTTATTACTTGAAAGGCTTTTAAGACTTTCTAAGGAAAGGCCTATGTCCAGCAGTGGACTATTAAAGGCTGTTGATAATTGATGTGAAGACTAAAAGGATTCGCTCCTTAACGCCTCGGGAGTCTTGAAGTTATCCTCACAGATGAACATGATAAAACTGACAAAATAAATAATAGAACTATTAATATAAAATAAATGAAAATCGTAACTAATATCGTTCCTTTTGACGTGATCTTCTAGATAATGTTTCAGAGAAAAAAATATTCATTTTAGCTATTGTCACTAACTCATTTATGACATTTCTCAGCTTTGGTTACTAAACAATTGATCTTAATTGTTGATTTTTAAATGCAGTATATAACTTTCTTAGAATACTACTTCTTCTAAGTAAGCTTGTTTTGACGCCCGTTACAATGCGAACAGAGGGCCAAGTGCGAGTTTATTTGATTTCTACACGGTCGCCAAGACCGCGTTCGACGCTACGATTGGCCCGCACTGAAATCTCCACCAATCGAAAGCTACACGCGCTCGCCGTCGAGAGCGAGTCGATGTGAAATAAACTTGCACTCGGCCTTCTGTACACAAGAACACTAGCACTAGAAAATGTACATTCGCAATACACGAACTCTTTTTCTCCTATGTAGAAGCAGAAAAATGTCAGAGCGTAAGAAGATATATATAAATATTTATGGTTACCGTTATCGTTACTGGCTCGAGTGAGCCAGAATACACATATTTATTGCCTTAAAATCCAACATTTAATTTAGCATATCTGACAAATCTGACATATATGATAAATTATCTATTCCAGCATTAAGCGATCCTAGTGAACAAGTTTTTTTTTGTATTCAAATTTAATTTTAAACAAAAATAACTAACAATTAAAGTATGATCATGGACCTAATTCATTGCTTTAATTTAGAGATCGAGCTGTATTGAAAATAAAGTACGACTCAGACGCGAGTCTTCTTTTAAGTTTTTTGGTTCTTTTCTATAACGAGTCTTATTACTAAAGACTGGAAACTCTAGTCTTCTTTCCAGACTTAAGTCGTTTAAAGTCTTTTTTAGAGGCCTTAACCTTTGACACGCTGCTCTGCTGTACAGTAGACATGGGACAAAATTACAGTGAACTGTGTATGAACGGTGATTTATCATACGATTTTTCTACACGTATAAGCTGTTTTCAGACGATGCATAAAGACCCTGTTTTGTCTATTTAACAGTAAATCTAGTATTTTTTGGAACGAAGTTCCTTATCGCGCGTTGTGAAAGGGGGCTAGACGGAAAAAATTCTTACGAAAATTGGTCACGACACTTTTTGCTATAGTAAGTTATTTTAAGCTGTGCGGCGTCGCATGTTTCTCTGTCTGTCTCTCTCTCTCTCTCTTATAGGAAGCAAGCCAGATATTTTCATTTCTATTTCGCATTGAACAGTGTGGTGTCGCGACGATTATTTTTGTTGAGTGTATACAGGTTTTTGTAAATAATAAAAAATAATAATAATAATGAATCCTGGCAGTGTTTCTGATAAAATTTTATTACAATTCCTTCACTAATTAATCGAAAGGAACTTCGTTCCATCCGGGTGTCCCTTGACACCTCTCAAGTTTTTTTATTCCCGTGTAGGCAATGATTGTACGAGTATAGTAAAAAAATTAAAATCACAGTTCACTATGCGTAAAGCACGAAAAGTTATTTAGTACAGTGGGGGTTTATCAATGAGTCTCCTGCATCACTATTTTTACTAGGCTAGTGGTTTTATTCCTCATGGTCTTTTTGTATTTTTTGAATACTAGGTTTTGCCGGTAATCCGAGTAAAAAAAACCCATGTTAGTCGCTGATAATGTAGCTTTCCACTTGTGAAAGATTGATTAAAATCGGTTTAGCCGTGAAAGCGTAAAACCTAAACGTAAAATTAACTTTAACAATGTCTCCTGACACTAATGAAAATGAGTAAACATCTATAAAAATAATGAACGATGATGAAATATCATCATCATTCATCATTGTCTATCTCCCAATGCTGAATTTAGACCTGTCTTATTGACTTCCAAGAAGGCTGGTTTTAAGGCGCTGCATCCGTCGTTGATCTGCGACGTCTATACTCGTCTGTCCACTCTTCTTGGTTGGCTGAGGACATAATAAATAGCATATATCACAATATATATTTTAATTTTTAAACATTTTTTCTTTATTTATAGATCTACCTGCAATGACATTGACAGGATTAAATGGAGATCACATGGCTAAAGACGACTTGCTCGGCGAAACTGATTCTTCCGTATCACACAACGATAAAGAACAATCGGAGGGGGAGGTAACAATTTCATATCTACAATCTTGATAAAAAATAATCTTTAACTTCATAATGTGACATTTGTATTTGACTGGATAACTTTTTTTTTCAAAATAGTTTCTTAATTTATCTATACACAGATAAGTTGCATATTTTTTAGGCAAGTATCCTGAAGTCAGAAAGGTGTGGTCGTAGTTTAGATCCTGTTTATAACAAAAAGCGCTAATAATAAAAAAATGTATTGTTTAGAAATGTGCTTCTAAAATATTGTGATTTTGACTGACTTTAAACGGTCAGAATTCGTTCAAACTTTGTTGATATATCGAGGACCGATGACAATACACTTTAAAAAAAAAGTTTTAAAAACTAAAAACACGCTTTTTATAGAAAACCAAACTAAAAAATAAAAAATAAATTTTAATAAATTTGATGATTATTTAACAACTATAACAATCATACAGAATGTTTTTGTTATAAAATTTTAACTTGTTATAATTGGAGCTGACGCGTGCAATTTTTATGACTACATTTATAATAATTAATAGTATCACTGCATAGACAGTAGTATCACTGCCTGGTCCGTGTGGTGACGGATTAAGAATACGGAGTGTCACCGCCCCTATTCATCCCGTGGGTGTCGTAAGAGCCCACTAAGGGAGAAAACTACGTAACAATACCAACCCGTCTGGCCAGCGTGGTATAGTAGGCCAAAACCTCCTTTCTAAGGAGGGGCTTATGTCCAGCAGTGAACTATTAAAGGCTGTTGATGATGATAGACAAGATATCAATTGCCAATATTAACCCTGAAATGAAGTCTGAAAAAATTTACATAAAACATTACGCCATTTTATTTTGCTTACAGAATGCTGATAACACAGATGAAGATGAGAAGTAAGATTTTTTCTTTAACATTGTTCTAATAAAAATGTTTGAATTGTTCGATGTTACGCTTTACTGTTTAATTATATAATTATAGTGTAAAATCGAAACGTCGCAAAGCTCAAGCAATATCTTCTGACTCTGAGAGTGGTGCCAATCCTCGCAAGATGAAACTGGAAGACAAAATGAGTGATTTTGAAGATTCCGAGGACGAAAGTTCTGAAGCGGGCAAGAAGACTAAACGTAAGAAGAAGGCTAGTGACAGTGATGCATCTTCGGATTCTATAGAAGGGTGAGTGAGCTTTTCAATTAACAACAAAAAGAGAACAATCCATACTTATAAATGAAAAAGTGAGTTTGTTTGTTTGTTTTTTGTTACGCTTTTACGCCTAAACCATTAAACCGTTTTTTTTTTCATCAATGGAAAGCTACTTTATACACGCTGGCGAAAGCTACTTGTAATATAATTCTAAATCTTCAGACTTGCTTGTGGATTCGTACATGATGATTGATGATGATATTTTCTCAGAACGTTATTAACGTAAACTCACTGACATCCACAGCTTCTTAAATTTATAGGTATGAAAATGATGGATTGAGTATGATAATCCTTTGAACTCTGACTTTACAGATACAAGGTTTATGAATTCATAGATTTAGATAAAAAAATAATCGCACTCGAAATAAAAATTACCTGAACCTAATAAAATATATAAATCTCACACACGGCTGTCTGATCCCAAACTAGGCAGACCCTATGCTACGGTAGCCAGACTGCTGATAAACATACTTATATATTTTTAAATAATTATCATCAGCATCAACAGCCTATAATAGTCCACTGCTGGACATAGGCCTCTCCTTAGAAAGGTTTGTTTTAAATACATGCATATTATAAATAAATTACACCCAGACACAACAAATGACCATACTCGTTACACAATATTTATCCTGGGTGGGAATCGAACCCATGACCTCGGGCTTAGCAGTCAGGGTCACTAACCACTAAAACAACAGGTTTGTCCATTTTAATATAGTACATTGTACATGACATGCTTAACCAGCTACTGTTTTTTTTGCTTTGTATCTCAACTGTTTAATAAAAATGTAATCTTTCAATAAAATAGTCATCTGTCTTTTATGTAAGTATATTTAAAAATATATACAATTTCAGTCAAAAGAAACGTCGTCGTATTAAGATAGTGAATGAAAGTGATGGATCAGGATCTGATACAGAGAATGAAGGAAGGAATAAACATGGCAGAAAGAATATACGTAAGGTAAAATTAACTAAGTTTCATATGTAAAAGTTTGTTCTAAAGCTTGCTACCAGTGTTTTGCTTATTGGTTATATACACTCAGGTAACCCAACATTCTGTGTTTTTTCATAGTGGTATTAACTTATATCTGGGGTAGAAACAGTCTTTCATTAAATTCAGCGCCCTTTTTTGTCGGAATTTAAAACTGTATAAAAATATCTTGACACATCGAAACCAAGCAGAGCCTGTGCTATGGTAATCATACTCCTGATAATCATACTTAAATATTTCTAAATACATGCATATTATAGATAAATTATTCCTGGGCACAGTACAAATAATCGTGCTTATCATACAACCACTTGTCCTAGGGGGGATCGAACCCAAGACCTCTAGCTTAGCAGTCAGATTCACTGACCACAAGACCGACTGACCAGTCGAAGAAATGTATGTAATAAATAACATGATGAGCACTGGTACTCACTTGCTATTAGACAGACCGAATACTTGTTTATCATCTTTGTGGTGTAAACTGTGTTTATATTAACTTCCTTTGTTTCTAGGTAATGGGTAAAAATCAATTGGAAGAGGCAACAAAGAAAGCGGCACGTGAAGAAAAAGAAAGGATTGCACGAATTACGGAAAGACAAAAATTGGTTAGTATTTATATTATTGCAAGATAAGTAACAGGTCTCTCTCTCTCACTTTAATATAAAACAGATAACAAATGTTTAAAATTTGTATTTACAGTATAATAATCTGGATTTTGATGAATCTGGGAAGCCCGATGAAGTAGTTTTGGAGAAAGTAGTGCTGGACTTTGACCCTGAAACCAAGGAACCTTTGATTCAAGTCGATAGAGGACTTGTGAAAAAATTAAAACCTCATCAGGTAAGTTTATTTCTAGTTCATAATGTCCATAATAATATTTATAAGAAGAACTATATTTCTTGTTACCCACATAGAAACTTCAATGTCACTTTTCTTTAATGTGTAAACATTTGTTGCAATATTATTAAACTTAGAACTTAACTTAGAACTTAGCAACTTAGAATGTCTCATGGGATGTAAACAAACTGAAGATAGTATGTTTTTGCGTAAATATATTAGCTATTAATTTATTGTAACTATGTATGTATGTATGTCGTAAAGGCCTGTGACTATGATGTTGGCTCACTTACAAGGTGGACTATGTATTCTTAATTTAAATGTCATAAAATCATTCTAGTTCTTATTCAATTGGTTTCTACAGTGTGTTTTTTTTTGTAATTCAGGCAAATGGTATCAAATTTATGTGGGATGCATGCTTTGAAAGTGTAAAACGAATCAAGAAAGACAAGGGCTCTGGTTGCATTCTTGCACATTGCATGGGTCTAGGAAAGACTTTACAGGTAAGTTAATACTCTTAAATAATAGAAAGAAGGTACTTTTTTACTTTGTGTTGGGAATATATCCCGGAACCAGTAGCCCTTAATGATACCCTCTTTATTGTACACCATTTTTAATAATAAAATAGAAGAAAAATTAATGTAGAATAATGCAGGCTTAATCGCGCGGTCAACCTTTAACATTATCAGAATACAACTTACAAAACCATTTATTAGTGTGGTGGCTTTTTTACTACTACGTTGATGTACTTTAAACTCATTCAAGAATTTCAAGAATGTTTAAACTAAAATGTATGCCGTAACGCACATCAATCTGTCCCAATTTTTAGTTATGAAACATTTCATCTAAATTCTCAACAGTGAATTATTATAATATCATATTCTCAGGTTATCTCATTAACACACACTCTGCTTATCCACGGCAAGTTAACCGGCGTGAATAGAGTACTAGTAGTGTGTCCACTATCCACAGTACTCAACTGGGTTAACGAGTTTCGTATGTGGCTAAAACACGCTGAGACAGAGTTCGAAGTTGACGTCTATGAACTCTCCAGGTAAGAGATTGTATCTTATACAACTGATACCAAAATATATAAGTTCCATCGCACATAGTATGTTACTGTTTGTAATGATGTAAACTATTATTTTTGCCTTTCGAGTATCCGAATGCTTACTTTCATACAACAATATGTCACTAATACGCATACATATCGTCATAGTCGTAGAATCGTGTCGGATCTGGCATTTATTAAACTTTACAGGTCAGCCATTTCAAATAATTATGTTATTTTTTTGACATAACTTTTTTAATTCTAAATCTGCAATTATGAAAATTGGCATACAAGTGAAAAATAGGGTTTGCTTTGAAATGCAATAAAAATAAACAATAATAATACAATTTTCTAGTATATAGTTAAACAGAACCAGAATTAGTTACTAGCTGTTACCACATACTGACGTGCAGTGCCAGAAAGGTACAGACAACCTATTGAGGCTTTCTGTACCTTGCTGGCAGCCGAGACAAAATACGTACCTAAACATTTGGTCCTTTGAACCATGTTCTCTGTCATATTGTGTACTCGCAGAAATGTTATTAACATTAAGCACCTTTCTCATTAATTTCATCTACTCGTAATTTTAAACTAATGCTTTTACATAAGGTTTGCATTTTGAGGCATTTTGTATAATAATAATACTGTTTAAAAGCAAAAAAATAAACAATAATTATAAAGGCGAGTTATTTACACTGGTTTCCAAACTTAAGCCGTTAATCTTTACCTGTACTCGTATGAATTTGTGAAATGAATAATTTAGTATTACTAAGCTCTGGTATACGATCAGCAGAACTGTTTCTAATTGAATTGAAACAAAACTGGCCTTAAGATAACCTTTTAACAATTCAGGTATAAACAGAATTCGGAACGCGCCTTCCAACTACAGCAATGGTTCGAGGGTGGGGGTGTCTGCGTGTTGGGTTACGAAATGTTCCGCAATCTCTCTGCTGATAACAATAAGAAGTTTAAAAAGAAAATGCTCAAGAGTTTCCAAGAAAGCCTTGTTGAACCAGGTCAGAAAGTATTTTTTTTTTCTTCATACATTTCTATGCCTGTTTGTGTTTCGTAAACTACCTAGGAACATAAACTATCAGGTAAGTGCTTATCTAAGTGTTTGAGGTCGACTTCCTATACAACCTTACCACCGATTAACTGTGGAAGAGCCATGCTTTGGCCATGGCCTCACTGAAAACCTGTGTTAAACCGGCGCCATAACCTCCCCTCTCCTTCTCCCCCTACAACATAAAAAAAGAAAATGACATATTAGCCTACATCAAATTTCCAATACGAAATAGCCTGTGCTAAATTAATCCAAAGCATTCTTGTCTTTTACGTAATCCACAATTGAATAATAGGCATTTTGACATAGTTTTATTGTGTATTTAAAATTGTTTATATTAAAATCTTGTACACTATTTTCGATTTTATTATAGAATCGGACACATTGAGTCGAAATGACTTGTTTATCTTTTGGAGCCTAGAGGCACAACAAGTTTATTTCTATTTCTGGTATTTAAAGCATGTACATCACTTCTTATCAAGAAGCTATCTTTGTTTTTATAAACATATATTACATTTTCATACATATATTGACTTGTCACTGTTATTATGTTTATTTCTTTAAATATTTGCCTCAAAGAACAATGATTGCCTAAATTATAAATTGCTCGAATTGAACTCTTTTGCAGCCATAAATAGTTTCAAGGTCGGCAGTATTCCCCCACAGTAGAATACCTATGAAAATAACTGAAATAAACAAGTCGTATTGTATCAATATCAGTAAATTCTCGAATTTTTCTCTAATGTTATTCCTATAATCCCTCTCCCCTCTCCCTCCCCCTCTCCCGTCAAAAGGTAGAAACTCAGTTTTGAGTTGCAGGTGTCCTTGGGTGGCGGTTGCCACTTACCATCCGACAAACCGTCTGCTTGTTTGCCCCTATTCAATATAGAAAGGCTTCAGTTTACGAGCATCTTGGTTTTGTATTCTAAGCCGTTTTTCCTTGTTGTCAACAGGACCTGATTTGGTAGTGTGTGACGAGGGCCACTTGCTAAAGAATGAAAAGACCAGTTTATCACAATCAATGAATAAGGTGAAGACGTTACGTCGAATCGTACTTACTGGTACACCACTGCAGAACAACTTAAAAGAATGTATGTATATCTATATTAAATCTTGCCATTTATTACCTATACATTTATATTATTAATTTTAAAACATTACCCATCATAAATAATAGTCTAAAGTGTATAGAGGTGAAACAAAAGGTGAAAGGTCATGCTCACCACATTTTCTAGTAGCTAAAACTATATTTATTATGTTCTCAGATTATTGTATGGTCCAGTTCGTAAAGCCAAACCTCTTGGGAAAGTACAACGAATACTTAAACAGATTTGTGAACCCCATCACTAACGGACAATACACAGATTCTACTGAACACGATATTCGTGTCATGAAGCGACGGAGCCATGTGCTCCATAAGATGTTGGATGGAGCTGTGCAGGTAACGTATCTACCGTTACCATAATTCATTACACAATAATAAAAATGTATAAATGCACTCAATTATCGTCAGGACACGAGTCATGTTACTAAAGGGACTAAAGGCAGGGATAAAATATAATAAAAATACCTTTTTTCATAAATCTTTTATATTTCCACTTTCCTTTTCGAAACAAATCAATCAGTTATGCCAGATCTATATATTTCTCATTTCAAAACATGTGTGTAGATGTATGCCTTAAGAAAATATTCACTCACCTTCCGATAATTTCAATACATTTATTTGTGTTTACAGAGGAGAGACTATGGGGTGCTGGCGCCTTTCTTGCCTCCGAAGCACGAATACGTATTGTTCATTACACTGACTGAAGTGCAAGTTAAACTATACCAGCACTATTTAGAAAACTATTCTAGAAGGTATGTAACTTTTGAGATCTTATGTCATGTATATATAAAGTAAAGACTGCTATAGTAGTGACCGATTTTATTTTTTCCGTTTTATTCAAAATTCCATGCTTGAAATTTATTCTCTTCAAGTCGAAAACCTAATTTTTGGTTACTCTTTATTCATAGGGTTACTTTTTAGGAGAAGGGCAACTCAAAAGTAAAAAACGAAACACTTATGGGATTACTTTGTAAAAAATAAGAATTCCATTTTGTAGAACATCTTTGATGAAAAAGAATGTGTATCACATGTGCATATCAGTTTTCAATAAATTTCCTAAGAGCCTAAGGGAACTTCCATTTAAATATTTTAAAATTAAGTTAAGAAAATGGCTAGTTGATAAGTGCTTTTATACAATGAAAGAGTTCATGCAATATAAAACTGATGTATATGATCATTTGTAGATTTAATAAATTAGATAAATTAAATTTAATAATTTAAACAATAAATATGTAATAACACTTTTTGACATTTTGTTAATTTTATTAGTTAATAGATATTAATAGTTAATGTTTGAGTCTCTACATAAATATTTGTATGCCTAGTACAGGCAGAATATAGCTTGAACATTATACACCTTTGTAAAATCTGGTACCACCTGTATTCTGTGCAAGTGAATTTTTCATTCTTTCTTTCCTTCTGTCTGTCGGTGTCTGTCCGTGCTGCAGTGCTGTTATCCTAGTTTGCTTCCTTAGTCTACTCTTACGATGATGTGTAATTTTTTATCTTCTGTTCAGACCTTTACCTGGGAAATCGTCAGGATTTCTTTTTCCGGACTTCCAATCTTTGCAGAGGATATGGACGCATCCACTTGTGCTAAAGTATAATTCAGAAAGATATGAAATAATGCAACAAAAAAAGGTAAAAAATTTAATTACTTTTTGGCAGCCCCAAATTGTTTTTTTTTTTATTATTTACCACGTTCACACAACGCCATCTAGTCCCAAACTAAGCACAGCTTGCGCTATTTGTACTAGACAACTGATATAAATACATATATTATACACTTTTTTTGTAAACATACATATTATACATATAACCACCCAGACCAAATCAAACATTAAATGTTTGACTTGAGCAGGAATCGATCCTGCGACCTTTATAATAATAATAATAAATAATAATTTTGGAATAGCTATTCGACTCTTCGAGAATTAAACTCTAAATTGATTATATATGGCTTGTTTGTTAAACTCTAAATAATTTAATTTCTACAGAGGGAGAGAGAAGAAGAAGACTCAGAAGGATCATTAGTCGATTTTATAGATGATGATTCTACACCAGATGTAAGTATGTTTAAAGCTAAATAGGTTCAATTGCAAATCAACTTACAGATCTGTTATGAAAGTTGATACTCGTGTTCTTTTATACTAAAACAAGCAATAGCGGGAAGTATGTTAATAGAATTAAATATAGGATTACTCATAGATTTGGCTTGCAATGTGGACGAAACATGGTTTACACTCAGTTAAATATAAGTATAACATAATGAACCTTTGTGGCAGGACTCTAACAAAACTGATGGTTACTTTTTTCTGATATAGAACAGTATAGTGCCACAAAATAAATAAAATTTTGAATTTTGTAATGGCGAACATGACTACTTTTTAAATTTCCAGGAAAGTTCAACAGAAGAATCCTCGGATGATCTATCAGATTTGAGTGATGATAGCCGAAAAAAGACTAAAAAGAAGAAGACTTCTAAAAAAGGCAAGGGCAAGGACTCAAAGGCCTCAACTCGTCGAGGGACTAGAGCTAATCCAGGTAAAATTTTCTTTCAGAAAAATATTTATTTTAATATAAGCACATAATATATTTAAAAAGAAGAATATTTCCCGGGTATCGACCCAAGAAATTCAATCATTTTTAATTTTTTTAGTCACGAATACTATTTTTTAAATGAAGGGGCAAACTTTATTTAAAGCATTTTATTTAAAGGTACATAATTATTTTACCAAATATCCGTTTTACCTGCACCAATAAAAAATATATTTTCTGTATTTAATTCCTTACTAGCTTTCAAATTAATTGTTTATTAGTAGAAATTGAGGACGAAGATAATGGGGCTGACGACGTAGTGGAAGTAAAGTACGAGAACCCCACAGAGTGGTGGATCAAGTTAGTGGACGAGGCGGAGCTTGAGGACATGCGCAACTCGCACAAACTCATCTTATTGTTCGACATATTACGGCAATGCGAAACCATCGGCGACAAACTGTGAGTACACTCTATTAGATGTATATAACCAAATTAATTAAATTTCAAGGTATAAATATATTTGTATTTCTGCCGTGCAGGTTGGTTTTCTCCCAGTCGTTATATTCACTAGACCTCATAGAACACTTCCTGGGTAAGGTGGATGAGGCTACGCAAGAAGGTCGAATCGATGAGAAATTAGGAGGGCATGTTGGTGAGTAGGATATTATAAAATTCGTTTAAATAATCCTATATTATTTATCGAATATGGATGGTTCCATTTCTCGGTAATTACTATTGAATAATTGAATATTTTTTATAGCTCTTGAGTTCCTAATCCAATTTTATCCACTTGGGCGTTTCGGCCATCATTCTATTATTTAAGTTTGTTAGTTATGTATAAAGCATATAACAACTTTAATATCCTTTGTTGTAAACAGGATCATGGTCGCCTGGAGTCGACTACTTCAGACTGGACGGTTCCACGTCGTGTGAGAACAGATCTATTTGGTGCAAGAACTTTAATAGGGAAGATAATCCGAGAGCAAGGTTAGTAATAGGTTTTTCTTTAAATAAAAATATTTTTTGGTATAATTTTAAAAACAATTCTAACCTCAGTTCTTGAATATATATATTATATGTTTCTGATATTCTAATTAACATTTCTTATAAATAACATTTATCAAATATTGAAAGTGTCGTACTAGTAGTCCTTGTTTATGTTTAAAGTGACTGCATACCAATTTCTGCACACAATTGGTTAGCATCATCAAAGGTGGTGGTGTGTGTAATTATATGCCTCAAGTAGTTGCCAGGTTTACATTAAGGTGCATGTGGGATTGTTTTAAATATAATTCGAAGTGACATCTATCTTGAGTCATGAGGTCATTACGGTCATTAGAAGGGAACTATATCCACTTATTTCCTAGGTATATTGCACAAAATACACAAATACGTTTATAACAAATAGGTTGTTCCTGATATCGACGCGTGCTGGTGGTTTGGGTATCAACCTGGTCGCTGCCAACCGCGTGGTCATATTTGACGTATCATGGAACCCGTCCCACGACGTGCAAAGTATATTCAGAGTTTATCGTTTCGGACAGAAGAAACCCTGCTACGTATACAGGTTTTTAGCTATGGTGAGTATTTTAATATATCTATTAATACGTAATATAGTGGCAGACGATCCTCTAAAAGAGAAAAGAAGAGTATAATAAACTAGTCTTTGCCCGCGTATTTGTCAGTTATCGTGGTAAAAAGCCTATGTCTATCCTCAAGAATCAAAGTATCTACATACTAAATTTCATCTAAATCAGTTCAGCGGTTATTGATTCCCCATACAACCTCCTTTTCATCCCCTTAAAGGATCATTTCTGATATAAAAATTACCCTATGTCCTTTCTCGGGACTTGGACTATCTCTATACTAAATTTAGATCTAAATGAAGAGGTAAGAGACAGATACACTTTCGCATTTACAATATCAGTATGGATACATGTCGGTACAAGAATGTCGTCCGATAGGGTACGATGGAAGAGAAGATCTACGAGCGGCAAGTGACGAAGCAGGCCATCTCGAAGCGCGTGATCGACGAGCAGCAGATCGACCGGCACTACGCGGAGAACGACCTCGCCGAGCTGTACAAGTTCGAGGCCCAGCCCGCCGAGCCGCGGCCGCTGCCCACGCTGCCCAAGGACCGCCTCTTCGCTGAGATGCTCAAGGAGCACGAGGCCCAGGTTCTACACCGCACTCCTACACTATCTTGCTTGACTACAAAATCGTTTTACGTTAGAAAACAAAATAACTTAGGTCTAATAATAAATTAAGTACTAAGGATCTATGAATGTTGCAATGCATAATTATATCAGTTCGACTTTTGCATAAAACCAAAATTAGTGCAATTCATTGTTTTGTATACATACAAAAACACAGTTAACAGACTATATATGAAAATCACAGTAAAAATACATGACTAACTGGGCACCTAGACTCTGCACGGGTTTACTTATTAAGAAAACCAGACTAAATGTTGCCTTTATCATTTTTACTTCGTTTTCTTACAAAAGAACTAAAACAAACAAAAAAATCACCTTCCTAATTAGACTGAGTTTTGTGGGTTTGATCCCCAAATGGAACGAACACTTTGTGTGCTCCACAAATTATTGTTTTGAGTCTGGATGTTCTTTGCGTTCCTTTCATAGATCTCCCCCAACATAGGATGTGTGCAAGAAACCTAATTTTTTTACCTTTTTATTACAAAAAAATAATTAGAATGTGAAGTTCACTTATATTTTTCAATTGAACTTTATTATATCTTGAAAATTCACTTATATATGTAGGGTATATAAGTGAATTTTCAAAATATAACAAACCCTACCAACTGTTGGTGAAAAATAAACTTTGACCCACTCCAGTAGAACAATGTTATTATTTAAAAAAATAATTTAAAACGAATCTTAAAAATCATATTACTTATAAGAGTATTATTTATTAGATCTACAAATACCACGAGCACGATTCTCTATTAGAAAACAAAGAAGAAGAAACTCTAAGTGAGGAGGAACGCAAGGCAGCATGGGAAGACTTCGAGAATGAGAAAAACAAACCGCCGCCCGCACCTTTCCCCTCCGCCTGGCCTATGCATAACGGCATGGGTAAGTACTACATTAATTAATCAATTATTATTATTATTAAAACTGTTCTAACCTTTCAACTATCGCATTCGAACTAACTTCACAATCTTTAACCACGTCCAGTGCAACTTGGTCGAAACGTTGACACTTCTGAAATGTGATTCAATCCATATTTTTCCTAACCAAACTTTAGAGAAACTCAAAAACGATTGGTTGGCTCGAACCCAGGGGCTAATTAATGATCACGCGCTAGAATAGCTGTCAACTTATTCGACGATACCGAAATATGTTTTTCCGAGGTTTATATGCTTCATATTGAGTAACAAATATTGTTGGAACTGTTCCAATAGTGTGTGTGTGTGTGTGTTCCAATAGATCGGTAGTAGATTACTTTCAAGAAAAAAATCCTTTCACACAACGCTATCTAGTTCCAAACTAAGCAGAGCTTGTACTATGGGTACTAGATAACTGTGTAAATACTTATATACTTTTTTGTAAATACTTACGTATTATACATAGAAATAAACAGACCAAATCAAACATTGAATGTTCATGCACACAAATGTTTGATTTGAGCGGGAATCGAATTTATAATTTAATTTCAAATTTCACCTGAAGAGTTGGAGGAGCAATTTAGAATGAAAAGTTAATAAATTGTCTGTTTTATGGCAGTTCCGAGTCTGCTGGCGCAGCAACAGCAGCAGCTGGCGTACGCCGCGCTGGCCGCCATGCTGCGCAAGGACATGCCCAACATCAACGACAACCAGATACGGGACATGCTGCCGCTTATATACAACTCCAACCCTGGCGTGAGTCATATGTTTTTATTTAGGTCTTATGTCTGTCTCATATCAATAACCATGGCAATAATTAAAAATGAAATAATAATAATATCAATAACATTTGCCTATCTTATTCTTTTACTATGAGTTGCTTCACAGCAAGATACTGAAACACAACCATTTCATTTCATACCACACTTTATAACATTTTTTAAATATAAATTTAGTTAAATTGTCTTAAAGTATTTCATAAAGTAATTGACATGTTTTATATTAAATTTGTTAGAAAAAAATAATTAATTAATCAATTTACAATAATCTTAACAATGTCAGACAGACGTGTATTATGCATTAAATTAAATAGATCTAAATATAAATAATGAATGTTTCATATTTATTTGTTTAGATGTTCGCTGGATATGACTATGGCGTAAGTTACATGTGATACTTAAGTACCTTGTATATTTAGTTGTGTACGCCAATGTATCAAGATGCTGTTAGAAACATATTTTATGTTCAAAGCATGCACATTATCCTTATTATGTGGTCTGCATAAGGCCAAACTGACACGAATGGCGTATTGGATTATTTCAGATTTCGTTATGACGCAATAATTAAATATCGCTATAAATCGCTCAATTTAGTCTGCGTTATTAATTATATTAAAAATTTAATAAGTTATGCTGAATCGTTTAATTTTACTCACAGAATTGTAAAATTGTTATTGGAAAAAAAAAGATGTCTCTTCAAATTCATGCTAGAATCCAAGCGTTTACTTGTTAGCGTTCTCAATGTAGGAGATTTCTTTTAAGTCCCTTGCGTCGTTCGTATCAGTTCGACCTGTCCTCGAAAATAATTTTGTTGACGTAAATTTGTAACAATACCGTTTTAATGTTGTAGTTGATGCAGAAGATGGGTGAGATATACAAGTACGCGCAACCGGGAATGATGAATCCTGGAATGATGAACCCGGTTATGAATGCTGGTACGGTTTATATATATCTATATATTTGTTGTATTAAGTATTTCAAGTTATGGAGAGTGTTGCCAGGAATTGTTTGGACTAATACCGGTCGTAACTTTCCGCCATCGTTCCACACGTCAAAATTTTCATCCAACCCCTCCATCACTTGGATAATTGGCGCTCCACCACTATATGCCTTTTCAAGACACTGCATCGCACAATCAACTTGTGGAACAAGTGATCGTCTGCGGTATTTCCGGACCGATACGACCTTCAAGAAAAGAGCGTTCTCCTTCAAAAGGTGGCAATGCGCTTGTTACTCCTGAGTCGCACGCGTTCATAGGCGGCGGTAGTCGCTTTCCATCAGGTGACCCGTCCGCTCGTTTGCCCCCTCTTCCCTAAAAAAAAGTAATTTGTAAAGACTGATGTTTAAAGAAAAGACAAAGACGGATACTCAAACACCTCAATGTTTGAGTATCCGTCTTTGTCTTTTTTTTAACTATTAGAAGAAATATTCAAACATTCTTCACAGTTAAAAGAACAAAAACTGATTTGTTACAAAATTCATTCTTAAGCTTATTTTTGAAACACCATTTATAATAACCTAGGATTTATACCAAATATGATCACTACATAGAATGTGAGGTATTCTGAGGATGTAGATCGAGGTCAGTATTATAAGCGTGTCGTGTGCAGGGAGCGGCGCGGCGGTGGGCGGCGCGAGCGGGCTGCAGTACGAGCCGCCCTGGCAGCGACAGCACCAGCAGCAGCAGCAGATGCGACTGCAGCAGCTCATGCAGCAGCAGAACGTTAGTAAACACGAACACGTTTCTGTGCTTTCATATGCGATCACAAGTTTTCACAGGGACGTCTTTAGGTCCATCTTATCTGTCGACCGTCTCGGGCGGAATAAGGTGTCTTATGTTTTTTTAAATTAATGATATTTTATCGTGCAGCAAATGGGTGCGAAGTTCTACGCGGGCGGTCTGGGCAGTCGCGACCCTATCGCCATGGCGCTGCAGCAGCAGCGGGCACGCGAGATGCTCATGGGCGGAGCGGGCGGGGGAGGGGGCGGCGCGAGCGCGGGAGGTGCGGGCAGGCCTCGCGGCCGTCCCCCCCTGCAGCCGAGGCAGCCCACCACCACCTCCCAGGATGTCGTCAATCTCGACTCGGATTAGGTATGTAGTGTTTCCTCGTGTTTTAACATACTTCAATGAGAATCTGTAATTTTTTTAATATTGGTCTCGGTGCCTATAGATATTTGTTGTGGATGCAAACCGTTCAAGACGGTTTGCAAGAATTTATATATTTCATACGAAATTGGATTAAACTTGTAACAAGATATTGCTCAGTGCTCACCCAGAGACAGTCACTATTTGTTATAATATATTTCAATAATTTTCCTTGCTATTTATTGTCTAAGGTTCAAATTAAACTTTAAAACTAGGTGACATTATATGTGATAGCTCTGTATTCTTTTAAACTTTGTTGACTTAAATTCTATAATTGCTTACAGGTACTATGGAATGGAAGGTGGACAGAGATGTGTACAGTAAACGATAATAGGTGCTACACTGCTATATGGAGTAAGTAGTGGCCGTGAAGTTGATGGGTTGAGTTCATGATGGTATTCTGACAACAACAGAATCCCATGGACTAGACACCCGATATGCGATCCGCGCGCATTTTTAGTTGAAATCAATGTTACAAATGTTAAACTTTTTTACCATAATTTAATTTGATTTTCCTGTTAATTGTATATGCAATACAATGTGGCAATTCAACACACGAATAAACATTTTTACAAAAGTCTTTAGGAATCCATAATACAACATTTGAATTTCCATTGATGAACGAAATTGTGTATAAAACTGATTTTAAAACAAAAAAAAAATTCGAAAAATGAACGAGTGAAATATCCCACTGAACACCAGGTCTCCACGTATTGGTTTGATTTTAAAAGCCTCTATTTTTGATAGCGCGCGGATTATGCCCTGGCCAAAATAAGGAGTGATAATCTGAAATGTTATCTCCATATATGTAGCTTTCGCCTTGAGGCTTGCGCTCTGATGCTACATATCAAGAATCTCAGTATTTTATTTGTAGTTCACACCCTCTTAGATGTTAGCTCTGTGTTTCGATTAACTAACCAGCATTAGTGGCGTCCACATATCATTATTCTTCACTTTTGTTCGTTGAATCACTTAAAAGCGGAAGCCTAAGGCGTAGACATTAATGATAAGGCGCGCAAGTCAGCTCATATTTTAAGTTTCGAAGACCTTCAGAACTTAAAATGTGACCTTTGTGCTAATGGGATCTAACATTCTACTTTCTGACACTATGTGTGAGGAACAGACGTAGGAACTATCGAACAAACGAAGCATCCTGATAAACAGTGTTTTTCACAATTACATAATGTATTCACTGGCGTAATATTTAAGACAATTTATAACTAACTCTAAAAAGACGTTTACACACATGGAGTGTAACAGGATGCTTCAGGTGTCAGCTTGGTAAATTTTAACTATATCTCTCAGTACAGGAAATTAGTGATAAGTTATATGTCGATAGTTAGTAAAGTTCTGTGTGTCTAAATTATACGGTACTAACGTACCTTTCTGGAACCGCATGATCGATCGCACCTACGATATGTAACGCCATAGTGATATATGATATTCTATATATGATAGTGACTGGAACACCAATTTATCTAAATTAAAATTATTCAACTATTGGTTTCTGTGTAATATCTACTACATATTTTTGATGGTTAATTAGAATTTGTGATCTTAAAAAGTAAACCATAGCTGCATTGAAATTTTAAAAGTGAGATATTATTTAGATTTTTTTGGTTAAAATAACAATTTTTATTAGAATAATTTTAAAATTCGAATAAGTTGATTTTTAATTGTAAATCTTAATGAAAATATTTTAACATTTAATTATACCTTGGTAGGTATTTTCAGTTCGTGGTTGTATTTTCTTAATACATAGAAATTGAAATATATTTTAGCCTGAATCAGGTTTTAATGTTTTAAAATCACAGATAGGTATGTATTCAATTGGTCAAGCTTAAGTTATAAAAGTGACTGATTATTAGTGATTATTTTTGTTACTGATGTGATTCAAGGTTTTATTGAAGTACCCTGTCCTGGAATAGCAAAACATCCATGACAGTTTTAAAACCATTAATAAGCAGACATTTTTATAAGACATAATATTTAGTATTGGGTTAAAGCAATTGTTTTATAAATTTGTACTCACAAATATCATAGTGCAGTATAACTGTCATATAATTTGCGATTATTTTATTCTACATAACTTTCCACATTACCGTGAGACTAATTTAAGTGATGTTTATTTGACTGTATTTATTTGCCTGTCGTACAACAGGCAGTTTAGTTGTGATATTGCCTAATATTAAATTTTTGTATACGTTTATTTTTAGTCACTACAGTGACTTTAATGTTAGATGCGACAATTATAGCGATATATTTAGATTACATTGATGTACCTTTAATAGTAATGATATGGATTGTAGTGCATTTTAACTTTTCACTTCTATATTTGTTTAATAAGGAAATTTCAAATTGTTTTATTATAATTTGGGAATTATTTTTTACAGATATTTCTATGCTTAAAAGGTTATTTATATTAAACAATTATATTAATGAATGAGCAGTATTTCGGTTAGTTTTAAGTTCATGTTATACCCATCATCGCACATCCCTATAGTTTACGTTTTGTTTTCTCTTTTATACAAGTACTAGCAAAATAGTGTTGCTACATGAGTATTGTGAGGTTGCTATACACAAATGAGGACTGCTGTAATTGTTTCATTATTTATGTAATATATAATGTAATTGTAACTGTAGAGAACTTCCTATTATTTTGTAGTACAATCAAAGTATAATAAATAATTGACAAATGTATTTTGTTTCTTTGCATATTTGACTCCAATAAGATGGATGACATGCTACTGACATTGGTCGGTATAGCTTTAAACTATACATTAAATATTTTCTAAACAGGATCTAAAGCAATAGCTTAAGTAACTATTTTTCGCGACATACTTTTTACTTAAAACCATTAATTATTTTGTAAGCATAGCTTAAGGTTATTCCATGGTGAACTACTACTACACTGGGAGTATCTTAAAAACATATAGTTTAAAAATATATTTAGCAAACCAGACTAAAAAATATTTATTAGTGACAGTATGATTGCAAAATGGGGTAGGGGACAGGGGTGCCATTTAACCATTTTTATTTTACACTTGCTACTTTTATAGTGCCAAGCACACCTCACCACTGAGTAGCTCTCTAACACCATGCATTGGCACCGAGCTATGCTGCACTCGTCATCTACACTTGCTACGACTTGCTGATGCAATTATTAAAATTAATAATGATTGATGCCCATTAATGAACTTAATATCTATAAGGTTTTCAGTGTCTGGTGGTCTATGTTTTATTACTTGTACGAGTAAAGAAAAAAAAAATACCGTCACGTGATTGGCAATGCATTTATATGATTACTGGGTCTAACAAGTCTAAATGGTTTGATGAAACCACTTTTGAGAACGAATGCAAAATATGGTGGTTCCTTATTTAAAGGATTTACTAGGCAAATAGTGCTTAATTTGAAACAATCTGTCTTCACATCTATCAGCAGATTTGATCCAAACCATGTAAAGCACACAAACTTGACGTGTTCAGCCAACTCAACTCACCTGACGCAACCGCTGGACGTAGCATTCTTTTGAGGTAAATATTATTAAAATAGAACAGACAGATGGTCGACAATCACCCACAAATAAAAAAAGTTGCTTTCCAAAACTATTAAAATTTGAATTGATGAGCTTAATATAAATGCTTTGAAGAATATTATTAATAGATTAAAAAAAAACAGAGATTAGCTCTTTAATGTAAATAAATATTATCAAGACTTCTCGACGGAGACTTAGATGACGACTATCAAAGTTAGTGGTGCTGTGGAAGACCTTGTTGTTCATGAACATCATGGAGCCAAAAAGAAAGAAAACTCAATGAACTCCCAGGGAAAATTCTCGCTTCAGAAAATGATTTTGAATACGTGTGCGTTGGCCCAGCGGCAAAAGTTCGAATTTCATTATTTGAGTTTAACAGATGTTTAGTGTATGACGTCGTGTAATTTGTGTATAGTAAGTAAAAAATTGTGTATTCAACCATTTGTATGCTATTCACTATTCGCTATTCACGAAAAACTGAAAAAAAAGCTTTTTTATCCTATGGACGTAGAAGAAAAGAAATGGTATTAAAAATTAGTGTGTGACGTGAGGTAATTTTGTGTCTAAATGAAATTTGAGCGTCAATAAACTGCTTAGTTATTCAAGTTTCCGCTGCGACAACGTTTGGCCATTTGCTAGATTTCATATAAAACGCTTTTATAGTTTAAACCATTGATATAATACTTACATAGATGAGTAATTACCGCCTAAAATCGTTGCTACTGCACATATGTCCACAGGCATATGCGTAGCAAACGTCAATTCATTATTCAATGTGGCGTCAACCGAGTTGAACATAGCGACACATGACAGTAACAATCGCCAAAATAGCTAAATGCGTAGTGAAAGAATGCGATTCAAGGTCACAAAACATTAATAAATCATGCGGAATTACTTTTCACGTGTAAGTTTATGGTTTTTGTATTGATAATATCGTAAATAAGGCTATAATTGAAATAAAACACTGATAATTGTAATTTAGAATCAGTGTTACCATTAAAAAATCATTTTGGTTTTCCCACATTAGTGGGAGAATTTATAATTTATGAAATAATATGCTTTATACTGTTTTTAAACATTTTGCCAATAATAATAAAATATAGGAGGAACGGTAGTTGTTAGGGCTGGACCGATCCCTTTTTTTAGGGACCCGTTGAACGTTCACTGCGAGCTTGGCAGAAGTGCCAAGCTCGCAGTGCTGGAGACTTTTGTACAAAAAAATTAATTCATTGTTTTTCTTAATTTATTATCAATTTTAAATAATAATTATACAAAATAATAATAATAATAATAAATGTTTATCATAAAAATATAAAATAAAAAAGTAAATAAACATAAATAATTTTTTTTTATAAAATAAAAATAAAAAAAAATTTTTTTTTTTATTTGTTTTTTAAATTATAATAGAATTTACAATACACCCTGGAGATTATTTATTATCAGTACAAGTTGATCATTCACTTTTATTATTAAATGCTATTATTTTTACATACGTAAAAATAAGATTGTATCATGAAAGTAAAATATCCACACAAACTTATAAAAAAGAGTCTAAAAGACAATTGTATACAAAACTGATGCTTCACAGCGCAGTTTGATTTTACACTGAATATAAACCCTTTTAACCAAATATTTCCAGTTATTTTATTATTTATACCTATTCTATTCAATTCGAAATATATTATTTAGAATATTTAAATTAATTTATTTTATTACAAAATTGTTTTAAAAAAAAGTTGTTTCTTAGTTGTTATGGGTAAAATTTCATACGGTAGTCAACACTGGCCCACCATCGTAAAGTTATATCTTTGTCTAATCCGAGCGATGGTATTGTTCTTGTCTCGCGTGTAAATGAGACATAAATATGTTTACTTTCAAATGTTTAGTGGTATCAAAGCTACGTCGTCAAAGTTCAAAAGTGGTTACACTTTTTTCGACGTGTGATAATGAGGTTTGCTTCTCTAGTGTTGTTTTAACTCAATATTTTAAACAGTAAAGTTCAGAAGTTTTATAATTGTTTATTTTTCAGTGTGTGACTTTTATTTTGCAAATTGCTTTTTTATTAATAAACTTTTTATTAATTTCATTCAAATAAAATATGAACAAACGGATAAGTATCTTGTTTGATTGAATAAAAAGAGATAATTAACATTTCGTAAAAATGAAATCATAAGTTTTGAATTTCATTTAGCATTTATAAACCTTTTAAACGCACGTTGCATTTTGCATGTTGGATAAAAGTAATTTTTGGCAGCCCTTACAGTTTTTCCAATGAGACCTTTATGCATAAATGCTTCTTCTAAATGGTACCGGACATTATATCAAATCACCTGGGATAAAAAAAGTTACTATTATCAATTCTGTGGACAAAGTTGAAGTTTACATTACTTCATGCAAATGTCAATCGTCAATCGAATTCTTCTTCGGCCCAATTGCCGTCCACTGCTGAACCCCTAAAAACTGAATCCAGTCATACACAATTACTCACCCTGACTGATGGATTTATCAATGCAGAGCCTATACTGCTAGGGCGTTAAATTTTAAATTTGTCAGCTGATGCCATTTACGTTACATGCACCCACTAAGAAAGGATTTTCTGATAACTTTCATTGACTGAGTCCTGAAATAACACACGGCAAAGCAGTAGAATGATCAAGGGTAAATTTTACGGCTCTCTACAACCCTTAATGCCTGCAACTATGAAAATCGACACAATTTCGACAGATGACATCAAACATCTGTTTGAACTAACATGGCGCCATACTTTTTTTTTCTACGTTCCGTTTCTCATAACATTCAAGAATAAATCACGGCTAACCACAAACTGTGTTGCCAAAGTATTTTTTAAGATATTTCGTTCAATGTATGATGTCCAATATATGGCCAGAGCCTTATAAAGGGTTAAGGTTATTCCATGGTGAACAGTGGAGTATCTTAAAAACATATAGTTTAAAAATATATTTAGCAAACCAGACTAAAAAATATTTATTAGTGACAGTATGATTGCAAAATGGGGTAGGGGACAGGGGTGCCATTTAACCATTTTTATTTTACACTTGCTACTTTTATAGTGCCAAGCACATCTCACCATTGTCACCGAGCTATGCTGCACTTGTCATCTACACTTGCTACGACTTGCTGATGCAATTATTAAAATTAATAATGATTGATGCCCATTAATGAACTTAATATCTACAAGGTTTTCAGTGTCTGGTGCGTGATTGGCAATGCATTTATATGATTCCTGGGTCTAACAAGTCTAAATGGTTTGATGGAACCACTTTTGAGAACGAATGCAAAATATGGTGATTCCTTATTAAAAGGATTTACCAGGCAAAAAGTGCTTAATTTGAAACAATCTGTCTTCACATCTATCAGCAGATTTGATCCAAACCATGTAAAGCACACAACATTGACGTGTTCATAATAGTCAACTCAACTCACCTGACGCAACCGCTGGACGTAGCATTCTTTTGAGGTAAATATTATTGAAATAGAACAGACAGATGGTCGACAATCACCCACAAATAAAAAAAGTTGCTTTCCAAAACTATTAAAATTTGAATTGATGAGCTTAACATAAATGCTTTGAAGAATATTATTAATAGATTAAAAAAAAAAACAGAGATTAGCTCTTTAATGTAAATAAATATTATCAAGACTTCTCGACGGAGACTTAGATGACGACTATCAAAGTTAGTGGTGCTGTGGAAGACCTTGTTGTTCATGAACATCATGGAGCCAAAAAGAAAGAAAACTCAATGAACTCCCAGGGAAAATTCTCGCTTCAGAAAATGATGTTGAATACGTGTGCGTTGGCCCAGCGGCAAAAGTTCGAATTTCATTATTTGAGTTTAACAGATGTTTAGTGTACGACGTCGTGTAATTGTGTATAGTAAGTAAAAATTGTGTATTCAACCATTTGGGTGCTATTCACAAAAAACTGAAAAAAAAAGCTTTTTTATCCTATGGACGTAGAAGAAAAGAAATGGTATTAAAAATTAGTGTGTGACGTGAGGTAATTTTGTGTCTAAATGAAATTTGAGCGTCAATAAACTGCTTAGTTATTCAAGTTTCCGCTGCGACAAAGTTTGGCCATTTGCTAGATTTCATATAAAACGCTTTTATATTTTAAACAGTAAAGTTCAGAAGTTTTATAATTGTTTATTTTTCAGTGTGTGACTTTTATTTTGCAAATTGCTTTTTTATTAATAAACTTTTTATTAATTTCATTCAAATAAAATATGAACAAACGGATAAGTATCTTGTTTGATTGAATAAAAAGAGATAATTAACATTTCGTAAAAATGAAATCATAAGTTTTGAATTTCATTTAGCATTTATAAACCTTTTAAACGCACGTTGCATTTTGCATGTTGGATAAAAGTAATTTTTGGCAGCCCTTACAGTTTTTCCAATGAGACCTTTATGCATAAATGCTTCTTCTAAATGGTACCGGACATTATATCAAATCACCTGGGATAAAAAAAGTTACTATTATCAATTCTGTGGACAAAGTTGAAGTTTACATTACTTCATGCAAATGTCAATCGTCAATCGAATTCTTCTTCGGCCCAATTGCCGTCCACTGCTGAACCCCTAAAAACTGAATCCAGTCATACACAATTACTCACCCTGACTGATGGATTTATCAATGCAGAGCCTATACTGCTAGGGCGTTAAATTTTAAATTTGTCAGCTGATGCCATTTACGTTACATGCACCCACTAAGAAAGGATTTTCTGATAACTTTCATTGACTGAGTCCTGAAATAACACACGGCAAAGCAGTAGAATGATCAAGGGTAAATTTTACGGCTCTCTACAACCCTTAATGCCTGCTAGATCCTGGTTCTTTAAACAAAAACATGTTAATAAGTCAGCCACCTCTACTATAATTCGTTTACGATTAGGATTTGTCAGTACCCCAGTTTTTCTTGCCAAAATTCGAGTTTGTGATCACTCTATGTGAGTGTGGTCTCAATGAAGGCACTCTGGAACATATTTTCTTCTCTTGTCCTAAATTGGTTGTACCTCTGTATGATCTACTCCCTCAATAGATATCTTAACTCTAGTATATACCCCATTTGTCAAGATCCTTTGCCATTTTATTTGTATAAATAAAATAAATTTATAATGTTTCCTAATACTTTTACTGCTATACTTATATCTTTTCTTTTTTTTTCTACTGTCCCACAGAACCACAAACAGAAACTGTTGAAATTACAGCAATTCCCTCTTGGTATTCCAAATATTTTCAACCTATTAACTAATAAATCTACCTCCCACCCAGACACTGGCAAAATCATCGATATCCGATGGAGCCACTGAATTACAAGACTGTGTGCCATGTACAAATTACTTACTTGAACAAATTATTATTAAAGCTGTGAGCCAGATTGATAGGGTTATCTTATGTTTCAGGGGCTACTCAATATTCGTTTGCACATATGCACATAACACATATTTAGGGAACTTCTGATCTACATACATCTGTTTAGGCAAAACAACACTAACTGCAAAGATGATAACTAACTGATACTGTTGACTTGTTGTTATGGAACAATTAATATATGAGTAAACTTGGTCGACGTATGGTTATACCTGAAGATACATATTTATCTGGAATTTTGTGTTGATTAAAACAGAAATTTTATTTACTGTTATATTTATTGAGTAATATAACTCAGAAACTATAAACTTTGCCTGTTAAGTGATAATTATGTAATTTTTTTTAACTTTTGTCACTACAGTTCATTACCAGTTTTTCCAACAACACAATCATGGGCAACACCACTCTGATACACATAACTGATGCTAAGCACTTTTTTTGTTTCAGTCAAAAGATTACAATCATATATTCAGATTAGGAATACCAGTTTTAACACCAACAGACACTTCCATATATTTTAATAATCTGCGCGATAAAAATGAGGCATTGTCAACATCAAACACATTGGCAGATATAATGTCCAGATTCATCTCTGTTTGGAAATTTAAAAGTTCAACAGCACTTATGGCCATGGCGTTCACTGGAAGTCCACTTGCGTTCACAAGTACCACACGTCGAACTCTTAAATCAGGATGCACTTGAGAAAGAACTTTTTTGGCCCACTCTAAACAAAATATTCTACTTGTGTCTATCGCTAAAATAACAAAATCTATTGCGATTTTTCCTGTTAAATCCGACTGTTTAACGACTTCATCTAAATAAAAAGACTTTAGCACTATAAGTTTCCAGCGAAAGTTTCCTTTGCCGTGAACTTCTGTTAGGGCTTCAGATATCTTTTCTATGATATCAATGTTTGACGACAAAACTATTGTCGATAATGTATTTTTACAGCTTGTAGGGCCCACCCATGGTGCAACGACCACTTCTTCTTCAATCATAGACATGTTAGAGGCTTTGTAAAACACAAATCATAAAAATATGAACTTGGAAGTAGTTATTAACAACCACTTATTTTATAACGTTTTGTTTTGAATTTTATTGTTCTTCAATTGTGACATGAGTCTTGACGTTTCATTTCACGTACCAGGTTACTGCAATTATTTTTCCGTTTTTTTATATCTCCAATACTATAAATATAAAAGGTAACATCAAACAAGATAAATAAAAGCTTTGGATACTTTGGAATTAAAAAGGCTGTTTAGGTCTACGTCATATCATTCGAGTGCAGTCGTTTCCCTTTTGTTTGTGTACTTTTGGTTCACCGGTTCACCTGTCAAATAGGGATTAGATTAGTATTCTGTGGTTAAATGTCAAGAAGAGCAAAGGGTTTTGTTTATGTTTGGTTTTGAAGTTTCAGAATTTGGAGGTTAAAAACTAGAAATGTAACTACAAAACCAATTACGCGATCAATATGCGACGAAATGAAGATAAATTTCCCGATAATGGCTTTGAAGCCTGGGGAGGATATATGCATGCTAAAATATCAAAACTGGAAGAACAGTTTAGCGCTCGAGCGGGAACTGAAGAAACTCTCTCAAATATATTTAACGGTGTAAGTATTTATGTCAATGGCTTTACAGTACCTTCTGCAGACGAACTCAAAGTACTTATGAGCAAGCATGGAGGTGTATACCATGTTTATCAAAGAAGTGATGATTATATCATAGCATCTAACCTCCCAGATACAAAAGTGAAAAATATGAACCTTGCGAAAGTGGTAAAACCGCAATGGATTGTTGAAAGTTTAGCAGCCAACCGTTTACTAGATTACAGAGACTATTTGCTATATGGGACTTCGAGAACACAAAAACAGATAAACTTTAGAAAAATAATCAAAGAAAATGATTCTTTAGCAAATGACATTAAATTTAATGATATACAGGAAAAGAAATGTGTTATTTACAATAATACTAAGCAAGAACAAGATTTATCAGAAATACATAAAAAAATTAATGAACCAAATACACTTACTTCTGATCAAAAACCTTCTAAAGAAAGACTTGATAATGCACCAAGTTTGGACTGCCAAGAGATTTTGAAACAAAACTTAGGTGCAGTTACAAAGACAGCATCAGATCCTGAGTTTATTGCTGAATTCTATAAAAATTCACGGTTGCACCATATATCACAACTAGGAGCATGTTTTAAACAACACATAAATGAGCTCAGAGAAAACAGTAACTTTCAATTCCCTGCTCGGGAACAGCTTAAAGAAATAATATTAGCTTCAAATAATTTTAAGAATTTATCGCAGTTGAAATTTGAGAAAAATAAAATAATCATGCATATTGATATGGATTGTTTTTTTGTATCAGTTGGCTTAAGAAATAGGCCTGATCTCAAAGGAAAACCAGTTGCTGTCACACACTCTAAGGGTGGGCAGGGAAGATCAAAGAGACCTGGTGTTGATAGAGATACAGAGTTCAATCTTTACAAGCAGAACAAAGCCAAAAAATTAGGAATAACTACTGGAATTTCTCATGATGAAATTAAAATTGAAAACAGAGTAGATGACATTGATGAAGAGGATTCCAAGTATGGTTCTATGAGTGAAATAGCATCTTGTTCATATGAGGCCAGGGCTAAAGGGTTAAGTAATGGAATGTTTATGGGTTCAGCATTAAGATTGTGTCCAGATTTACAGACCATACCTTATGATTTTGATGGTTATAAGGAAGTGGCATATACATTGTACAATACCATAGCCCAATATTCATTAGATATAGAAGCAGTTTCCTGTGATGAAATGTATTTAGATTGCACAGAATTACTATCACATATGAAAGTTAATGTTCAAGGTTTTGCTACAATATTGAGAGAAGAGATAAAAGCTAAGACAGGATGTCCATGCTCAACTGGTTTTGGAGGAAATCGGTTGCAAGCCAGATTAGCCACAAAGAAAGCCAAACCTGATGGTCAGTTTTTCCTTACAGAAGATCTTGTTGAGGATTTTATGTACGATATTAAATTAAGAGACTTGCCTGGTGTAGGTAGTCAAACTGCCTATAAACTGGAGTCACTGGGGCACATCACTTGTGGTTCACTGCAAACTTTGACACTAGCCAGTTTAAAAAGTCACTTGGGTAACAAAACTGGTGCACAATTGTTTGAGCAATGTCGAGGGCGCGATCCAAATCCTTTAACATTCCATACAGTAAGAAAATCTGTTTCAGCCGAAGTCAATTATGGAATTCGTTTTGAAAACAACAACCAATGCTTAGAGTTTCTGAAGCAGTTATCTGCTGAAGTACATTCAAGAATGCATCAGTTTAAAGCTATGGGCAAATGTATTACTTTAAAACTAATGGTAAGAGCTAAGGATGCCCCAGTAGAAACAGCCAAATTTCTAGGGCATGGATATTGTGATGTAATCAATAAATCTGTTTCCCTGCAAACTGCTACAAATGATCTTGAAGTTATTGCCAAAGAAGTCATTTTACTTTGCAAGAAGCAAAACATAGATCCTACCGAAATGAGAGGTATTGGGATACAAGTAACAAAATTAGATTATGTGACAAGCAGGCCTACTGTGGGTGCAATAAACAAGTTTTTGTTCAATAATAAAATTCCCAAAGCAAAAATAAAAAGTGAAATTAAAGCAGAACTAGTAGAAACTGATCAAAGGAATAATCCTACTACTCCAACTAAATCTAAAGTTAGTACGTCTCCAAAGAAATCCCCTATTATTTCAATTAAATCTCCAACTATTCGAAAAAGAGGCAGACCTTCAAAAAGCTTAAGACAACCATCAAATAATCTCATGAACAAGTTTCTTCAAGGTCAAAATGTGGGTAGAGATGTACCATACAAGGATCCTATGATAAGAGCAGTTGTAAAGGAAGAAGTTGAGCGAAAAGTAGAACAGTTCCAAACACCCAGAGGGTTATTGGGACTCCCATGGAACAAAGTAAGGGATTTGTTAAGAGCTTGGCTAGACAGTGGTGAGACCCCGTTGCAATGTGATGTTGTTATGATTATAGATTATTTACAAGAAATGGTAATAAATAAGAATATAGAAAAACTTCAGGTACTTATGCATTTTCTGAGGAGAACTACTAGGGACACTGGCAGTGTTGCATGGTTGGAGGTTTATAATCGTATATCTGAAGAGGTACAGAATGCTATGGTAGCTGTTTATGGAAAGAAATTGTATATCTCCAATTAATAGTAGCAAAAGGAATGAGAACCTAACAGGAGTAAACAAGCTGTGATATTAAAAAATAAAAATGCCATGTCATAGCTATTTCATTTATTTTTTATATTGATACTACTCCCTATGATAAGACTATAAAAAAAATTGTAAATTATGTCACTAGTAATCATTTATAGATTTCGTAAAGTGCCCATCAAATTATATTAGTACCTGTGTTACTATTTAAAATTTGGCAGCTGCAGAATCAAATTAATAAAAATATAAAAAGGAAATAAATTTATCACTCTTGTACTAAGTGGCTTTTGAAATCAGTGTCCACGAGATCTCAGATTATCCTATCATATAAGGATTATATAAGACACCTTGGGTATATTCATAATTTGAAATGGCAGTATCACTTTTTCTTAATAAGCATTATCACAACATTTAAAAATTTCTGAAATACAAGTGCTGTGTGTGGTGATTACAAGTAGAATGCAAAAATAATATACCAAGTAGTTAGTTCAATATCAGATTTTACATTTTGTAATCTATAATTTATTATCACAGTTGCTTATTGTAAAAAAAATAACTTTTCGATTTGTCAAATATAAGCAATAATTTTGTATCTAAATACAAATCATGATTCAGCAGGTTCCTTGAACAATTTTCAATATAGTACTTTTTAAAAATAAATGTAAAATAAATCTAGTTCTGCCAAGCTGGAAATTAATTTCTTAAAACTAAATGCTTTGTGACAACCGTTTATATCCTCTACTATTATAATACTTTGCAATATTACATCTAATAAAACCACAGAAAACAAAACAATTTCTTACAAAAATATAACTAAACTCATCCACTTACATCAATGTTAGTACAATAAACAAAATGAAATTACAGAAATGGCATTTACAGGCATAAAACCAGACTTCTTAATATATACTATCAAACACACAGCCAATATATTTTTTATTTAAAACAATTTTTGCTGCGGATATGTTAATATTGTACTATTGATGTTAGTTTCTGATTGTTTAATAGTATCTATCACATCGAAGTCTGCACAAAACTTTATTTATCGTCAGTTGCATATCTTGAGAGCAATTGTACAGTATTTACTATTAGTTATTACAGGAAAATAAGATTATTTTAGAATATTCAAGACTAAGAATGCAGTCTCTCTTATACCTTTAATTAAATATTTATTTTAAACGGTTAACAGAAGTGATGTGAAATGCAGCCGATACATGTAGTGGTGCCTCTCTCACGCGGTGGCATTGGCCGAGACGGAGTGTCTCAGCTTTGAGTCGATAATGATCTCATCTCCTGATCGGATATTGTAGGAGTACAGCCGCTTTGTAGGAAACCTCATCTCCTCAGGGCCCTGGAAAGGCTCCAAGAATAATGTCAAATGTTAATAAGAAAATTGTTATGGGAGTTTGTTATTTTATTAGTATTATTAGACAAATTTGAATAAATAAAGTTCACTCTAGCAATCAATTGCGGAAAAGGATGATAAAAAGGGCAAGGGAGTATTTTAGGTACTAAAAATGTGACTTTACGTCTTTAAATTCTAAGACCTAAGTCACATATTTAGTACATTTAGTACATTATTAGTGAACATGTCACGAAATCTTTTTATATTTAAACGCAGTTTTAAATAAAATCATTGAACAATGCTGAATCGCTGATTTATTTTAATTTTTTATGTTAGTAGACGTATAGAAAACCTAAAGCACTCGGTTTTCTATACGTCTAAAAACACTGTACAGAAATATGGAGTTAATTTATTAAAGTATTTTAGTAGGTAAGTACTTAAATCAACAATCTTCAAACTTTAAACGTAGTTAATTTTATTTATAATGATAAACATGTATAATAATATTCACCTGAGTATCCCTAAGCTCCTGGTCCACATAGAACAGTCTCATCTTGGAAGCGGGGAAACCGGCCAATCGTTCCAACCTTGTTTTTAAGTCTGATACGGTTCTGGAATTAAAATGGAAATAGAAGTACCTAAGTGATAACAATTTTTATTGTTTAATTTTTGCCGTTTAGAAACCCTGGGGTATGATGTTTAAAAATACTACAAAATGGATATGTTGGATTCGAACCGACTAAGATAGTCCCGTACAGAAATTATGTAAATACGGATTAAAATGTTTTACAAATTGCGGGTGTTTGAAAGGGCAGCTTTAGTTTTTCCAAATAAATATACCGTCAAACTTATTATACAGGTTGTAAGCCCCTTCAAGTTATTAAAAAAAAACACAGGTGCTATGACAACTTCATGATTTCATATCCTTTTGTTATAGGATAAACATATACCTACTTGGCTAGTTTAACGCTACCGTTCTATATAATATTGTCTAGATATTACATAGTTACTGTTCCAATTTTATTTCTTTTACTAGTGTCTATGTCTAAATCGCAGTATTTATTCTAGTTCAATGGAGTCCACAAAATATTTACTAAAAGTTTGACTAAAGTGGGTCTCTATTTATGATAAGAATCTCTGTGCAAATGATTAGTATAAAACATCTATGCTCTATATTACACTTGTAGTCTAGACCTAATGTAATTACTTATAATACAAAACTACATGATCTAATACTTTACCTATACACGTCAACGGTACGCACTTCGCTGACATCTCCGCAGGTGAACGTGATCTGCACGCGTTTCTCTGGCCGAAGATCTACTGACACCAAAGGGTCCAGTTTACCATGCACTCCTACTAGTTCCCAGTACCTAAAACATACATTTAATAAAAATAAGTTTAAACAACATTATGTACAAAAAACCTTAATAAAAATATTTCATTTTATCTACATTTTAATAGTCATAGATAAGACACAAAACATGTTCATATAATACATATAATATACCGTGTAATATAATATACACAAGAGCATTTGTGTACCTGTACATATTTAAAAAAAAACTATCATTTCAACGTAAACAAGAAAATGAGTAGGTACCTAACTTCTCAAATAAAACGGTCTTATGTCACTCAACTCACATTATTCTTCATTTAATCGGTTCGAGGCCTAAATCGGTTAGGGATACATATTATACTTCCCCTAAGTATATTTAATTAAAATTGCCTATTGTAAACAGGACCTTTTTATGGGTAGAAAAGAACTATAATTCTAGGCTAAGGTTACACGTTATTGAGGAAAGATTGCCCTTTTATTTCCACAAAGTCTTTGTGTGTCAAGATTAAAACTATCGACACGATAGTCTCTCACGATAAAATTGTTATAATACTTTATAAAGTACAACTTCAGTGGTTTTTTTTTTATTTTTTCACACCCACGTATTCATTATCACACGAGTTTAGTCATTTAGGTCGTTAATACTATTGGCACAGATATGTCGCCTACATTACTCCTTATTTATAGGAGCTAAAGACAATTTCATAAATTGAACGATATAGGTTTTTCCCGAATACGTAATGCAAATACATTTAAATGATTTGCATAAATGCTCAAACTATAATGTGAACGTTGAAATTAAAAAACCCATACGTTCATTATTCCATAAAGTTTTTAAAGTCTTGACAGTTACCTACCTACGACGACAAAGGACAAAATAGATAAACGAACGAAGGTCATATATTTAATAAATTGTTAAGCTCCCATCCCTTTAAAATCAATTTTTACTTCATATTGTATGAGACATGACATGACATTCATCAGATTATCCTAAAGTTCTGCATACACTTTGCTAGAGATAAATAGAAGGATAGGATAGGTATCTTTTCTCCAGTACAAAACTAAAATTTGTGAGTGATGGATAAATTTACTACCTAGTTTATTGTACAAGTTATCCATAACAGCTCATCGAGCCCATGAACCGTAATTTTCTACGCCTTTCTTATAAATACGCAATAAATTGCTTACCTATCAGGCCGATCAGCCTCAGCCTTCTCCATATAATATCGGATAAAAGCCCGTTCAGCTGCATCTCTCTCTTCTATCGGCACGGCTCCTCCGCCGTTCAAGGTTTTTATATGCGGCAATCGTGCCACCAGCAATAGCCGTCGCTCGTGTTCCGTCGATTCGAACCGCTCCCATAACGGCCAGCCCTGAAAAGTGAAAATGTAAAATAGAGTAACGCTAAAAGAAATACTTAGGACATCATCTTAAATCTTGGGGGGCTTTATGGTCTGTTGCCGATAAAGTGGCTGTGAGTTTGTTTGCCGCATTTCTTATCTGGAAACGGGTGGTTAAACATTGACAAAGGCAGACATACCTAGTATTTTTGATATTTATATGATTTTACATTTGACAATGTAATCTGTGTTGATCTATATTTTTTTATTATTAACTATAAGTATTGATGATTGATCCATTTTATGAGGTTTTGTTTATCAGGTTTCGAGAACCGCGACGGGTCAGTCGGAAGTTTAAAATTATAATGTCATCAGACGCAATAGTCCCCCTATCGGTTACCCTTCGCGTGTCCTGGTCTGTCACAAACAACGTGGGACCCAGACCTCTTTTATTGTTTATTTAATTTTGCAACCCAGTTGTTCGGAATGATTCTTTCTGTGAAAAGTTACTGCTCACAAATATGTAAGAAACTGCCACAATTGATAGATACGAAGGCAAACTGAAACAGTATCCATACTTACAGTATCCTTTTTTCAAATGTTGCAATTACAAAGTACACATTTGCATCTTTGTCAGTGAACAAGTTATAGTAGAGATATTATAGGTACCCACATACTGTGCATTGTAACAAGCTTAGAGGAAATTCTAAAATGATAAATCGTTTAATTTCTTAAATCGATTGAGGTCGTGGCAATAGGTTCATTAACAATTATGTATCTACAAAATCAGTAAGTATTGAATAGTAGTATATCGCATAAATGTCTTGAAATCTTAATTGAATTATAAATAACTGTTACACACTAAGGTAGAGTACACTATGCTGAATCTTATTTAGTTAGTACATATTTAGTTACTTAGTACTACAGTAAAACATAAGCGTAGTCATGATTGGAAATCTAAAGGATCAGAAATAATAAACCATCAGAAGTCGTCGTAGATTTAAATTGAATTGGTTTTTGTTCGTCTCAAGGTTCGCCAAGGATCAAGACAAGTTTCCTTATAGGACGTATCTCCATGGACGCTAGTTCGTCGTACTGTCGTTGAATTATGGATTAACATTGATTTTTTTTGGTATGTTTCATGTACTACATATTTGTATTATAGTTTCATGTATTATAGTAGGCCAAAACCTTATTTCTAAGGAGAGGCCTATGTCCAGCAGTGGACTATTAAAGGCTGTTGATGTGCTTATTCTTTACATATACATATCAACACAATATCATTAAAAACAAGTTACTATTTGAGTAAAAACTAAAATTTGCAAGTTACTTCATATAGAAAGCGGTATCTCACCGCAAACCAACAACGTTTGGCACAAGCAATTAAAACCAACATCTGAATATTAGTCAATATTACTCTAATGATAAAGCATAAAATGGCAAACACAAGCATAAAATAGCAAACACAAACGCATATTTGCATTACATACAAAATAAGATCTAATAGTTTAGTGCTTTGGGACTAGATTGAACTAATTTAGCATTCCTTTGTTCTCCACGTATACGATCATAAACGTGCATTCAACCTCGCTGGGTTGTTTTGCCTAAAACGGAAGGCGGAATCAGCTTTGCATGCATGGATCCCTTCGGTATATTTTGTTGCCGCATTTTTGTGCCCTTTTTAGAGATATTTGCAGTTGAGAGTAATGTATCCGCCCGAAGGTAACTAATAAAGGAAGAGTATAGAGTACAAATTTATAATAAATAAACAAGCTTCTAATAGGTATTTTGCTGTTTGTAGACATGTAGGTACATATCAACAAACAAAGAGTTATTTCTATGGGAAATATTTTACGTAGTTACACGTGCTTGTAATGAGGCTTAGGTACTTCATATGATACACGTATTTTCTGTTAACCGTTTGTTTTACAAATAGGTAAATTACTCGAGCACTAAAGAACACTTTGCACTCGTCAAAAAGGTCAACGTGACAAAAGTGACTCGTGAAATTAGAAGATTTAATTCGTATTTTATTAAACGCTGGACAACAGCGATAAAAAAAAATCCCGCGCGCCCCCTAACTGGCTGACTAACAGCACTACCCACACAGTCTCACACTTAACCGTTCCAAAATTAAATAAACGGTAATAATTTTTAAGTTCCGTGCCAATCGGTAATGGCTCCGATCTGAATCATTAAATTCACCGTATCGATTTCATTAACCCACAGATACACATGGGTAAGTAGGTGCATAGGGTCTTGTTCGTGCATTTTATAAGTTTTTAAAACTCTACCGTGTCAATAACCGAAAGGAAATGTCAATATGGAGGAAATCATTTCGCCCAGAATTACTTAAATCCTAAATACATTTTTAAAGTACTTTTACAGGCAATTAAGTAGTCACCCATGGCTTAACAATGGCCCTATCGGAGTAAAATCATACACCGTTTACAGGAACAGAACAACATGTAGAAATCCATTTTTCAACCATTCTAGGCGTAAATTTGTTTTGCCACATATTAATGTTCATGTTAATTAAAATCTTTATTACAAAGCTTATAGTCATATAATAATAAGTATCCTACGTAACAGTGGAATTATAAGATACAGAACATTTAGATTTTTTCCATGGCATAGGAAGTGGCTAGCAGACGAATCATCTGATGGTAAGTTAGTAACGCCATAGACATTTGAAGCTCAAGGTGCAAGTACGTTCGTGATAGGGCCCCAGGTTACCTCACTCACACCGGTTTCCTGTGAGGCCGTCGTATAACTCCGGTCAAGCCAGTATACATTTGTGTAGAAGCAGGGTATTCCCAAGGTTAGGAATACAAATATTAAGATGTTTTTATTAGTGTAGTGAATACTAAATCAATTTCTAATTAAAAAATATGCAAACATTATAATATTTATAATGCTGCAAACATAAAGAAACACTATTTCAGTCGACACTATAATTAATGTAATTGAATTAATGTGTGATATCGCGATCTAGCGTGTACGTAATAAACAAAGAACTAGGAAATATTTCGTACCGACATAAGTATCTTACGCACTTACATATTTGCAACGTATAACATATAACATAGAGACTTTTAGAGGATCGGAGGTATCGAGACATCCTAACTAGAGGTAAAGAAATAGGTTTTTGTCTAAACTGGCCTGAAACTTATGCAGATACTGCCTGTTTTTTTTTTGTATTTCCGAAAAAGGGAGTTGGTATTGTAGAAGTTAAATAGAAAATACACAACCATACCTAGAATTCTATTACAGCACATGCCGTTTCTTACAGTTTTACCCGCACTTATAGTCTCTGCTCCGCTCCTAGCACAATGTTATATGTATGGCCCATAAGCTGCCTCAGTGAATACTCTATCCAATATAATTTAGTGCCAGGCATACGGGCATTTCCTGGGAGTGGTAGGTGATGCCATCTGTCACCCTAGCAGAAGCAGGCCGGGGTGCGCGCCCCCCTTTCGGGAGCACAAAGGGGACATAGGGGTTCCCACACAGGAGGGGGTCATTTACGCAAGTAGATGGCCCGAGGTACGTCGGGGTATATTGGTTTTCCTTCCTAGGGTACACCTGGTTCTCCGGCAACTGGTTCGAGTCCGACATAACCACCGGTGGGTGGTATCCGAGGGGACGAAAAAAAAGGCATACGGGCATTTAAAAAAACTAAACCCCAAACAAAAAACCCTTTAGCTTTACAATAATGTGCAAGTATACATTATATTAATATAAAGCTGACTCTGGCCATCATAAATTTATAGTCCTGACGTTATATTTCTAAATTTTAATTAAAAAAATGTGTTTACGATAGTATATTCTCTTATTATAACTGTTTCAGCATAATACTACAAATGTTCCAATTACTTAACTGTAAATATGTACAAAAATAAAGCTAAAGCAAAATTACAATAAAGTATAATTAATACACCAGGGCTAAAAGAGATCAAAAGATATTAGGAATTATGGGTTCGTAAACTATTTAGTCACTGCAATATAATACCTAATCTTTTTTTTTTTTTTTTTTAACGTGTGGAAATCCCCTCGGACCGTCACCGGGGTTTGCGGCGGGGTGGTGTGTCGGACTCGAACCAACTAAAACCACACGGTGTGCCCTCTTTGCGCTTCCAGTTTAGGAGGGGTCCAGGTAGTTATCGCCTTCTGGACCCCTCCTAGCGCCGGCCCGCTCCTATTGCGGGCCCCGTCTCAAAATTGTTTTTTTTTTTTCCTCTCTTTAGGCGACGTCCGGCACACGCGGACGCCGCCCCCTCGCGGCTGGCCAAACTAATGCGGGTGGAGGGGAAACCCACCCCGTCCACCCGGGGCCACACTCAGGGCGGCATGAGGCGCAGGTAAGCGCGCCTCCGCCGCCCGGTTCGCCGGCGGCGGATCAGGTCCGAGTGGAGGTCGTCCTCCCGGGCCTTCTCCGCCGCCTCCTTCTGCGAGATTACCTCCTCGCAGAAGGTTGCGACCGCGGTAAAACAACTGTCGCTACCGGCCATGGAGCGAATTACGGCCGGTAGCGAGAGATCTGCTCCGATGACTGCAGTGAGGGCCCGGCGCTGCGTCGCCCATGCGGAGCAGACCGCCAGCGTGTGCTGGGCCGAGTCCTCACTGCAGTCGCAGTGGTGGCAGGCGGGACTCAGTTCCCTCCTAGCGACCGAGTGCAGGTACTTTCCGAAGCAACCGTGCCCGGAAAGCACCTGCGTCAGCCGGAAGGAAAGGGTCCTGTGCTGCCGCCCTGCCCACTCGGCGATGACCGGCTGGAGAGCCTTCACGGCGGCGAAGCCAGCGCGTGGAGTCTCCAGCCGGAACGACCATCTGACCATGATGGCTCGGCGAGCGGCTTCTCGCCACTCGCGCACGTCCTCGGGCGGAGGGCGAAATTCGCTCTCCGCCCGGAAGTCAGCCACTCGCCAATAAACTTCGGCGAGCACTTCCGCCTCCAAATCCCACGGGGGTGTTCCGGCCAAGGCGCAAGCCGCCTCGGTGGACACCGTGCGGTATCCGCGTATGGCTCTGAC